CATTTCATTTGGAACTCTTTTGGCATAATATACTTCATTTAGATCTTGCATGCAAAATGAAACCAAGTGGAGCATAAAAATTTCCAATGATGTCAATATACTTAATGTAGATTTGAATAATATAAATGGACTGAAAAATTCAAATGCAGATATTTGTTCCAGTTTCTTCTTTTAAGCATGCACTACATTTCGTTTTACTAATCAAGCCTTTTTCCTGCCGCACTTTGAAGTTTTTAGGCTAATCTCATGTCATCCATGATCACTATAACTAATCACATTCTCAATTATTCAACCTTCAGAAGTTCCAAACATGAAAGAGACATTATTGTAACTCAAATCATTGAAATGACAATAAAAACTATCAATTGATAAAATCTCTGAAAAGACATTATTCCTAAAAAATACTGAAAATAATCATCAAACAGCATACTTGACATTCAAAGAGGTACACATCAATATATGTGTCAATGTAATATCTCAAAACAACATGATGTCGCTTAAAAGTTAGTCCTTGCATCCAACAAAAAAAAAAGTTCACATTGTAATGTACACTATGTTTGAGGGACATAGGGAACACTATCTTATTTTTGCTAAAGACCTGCAATTGCTAAATTTGAAAATTTTGAAGAAATTTTGAAGTTCTTCCAATTTGTACACAAAAGAATCAAGACTGAATCTTTATGTGCTCAAAGCCATCCATGAATTATTCTGATGAAAGTAAATTCTCAAAGAGGATTAATTCCCAAACAAGAACGATAAAAGTGGGAAGAAAAAGTGTCCACAAAATATGTGAAGAACCTTTACTAGCCTGCTACAAGAGTTCAACAAAAATGAAGAAGAGGTCATCGCCTCGATGCCTGCAGTGTCCGTTTCATCATCATTAAATGAAATGGCTTACTGACCTGAAGATGAAAAAAATGTAGGAAGCTCAGAGCAAGCGGGTCAAACTTAGAACTAAATACAAGAGAACACATAATGAATGAAAAAAAAGAAGCATGCATAATGTAAACCAGTAGAACAGCAGGTCAACTACAGCTGTAAATAAACGAAGCATAAATAAAATCACCTTGCAATCATCAGAAAGGAAAAGCAACAGAAACATTACAGTTTGTAGCAAAACAACAACACGTGAAAGAATAGAATGAAAAAAACAAAAAAAAATTAACATTCATAAAAAAAGAAGAAAGAAGAAGACAGAGAAATTAGCTTTAGAAATACTTGCATAAATATAAGAAAAGAGCCAACATATAGGTTGAGGTCATGAATTCTTGATGGAACAAATAGTCAAAAATGCATATTTGATAATATATACTCCCTCCGTCCCAAAATTATTGTCCAGTTTTGTTAAAATATAAGATTTTATTTTTAGTCAAACTTAACCTCTTTTTGGCAGAAGCTTCCAAATATACCCTGCAACATAAATGGTTTAACCGGCCAATTGAAAACCCCATTTCAGAACGGAAGAACAAAGCTTTCAGTCAAGTACCTATAATCCAAACAATTCAGGGGAAGAAGATCAAATTTTGGATAATCTTCTCACTCTAAGTTTCATTTTAGTATTTATGAAGACAATTCTTTTATTTCATGGGAGAGGTTTTAGATTGAAAGAGATCTTCAATCTAGCGTTTGGCCCATTTTTATTATCTTGATCCGACTCAGAGCATCAGATCTTCAATCTTCAATCAAAAGCTTCGGATGAACTGATTTGAGTTTGACAGTTCTTACTCTACGTTTTCGATCTAATGCTATCCCAATGGAGATAAATTATTCTATTCTGTGAAGAATTTCCTTCGAATCATCCCCACTGCTTGGAGCCGTCGGAATTTATTGAAATTTCTTCTCTGCACTCCTTTTCGGCAGGCAACAACGAGGCCACCTCATCTTCACCTCTGCTTAGATCTGTCGGAGAACCATGCCTGCTTCGAGTCGTCGGAGAATTATCATTTGCAGCTGTTGGTTTAGTTTGGTTCTACGGTGAATAATGGAGAAGAAATTTCAGTTAGATTTTTTCTTTTTAGAGACAAAGGGTGTATATGTAATTTAACAAAAAAAAATCAAATCGGACAATAATTTTGGGACAAAATTTTTTTGCTAAACTGGACAATAATTTTAGGAGGGAGGAAGTACAAAAGAGTTGTATCCTGAACCACCAGTACATGATATTCCAATAGAAAATTCATCAAGATTAGTGATGAGCAGAAGCCCCTATTTATCAACATATTATTTTGTAATTACTAAAGAAGGATCATTACCTCATCTTTAACATGAAAAACAAGCCCAAGTGTCTTTCGATTTCTCAATGGAAGCAACTTGACGACTTTGGGAACATTGATTCCATATTTTCCATCAATCGGCCACCTAAAGATCATTATATGAACTATTACACTATCGTAAACGCAGATGTAAAATTTGCAAGCAAAACTTAAAATTGCAGCACACGATGAGATTCTGCAAGTTACAAAAAGAGAAAAAAAAAACTGAGATTCTTAATGTTTGGGGGGTGGAGCTGTTGTTTCATCATAGGGCGTGACTTAAGTTTCTCCAGCAATTCTCTGACCATTGCTAAGACCCAAGTATCCAGCGTAGAAGAGACCAGAAGGCCTAGATATCCAATACATCGGCTCTCACTTCTGTTCAACATAACCAGAAGTTTCAAAGTTTTGATAAACTTAGCATGTTCAAGTATATAGAATAATTAAAACAACACATCCACGTATAATTACGGCCACGTATAATTACGGTAGCTGATCTGCTTCAACAACTAAAAAGCAAACTATCAAGTTAAATTGCAGAGGAAAATAAGTTTATCATAACAGTTCCAAAATCAGCCGTATTTTCAATCCGATTGTGACCGGATCTATCATTTAACAACAAACTTTCATGCTATAAACACAAGATAAATAATAGTACTCTCTCTGCCATAGAATGATTGTCCAAATATGGACAGTCATTTCCAACGAAGAAAGTAATTATTAAAGAGATGAATACTGGGAGAGATCTTATAGTTTCCTGCAGTCGGAATACATAGACGAAGCACACTAAAAGTCATTTATCTATTTTGCTCTGCTCCAACAAAATGCAAAATAACTTCCATTTGCGCAACACAAAACCTCAGGACCAAAGGAAACTATGTAAGAAGATTTAACACGGCGAGAGCTTAGTTTTGTATTAAAAAAAACCACGATTCAACCTCAATCTAATTGGAAGAAACAAGTACTCAGCCAACAAAATTCGCTTTTACCATCATATGATATGAGATTAATCGGATAATCATAAGTGAGAGCATAAGCACCTTCTTCGTTTCTCCTTGACCTTTGAAGAAAAAAGTTAAATTTTATGGGCAGGATTTATGAAATTGATCATCAAACATATTTGCAGTAAAATTAGCGGGGAGATATTCTGAAAAATTTTATAGCCGGCTTGGCGCTCAATTTTTGGCGGCACAATATGTTTCAGGAATTTCGTTGGCGGCTCAATTTTTAGGGGTAAGGCGAGAGAGAGGGAGAGAGAGAGATGCAGGAGAAGAGCGGTCAAAGTTTGTACTTTTTATTTTTTTTACTTTTTCTTTACGTAACTTGTGATATTTATTTCTTTAAATTTTTAGCTTTAATCCCTTGATTTATACTCAAATTATTTTTGCTGACTAGAATGGCACTCTTAATATCTTGCAATAACACCCTTGAACTCATATTTATATCACAATCCCATAAAGTTACAGTTATTTTCAATTCCATCCCTAATTAAATATTCAATTGAACCCAAATACTTTGGCCATGTCACATTTTATATTACTTTTGTCCTAAAATAATTTTCTTATTTAAAATTGTCATTTTTAGTACCAAAGATGATAATCTAATAAGACAATCATTTCGTGAAGCAGAGATTAAATAATTCAAATATCACAAGCATAGTAGCAAAATTGGAGTATTAAAAAAACATAGAAGTTACATTATATTTGAAACAAAATAAAAGAGATTTTTCCAACGAAGTTTTAACCCTCCAATCTTGTAATAATAACAATCATTAGCTAATTCTCATGACCCCGTTCACGATGCTGAATTCTAACTATCCTATTCAACCCTCTCACTCAGCTTGAATTTCATTTACGTATTCATAAATTTTGTGATTCTAAAATAGGTAGAAATACAATCAATTGATGAGAAAGTTCATACATTTCAACAAATGAGCAATACAAAATTTTTTATTCAATTGTTTAGCGTTAAATTGAAGAGTTCTTTTAGAAATTGTATACATATAGTTAGATCAAAGTGTTAATTTGATATCTTGAATTCGTTTAGCAAGTAATAACAATTCTTGGATATGTTGTCTTATAATAGATATTCACATTATGCATCATAGGAATGTTTTTTTTTTTAAGTTAACATGGCAATAGACCAAAGAGTCATATTTCAATAACATACAATGACACAAACTCCATTTAGATTGGGGGATTGTTATATTAGCATAATCTCATGTCTGCAACAATCTTTTTTTTCTCAATTTTTTTTTTTTTTGTGTTTTTGAACAAAAATCAAACTCTCTGCCTTCCAAGTGTTAAGATCTTGCCAACTCTCTATGGCAATCCTCTTTTTTGAACAAAAAATAAATAATAATTGTCTTATAAGTGTTAAAAAATCATGTGAACTTATACTTCCTCTGTTCCAGAAAAATAATCAATATTGAGTTTTTAAATTTGTATTTTTTTTAATATAAATATCAAAACTCAATATGTTGACTATTTCTTTTGACAGAAGGAATAATAAACTTTACATAATATAGAAAAAGGTAATTTTTTAAGATTCCAGAAATAAGAAAAGATGAAGAGGAAATATATTTAGTTAAGATAACAAATTCTTGGTGACTAGTATAGTTGGGCGCCAATATGAATTTTTTTTTCTCTACCATTTAGTGAGGGGCGCCAACTAAAATTTTAAAGAATTAGATCTGATCAATTTTCTCCACTTACCATATCCAATCCTCATCTAAAAGGCATTATATCATATCAATCACACAAATATAGGATTATATTCCAGAGTCCCAATGCCTCTCCATGTCTCTCAAGATTCTTTTGCAAATTATGGATGCCTCTCTCTACTTCTCTATCACTGTTCTTCACAAATCACCGTTCAAGGAGGGATGAAGGCTCACATGGGTAAGATTTTAGTATTTATATAAAAGAATTAGAAAAATCTTCTGCTGTTGAATTCTCTTTGGGGATTGATAATTTTGTTTTAGTTATTAGGGTTTTGACTATTGACTATAAATACATGATTAGCAATAGAGAGGTTCGATCTTGAAACCGGCATGCCAAATTGGGTTGTCCTTAGCTTACATGACTTTAAGCCCAGTGCGATTTGCTTTGAATTGTGATTGTGTTTTTATTTGGATGTGAAGTTAATTATACTGTGAAGTTTCATAATCTTGAGATCTATGAATTTCAATTGTTTTTCTTTATCTGATATGATGATCAAATTCGTTCAAATCATAAGTTTTGTCTCTTTTGTACTCATGATATAATTATATATATATATATAATTGTACAATCCATGAAAAAAATGGGTGGTGCCATTGGTTGTTTAAGATATTACAATTATCTTAAAGAAATTCACTAACGTGTTTTTATTTTGGTTTTTTTTTTTAGAGAAAGCCTTCTAAATCCAAAAGGCATAGCAAGAGGAATTGCAATCTATGAAGCATTTCAACCTTCAAGAGCTACAGTCTAAGACGTTATATTAATATAAATGATTTTACATTTGATAAATGGAGTGTAAACGTTTGATTAGTCCTATTTAGCGTTTTTAATTTTTCAGGATGGACTCAGAGATTGATACTGAACCAAGCACGTGAAGAATATTAACACATACCATGCCCACTAGAGAAATTTTTTCAAGTCATGCCAATTAGATTAGATATACATATTGTACATTAGAGTAGCGTTGTTTTACATTACATACATGTATATAAATATTCTTTCTTATCAAGTTTTAGAATTTTTTTTGTGTACTATACCTTTCTACAACAAAAAATGGATGTTTATTTTTATTTTTGAAAAATGAATCTCATGTAAGTTATGTATTGAATTAAAATATAAAATTGGAGTTATTCAAAATGAAGTCTTTCCTCCGATATATAATAATAATAATAATGTATGATTAAAAAACTGTTTTAGCCAGTTACGTGTAGAGAAAAGTAAAATGCTATTTTAACAATTGAAAACGTCACCAAATGCTACTTAAATGACATCTTAAACTGTCCTAATATGCTACTTATGTAGACAAATTTTTATGTATTTACAAGTTTACATCACGATTCCTAAAAATGTCATAGCAGGTTAGTTGTGTGACTCTTGCAAATGTGTTAAAAGCTATTTATCTATACAAATGATAATGTCTTAAAAATTGCAAATGTTGACACATTTTCACGATTGAAAATGTCATAACAAGCTTAATTACATTACACCTAAAAATGCAAAAATAAGTGATTTATTTGGACAATATTTTGTGTAGCACCGACTTTTAATCTTGACTTTTTAAACTGTTATAATTAATTCGTCAAAAGACAGCTACAAATGTCTTAATATTTTATGTATCAAGATAGTTATCATGTATTAATATTAAGGTACAATGACAACCATAAATGTCAGATTAGATTAATTAAACTACGACTTATTGTGTTGTAATATGACTTTATGAGAACACTTTTGAACATCTATTTTGACATTTGTAAATGTCTTTATTTCTAGCAAACCTATTGTGACCCCTACTTACACTATATTTAAAAATATTGTAACAATAGAGTAAAGTGTCACTATATGTATTTTACAATACATTTTAAAATGTATTAATAACCACTCTTTCTTGTAGTGATTTCGAGTAGCGGTGAAGGCGGCCTGTGGCGCCTTTATTATTCGACATATGATTAGAGTGTTTCTTAACGGGAGAAGAAAATAGGTTTTTAAAATTAAAATTTGGATGATATAGTAATAAAGAGATTGAACTAAGGATAATCTCTTCTCCATTTGAATTCCGAAGGGATGAAGTCCGTTGCATGAATCTCGTATCATTTTTTTTTTTTTTGGAAAAGTATCTCGTATCAGTTGGATTTTTTTAAACTAGGAAAAAAAATTCCTTATTTTCCTGACTCCTGAGCGCGTGTATTCTATAGTATAATAATTGATGAACGTTGGGGAATTCATGAAGACTGTTACAGTAATAATATATTTTCCACGTCTCCTAAAAAATAATTTACAATTTACAATGTCCTGCTTTCTATATATAAAAAAAAAATAGAGAGTGCTTTTTAGATGCCCTCTGCTGTCCAAAAGTCGAGACTTCTTTGTTATGGCATGCTGAAATTTGGTCAGTTTCACGCTAAGTGCTACTCGGTTCATCGACATTTCTATTTTCTAATGCCTTAACTTTTCGAAATTTGTATGAACAAGTATAACTAGCTAGTCCAAACAAGCCGAGGGATTTAGCCCAACAAACACTCTATCTATCCTAAAATAATTGATTTACATAAAATAAGTACTACAATCATTTTGATAAGACCATGGAATAACAACTAACTGGCACAATCACAGACCAAAATAATTAGTCAAGCTCAGAATTAAAAAAATTGAGCATCCTAGTTGTAGAAAATTAAGCGAGTGTCTATTATTTTTCCAAATTTGAGAGTTATTTATTTATTTATTTATTTTTAGGGTCGGTTTTTTTTTTTTTTTTGGTAGTAAAAAGTCTTCCGTGATTTTCCACTCGCATTCTCTTGGCGTGGATGCTATTTACGGTTGTTTCCATCATGGATGGACTTTTAATAGTTTTAGTGGGCATTCCGTTGTCACTTTCTCAGACATGTCCATGGTTTTGCGGGGACTTTCTTCCCTCGTTTCCTTCTTTCCTGAAACTTGAAAGTTAGATTGGGCAATAGCTTGGCTTCTTAAACACCCCCCCCCCCGCAAAAAAAAACCAAAAATAATTCAGAAATTAGGGAATGACAAAAAATATGATTATCGGATTTGTGAAATCCGATCCAACATTGATATTGGATTTTGAAAATCCGATTATTATACATTTGCGAAGATTAATATCAAATTTGTCAAATCCAATAATCATATTATTTTACCATTTCCCTGTTTATTTTGTACCACTTCTTATTTTCTTGAATTTTTATTCTTCTTTTTTGTGTCAAGAACTTGGCAAGCTCTCTACATTTTGAAAGTTTGTAGGAATTTTAGCTTCGGCATTCGGGTCACTTTATTGTTAGTTCACTAGTCCAAAAGAAATTGTTCACAATCCATATTAAATTTTTTATTTTATACTAAAATTAATGTTAAAATATCAAACCTTAACGTTAATTTTTTTTTAACAAAAGGTAATACTACCTCCGTTTTTTTATCTGTCGCTTTAGGGTTTGCACCATTATTAAGAAAACAATGATTGAGAATTAAATTTATAAAGGTTTGTATTGAAAATGAAGTGCGACAGATAAAAAACACTTTAATTTCACCCTAAAACGACAATAAAAAAACGGAGGTAGTAGTATCTTTTAATTAAAAATTGGGACTTGATGGGCCGAAACTTGTTTTTGAATGGCACGTGTTGCGGAAATTGCTTCTTAATTGTTTTGTTCTTTTGATGTGATTATGAATTAATCGCACGGAAATGTTTAAAGAACACCAACTTTTCGTCATTATTAGCATCCGGAGGTCAGCAGGTGGTTATTAGTTATTGAGTCTCTGTTTGGTTCGTTCTTTATTGTTGTTTTCAGAATTTATAATTACTGCTTATGTGCCAACCTAATACTCCCTCCGTCCCATAATTATTATCCAGTTTGAGTTTTTATTTATAGTAAAAATTATATTAAAAGTGAAAATTTAAACTGGACAATAATTATGAAACGGATGGATTATATCTTTTTACATTCCCAATGCACTTTTTTTACATTCATAATACAAAAAATGCACTCAAAAAACGATTCAAACATAGTCGTACAACATATTCAACTTGAAGGTTTTGAACCGCAATAACCATTTCCAAAAAAAGAAAAACAAACAACCAAAGGCATAACCTTGTTGATAATGTGCTGACGGGAAAAGTTAGAACTCAAGAAATTTCCAAACAAATTTCGTAAGCACAAAGTTTATTGACGTTAACAAAGCGAAGCCTAGCATCTTTTTGAGTTTTGTATTTTTTGTGGAGAAAATTTTTTAGATTTATAGTTCATAGATTTTTGTAAAATTTGCAACATTGTGAACACGGCACTACCAACTCACGTGGCGCGCAACTATTGGCTGGATGTACGTGCTCTTAAATCTCAGAGGATTTTCATTTCGTCCCCAATTTTCTCCCCCTGAGAAAACCCTAATCAGAGGTTAATTTTTTCCTTTTTGTTCCAAGGCGAGTCTTCCTTTACTCCTACTATGTCGTAAATTGAACTCGGATGTTGATACCATGGATATCCGTTTACCAAAGGACCCGAAATCCCTAGCTCAAAGAAACAATGCCGTCAAAATGCGCCTCCGAGCTATCTCTAACTTCGCTTCCGCTTCTGCCTCTGCTTCCGAGACGGAGCCGGAGTCGGAGTCCGACTCCCAGAACCACCCAGGTAACCGTAACCACTTAACTTCCCGTGCGGGGCCCGATTTTTCCTCCAGGCTTTCTGATGAGTTATTGTTGAATGTGTTCTCTAAGCTCCCCAAAAGTCAGCTCGTTTCTAACTCGTTGGTTTGTAAAAGATGGTGTAGGCTAAGTGGGAAATTAGTCCGGGCAGTAAAGGTTTTGGATTGGGAGTTCATTCAATCGGGTCGGGTTAGTTATCGGTTCCCTAATTTAATTGATGTTGACATTGTCCAGGCTGGTGTCAAGTCTTGCCGCAACTCTGGGATTCTGTTGAGTAGTAAATTTGTGTCTGTTCGTTTAGATTCTTGTAAGTTTCCTAGGGAAAGTTTTGTCAAAAAAGAGGAATTTTTGGATTCCCAAGTGATTGATAAAGGGGTAAGGACACTGGCCGAAGGATGTTGTAATTTGAAAAGAGTTTCCCTAATCAATGTTAGTGAGCTAGGGTTGCGTAGCATAGCGGAGGAGTGTGAAATGTTGCAGGAAATGGAGTTACATTGCTGTGATGATTTTGCTTTGAAAGGGGTTTCTGGCTGTAGGAATTTGCAGATACTGAGACTAGTTGGTTGTGTTCCTGGTGTTTACAGTTCCTTGATTTCAGATATTGGATTGACCATCTTAGCTCAAGGATGCAGACGGCTGCTTACACTTGAACTGGTGGGCTGTGAAGGGAGTTATGATGGCATTAAGGCGATAGGGCAGTGTTGTCAAATGTTAGAAGAGTTAACCTTATGTGATCACAGGATGGAAGGCGGTTGGTTGTCGGCATTGTCATATTGTGGAAATCTGAAGACACTGAAGCTTCAGTCTTGCAAGAGTATTGATGTTAGTCCAGGACCCGATGAGCATTTGGGGTTTTGTCCTACTCTTGAAGAGTTACATTTGCAGAGATGTCAGTTGAGGGATAAGCAGGGTGTAAGAGCTTTGTTTTTGGTTTGTGGAGCTGTTAGGGAGCTTGTTTTTGAAGATTGTTGGGGGTTGGATAACAATACATTTGCTGCAACCAGTATTTGTAGGTATGGCCCTGTTCAATGATATGGTTTTGTGACATTAATTGAAGTTGAATTCAGCATTCTTTTTCTCTTTATGGAAATTTTAGATTCTCGAGAAAGCACATTTAACGTGGATGTTTCTCGAATTTTAATGTTTAGTAGCTGTGTTATCACTTAGTTTGTGCATTAAATGGATGTTTAAGAATAATTTTACTGTTTTAGCTTCTGCATCAAGTCATAATACTGATTTTCGCTAACGTATGGTCTGCACAAAAATACAACATGAAATCTGGTGGTCTTCCTTCACACAATACTTACAATGTTCTGTTCTCTTACGTCAATGCCCTGGTTCCTCTATCATCATTTCCCCCTTACCCGTAGGAAAAAAAAAACAACAGAAAAAACACTGATGTACATCCCATTTAAAGCCTAGGGGCATTTTTAGCTGATGTGTTTGACGCAGAGTAACACTATACTAATATTTATCTTGTCCTCCGTTCAACTTTAACTAGATTGTTGACTAAACAGTTTTTTTCCCTTTCAGGAGTATAAGATTTCTCTCTTTGGAAGGATGCTCGTTACTAACGATAGAAGGTTTAGAGTCGATAATACTCTCTTGGAAGCATCTAATTAGGCTCAAAGTAGTTTCTTGTAACAACATTAAGGAGAGTGATATCACACCAGAGCTCGCCACTCTATTCGCTGATCTTAAAGAGTTGAAATGGAGTCCTGACTCAAAGTCTCTCTTGTCATCAGGTCTTGCAGAGACAGGAGTTGGGCAGAAAGGCGGTAGATCTTTCAGGTTATAATGAAAAGTGAAGTCCACCATTGAAGGCTGATGAAGCACTTTTTTTGGCTTCTATCTCGGCTCCCTGAACTGTACACAGACAACAATTTACCTAAGGTAGCATCTTTCTGTTCATTTTGGTTAATCAGTGTACTCTTTTTGTAGGTTATAGAATGAATATTTCTAGGTCATCATTAGTTATACCTTGTATGTGGGCATAACCTGATTGCCCAAGCAATACTCCTTAGTTATTATTCAATGTATACTAGTTAGGTGATTTCTAGAATTACTTAGTGTAATAGTTTCTAGAAATGGAACACACACATGCTGTTATACTTGAATTTACCCTTTTACAAGTTAGAAATAAGTTCTCTTGGAGAAACTCAATTTGAAGAGTAAATTTTGTTGTCTTTAGCGTTAATTTTATTGCTAACTCTTATTGAGGTGAAAATATTCAGTTCTTAGCAGTTAATCGAAGCTACTTTTTTCCTTGCCCGTGTGAGAAAATTATGCTGAAAAAATGGAGAATCACCCCATAACTTCATTAACTACCAGAATAATGGGGTAGTGGGATAACGTGATAAAGCTTCTTCAAACTGAACTCTCACCCAAAATATGAGCATAAAATCATCAGTTTTCTTATACAGGAAAGAAGAATTTGCAAAATCAGAACAGAACTTGAAACATGGCTTCTACTTGTTCAACTACTCTTCCCGTGTTCTTCATCACATTTATGTCCAGAGTTTGCTTCATCATTTGCCCCTCCGTCATAGAAGACCTTAACAATTTGAAACCACCTCCAGATTTCAACACAACAATCACAAACAACTGCATCATCAATCCCTCACTCAGATACTGCAACTCCACAGAGCCTTTTGATCTCCTCGAAATCTTCCAGTCCACCATTGTTGCGAGCCATTTGTGCAACGTTTCCGGGAATCCCAACTGCGTCGAATCCTTCCCGAAAATCGACCTTCATAACAAGCCACACATAGCGCCTCTGTATCTGTCTTTTGATTTCTTCTGGAAGTATTGCCCTCTGACAATCATGTCAATTGACGTATCCAACAATTCTTTGAAAGGGAAGTTCCCATCTCAAGTTTTCTACTGTTCACAAATCCATGATCTTGACTTGAGCAACAACTCCTTCTCCGGAGATGTTCCCATTGACAACTTTTCTTCCCTCCCAAACCTCACATTTCTCAATCTATCATACAACATGTTCTGGGAAATCGGAAACGCGAAATCTCATGACTTCTTCTTCAAACGATTCAATTCATCCAGTTTCATTCATTCAGGGATTTTGGTTGATGAGAGAAAACTGATTAGGCTCAAGCTTGTGATCTTACTGGTTGTCCTGCCTACCTTTCTTCTTGCTATCATCTCTTGTTCCTGTTGGTTGGTATCTTCATCCAGGCCAGATTATCTGCCATGTTGCTTTTACAGGAGAAATAGATTCACACAACAAATGCTCAAGGCAGCAACAAATGGATTTTCAAGGAAGAATTTGGTGGGGCAGAGCAATTCCCTGGACGTGTATTACGGAAAACTGAGAGATGGCAGTGAAGTCAGAATCGAATTGTACAAAGACATCCTCGAAAGCTGCGAAGATCGTCAAACGTTTGATGCGAAATGCAAGGTTCTGACTCAGCTAAACCACAAGAACTTGATCGAAGTAATGGGTTGGTGTGATGATGAAAAGCGAAATTTCAGAGCCATTGTTAGTGAATGGATAGATGGTGAGAATAACAACAATGTGGAATCTTGGCTGGTGAATTCTGCCCCTTCATTGGAGCAGAGAATGAAAGTAATCGTTGGGATCTTTAAAGGGATTCGTTATGTCCATGAAGAATGTCCTCAGGTTGAGTGTAATCTCAAAACCAATAAGATATTGTTGAATAAGAACAGAGAACCATTGATCTCAAGGTTCAAAGTTAGTGATGATGAAGATGAAGGCAGCATAACAAAGAGTAAGTTTTCAATTTCACTCATTTTTTTAGAAGTTTTTATAATTATTTTCTCATTACCTCATGATTTTGCTCATTTCTCTCAGAAGTGATTTACAAGTTCGGGGTGTTTTTACTGGAGATGGTATCAAACCGGAGGCCTAATTTGCAGGAATTTGAGAGCGGTGAAATCGGGTTTCTTCGGTATATAAAGGTGCATTATCCTCAAGATTTGCACGTCTTGATCGATGAAAGGATGAAGAAAACGGAGGTGGTTACAAAACAGGCCAAGGAGTTGATTAAACTTGGATTGTTGTGTAGTGATTTATCAGGTGTTCGTGCGCAACCAGGTTGGGATCAGATTTCCCATGTTTTGTCCAAGAATTCTTCTTCCTTGGTTTTTGAATCATCAACTCAACAAAGACGAAATCATTGTCCTGAGGATCAAAGGGGTAAAGGGAAGCAAGTTCAGAAAGATGGCAGTGATGATGATGATGAGGATGATCTGGAAATGAATTCGCATCCGCCATTTAGAAGCGTGACTTTTCATTAGCTTAGTAGACTTAAGATTCTCTTAATAATTCTTTATATTTTTGGCTTTTTCTTTAATTGGAATATACTTCATTATTTATTTATTTATTTATTTTTATTCTAGTATTCAGAGAATAGAAAAGTACCGGGAAAAACCCAAAACTTGGTTAATTAATCAATTGTTTTGAAGTTGTTTCTTGTATTCATTTTTCATAATCATTTATGTGCCAATTATTCATTTTTAGCTGATTTATTGATGACAAAATATTTGATCATATTGTTGAGTTGTAAAGATTCTATCTAGCCTAAAATTCTTTGAAAAGATATTACTCCTTACGTACTAAAATAAGAATCAACGGAAGGGATCGATGAATTGAACATATAATAACGGAAGTTCTTGTGATTTCATCGTTATTAGTATGTGATTTGCCGCCTATACTATTTAACTTCAATTGGATTTCTGGAATTGTATACGTTTTTGTCTTGCGACAAGAATATCACGCTAAGGCTATAAATTAACACAGTACGCCCAGCAAAATTTGGCAGTTTCCTACTCAAATTTGGCAGTTTCTTATTATTTGTAAGATTATAGCAACGAATTAAACATAGTTTCTCTATTCTTAAACATTTCCTTAACGATGACAGATTTTGTACTTATTGAGGTGCTCAATTGATTTATATATATACTTGTTTATCTTGTCAGTGGAATTTGCACCATCCGGCCGCAGCACAAGTGACTATGAAGGGAGGTAAATATCACTCTATATTATTTTCTCTATCCCCAAAATGATTATTAAACTTATAGCAAAAATAATTATTTTGAAATAGAGGATGATGTTATTTTCTTTCCTTTTTTTTTGGGTTAATTTTAGTTGAAATTAGATGTCTTTTAGAACTACTGCATATGCTCAAGTATATGTTGGTGCAACTTGGAAATTGCTTTTGTGGCATTACCATAAACAATTTTTGGCTCCCCAAAATGGCGCTATCGGAAATCTTTATAGCATTCGTGTGTAACGTTCATTAGATCTCATAATCTCTATTGATTTATACTATTATTTGTTGGTACAAATTGTAAATCCAATTTCTAATAAAATTTCTATTTCATGTTGTATGATTGCCTTTTCAGTGATAACCATATATATTCGTTATTCTTGTTGCAACCCAATATGGAGAGGGGAAAAGAAGGTTCTACTTTGACCAAAATTACTATCAAACATATGGAGGTGATCATCTCAAGGTATATGACCAAGGCAAACAAGTTCAACTCCTCATGGACCAAACCACAGGTTGATTTACGTACCATTATTATGTTACCATAACCAAAATGGGTTTAATTTACGTAAACTATCTAAAGCCCATTTTTTTTTTGTTTTTTCAATTTATTGCTTCATCAATTACTTCATTAATTGAAAACTTTATTTTTCTTTGTTTTTGTTTCGTTTGTATAGTTGATGGAAGTTCCTGTGGGACAACCGGTGATTGGTGTGAACCATTTCGAGTTTGATTTTGAGTTCTTCGGAACAAATGGCAATATTAATTCCACCCGTATTAAGCACAAATGTTTTTGCTAATGATCAAGGCGGAAAAGAGCAGCTGTTTTTATCTTTGGTTCGATCCTACATCTGATTTTCATAAATACGAAATTCTGTGGAACCGTCACCAGATTGTGTAACAACTTTTAATTAATAGTCGTCATAAATATCTTGTCTTATTATGATACGTCGTTTATCAAACTAAATTATATTTGATTGTCAATTGATTTTGTGGTAAATGTTGAGATATTTTTTAAAAGTTGATATTATTATTTGTACAGGTGGTTTGTGGATGGGATTCCGAGAAAAACAAGAGCCATCTGGGAATCGGGTTTCGAACGGTGCCCATGCACGTAGAAGCCAGCATATGGAATCCAGATTGGTTGGGGAGGGCAGATTGGTCACAAGCGCCATACACGGCGAATTATCGTGGATTTGCGATTCATGGATTCCGGTATAAAGCTTCTATGCCTAACCGATGCTTATCTGAAGCTTATTATTGGAATCGGAAGCAGTTTTGGCAACTAAGTCCCCCTCAGAATAAACAGCTTCGCTACGTTAGAACTCGTTATATGTTTGAGGATTATAAACCCACCCACATTTATCACAGCGCCGGAGTGCACGACCGTTTAAATTCCGATTCATCGGCGTTGCCGGAATCGGGAGAATTACGTTCCTTCTGGTGCTCCTAACAACATGCCGCCGAAACGCAAAGGTCGAAGAAGTCATCCTACGCCGAGGAAAGCTGAGTCTACTTCTGATGAGGCTGTCGATGGTAAGCTCACAAATTCTCGCCCGTCTGCCTGTGAAGTCCATTGTTCGATTCAAATGCGTTTGCAAAACATGGCGTACTCTGTTCTCATCCCCACAATTTATCGCCATGCATTTCCGGAAAACCTCGGAGAATCCCGCGAATCACTCTCTCATCATTCATGGTATGGATGAAGAGTTCTACCATAATATGTCTTTACTGAATGTTAATTCTACTGAAAAGGAACCCGTTTGTGTAGTGAATCCTTCCCCTGTGGTTCTCTACCAAATGGACTTGGTGGGCTCTGTTAATGGGATGGTTTGCCTGGCTTGCCCTCCTGCTGGAAATACGATTGTCCTGTGGAACCCTGCTATGAATCTATGGAAAGAGATTCAACTCTCTAAAATGTTTAGGCACATTCAATGTTCCAAGGATGGGGTGATTTTGGCAGAGACTCCCAAGGGAACCCTGTTTTCGTATGATCCTGAGACTAATGGAATCAAGGAATACAGTGTCTCCGGCGCTCAGAAAGCATCATTTGAAGCATTCAGCTACATTGAGAGCTTGGTTCGTATTGAGGGTATGGAACTTGTGAAGGAACAAGATAGAGATGTACTGCTTCAAAGATATAAGCATCTTCAACTGCTGCAAAGATGCAACCATCATTGATTCGGCAATCCCTGAAACTTCTTAGTTATTACTATACACTTCTGTGGCCTTTAGATTGTTTGTTTGTGATTTTTCACTTTTTATGATCGGTGAAATGTTTTCTGGGAGGCTTTTTTAGGCAGCTTTACATTTGTGAACCTAATTGAAGACTTTACATTGCCGAACCAAATTGAAGAATATAACTTGCTATTCGTATGCTGGTTTCTGCATCTGTCTTCAAATATGCTACAAGCGAGTGGTTTAAAAAACTACCCTACATGGTAACTTTGATCTGTTATTGTATAGAACTGGGTTATTTTTCATAGTAGGAATGGGCTTCTCCAACCGTAAGTTCATGGTGGAGGGATTTCAATAAGTGTTTAAACTTCTTGTCCAGGACAAGCTAAAAGATCATGGCAATTTATTCTCCGAATAATTGTGAATAGATTACCAGGACCAAAATGCCATATGACAATAGAATCTTATGGGATGTCTTTATACATTTAGGTTGATGATTATTTTTGTAGTTAGGGCTTGATATTGTTTGCCTGGCCCAAGCGAGATTTACAATTTTAAGAGTAATTAGTATGACCTCAATGTTATTGTGTTTCAGGATCGTGCATTTAATTGATGGGACGTGAGCAGATGATTTCCACAATGCTTTTGTTCTGTTTCCAGTACTGGAGGTCAAGTGTTGTAGTTAGGCAGAATAGGATCAGCTTTCTTCATTTGATCTCTGAATCTGTGTCCAGACCAGTTTATATTCTGCTTTTTGTATCTGGATTTGTGGCGTAAGCACTGCATTTTGTTTCTGAATCTGTGATGTAATTACTCTACTCTACTGAGACTTTTATCTATGGTAGCACGAGCTCTTTTGCTAGTCAGAAGCATGTTTATTCATTTCCCTTTACAGAAATCCATCCAATCAAAAACTTTCGAGTTATACACAAAAAGAACCGAGAAATCTATAAAAGAAAAAAAAAAAAAAAACCTTTCTGATATGAAGAGATAGTAATGTGAAGTTACACCTACTAAGCAGGTTCATGTAGGATCAGCTACATATAATACGTTCCTGAGCATCAAACACGCAAACTACAATTCATATGCATTTCCCACATAAAAAAATTAATAAAAAAAAAAGAGTGGAGAACAGACTAAAAGATACAATTACAAAGTGGAATAGTTAATACTAATGCTTAATATCATCTAATACACTATCCACAACCATATTGACCTTTTGGTACCCAAAATCTCCTGGATTGGTGGAGCCCTTTGCTGGGACTACGTTCACTTGGTTACCACCATTAGCAAGCACCAACCTTAAAAGGACCACACCAAATGCTGCAAAAATGAGCACAAAAACAAACCTCATCAAACCCCATTTGATGTTGTCCAATATCTTTCTATCCTTGCCTTTCTCACCGGAGAACTCCTGAGGATCCGCCAGCTGAGAATGTAGCCATTTTGGGGAACTTCTCAAGGCATCTAATGGCTCAGAATGTAGCCATTTTGGGATGCTTCTTAAGCTGAACTTCCAGGAATAAACAATGGTATTCTGCATTGAATTCCCCGGGGAAGAAGAGGAAGAACTCAATCCCATCAACACCTACTTTCCTTTCCGCAGTTCCCCTAAATCAATTTGATAGGCTAGCAATGGATTATAAGGCCTAGGACTACCAAATTCAGACAGTCTAATCTCTAATCTCTTAGAACTCGAATCGTAATCAACCCAAGAATGCACTTTCATCCCACTGCTCAAAACCAAATTAATGGAAGAAACATTGCAAACAGCCACTGAATTGAGACTACCCACTGAATAAAGGCTTCAAAGCACCTTTATTTTTAGTGTTAACAGTATTTGCGCATAGGAACTAATAGTACATTTAGTAGTGCTAATAATTCAACTGAAAAATTCACTAACATTGTTTTGTACATTTCATGGGTGTACGGCAATTTTTAATCACTCTCTTTTGTAGCGAACTAAGTAGTAGCATTTGAAAGGAGCAATCGCGTTAATTGAATCAACAAAATATTATGGAGTTTCTGGCAATGTGATGTAGCTAGGCATGTAGCTGAAACTAGATTATTTTTGTTTTTTTTTTTTTTTTTTGCCACAAAAATGAAGCACTTGTGTTTGTTCTTATTCCGACAAAGAAGAGATATAAAGCCTAAATTAACACTCCATCACGAAAGAGAGCAAGAGTCACAGTTCACAGTATGGCCAAAACTTCACGAAGTTTGAAGGCCTGCAGTTCCCGGCGAGTGCTTTTTTTTAAGTTTTATTCGCAACTAGCAAAGTAACAGTATTGCAACTCAGAAGTCCCACTGATCTCTGGAAATGGAACTAACGGCCCCGGATGGGAGAAAGAACAGCAACTACATGTCCCTAATTCCAGACATAGTAAAACATTTCGGCGTTCTCGATTTATTAGCATTCATTCAAATGGAAAAAGGTGAAATCCCAGCTTGGGGAGGGGCAAGACAGAAGTCATGAGCAGAAAAGCTTCCATACGCCAAATCAGTGGCGCTTCTTCCCGGTTGCTGCTTCCCAAGATGGCAGGATGTTGTTCACTATCTCCTCTACTCCAACACCATGCTTGACCTGTGCTTAGCAAAATTAAAAACTGGTCAACCGGGAACAATCACATTTACGAGCACCATCCAAATATTCACAAACTTTAGTCCACATGTTTGGGACGTCTTATCCCCAGTCAAACCTGAGCAAAGACAAATGGACCACCATCCCGCATTCGCAATGCATCACGTTCCATGACAGACAAATCAGCGCCAACTGCTTCTGCTAGGTCAGTTTTATTAATCACCTGGAAAAATTGACAAGAAAAGCTTCAACATACTCAGGCTCCTACCATATAGGATTTGGCAAACAGACATAAGGCAGATTCTAAAAACAATGCGGCTGATAAAGAAAAATCAAATACATACAAGGAGGTCAGCTTGGGTAATGCCTGGGCCTCCTTTCCGTGGAATTTTATCGCCAGCCGACACATCAATTATGTAGATTATGTAATCAGCCAGTTCTCGACTGAAGTTGGCAGCTAGATTGTCTGCATCCAGGAAAAGAATACAAAGGTCAAGCACAATTCTTAAGTACAGTAATGGTCTACATTAAAGTTGTTAATAATGCATCAGAACTACAGGATTCAGTAAGCTTCGACAAAGCCTGAAAGAAACAAATGCAACTTCAACGCTCCCTCGTATTTCAGTGTCCTGATTTCCAATTGCTCCAATTTCCAAATCATCCAAAATTTCTAATGGTGAATACATTACATACAATGTCCCTTTTCGATGTGAAGATACTAAATAAGAGTATCAGACAGTACACGTGTGCAGAATTACCTCCACCAGATTCACAAAGAAGTATGTCTGCTTTGAATAAGTTAGACAGCTCCTCAAGAGGACCAAGATTGATGCTAATATCCTCCCTGATGGCTGCATGCGGGCAGCCGCCAGTTTCTACAGCACGAATCCTCTCTTCAGGAAGTGCTCCATGCTTTATGAGAAACTCACCATCTTCTTTCGTGAATATGTCATTTGTTACCTAAAAGTGACGTGCTTGTAAGCTCTCATATCAGTTCAGTGAAGATCGCACAACACAAAGAAAGTTCCTTCATACAATTCATTATATGATTATCATCCCATTGTTTATCCGGCACCCTCCCTAACCCACTAACATCCAATAAATAGGAATGGGAAAGTGTCTGAGGCACAAACCATTTTATTTTGGACAAAAGAAAACCCAAAGCTGAATATAACACTTACAGCGGCAAGACTGTACTTGTCCCTCAAGAATTTGCATAAGGCCAACATTAGTGCCGTTTTCCTTCAATCACGAGCAAAACCTCATCAGTGAATTCAACATAGCCAGACTGCATGAACCTAAGATTAAATCTTTTAACAATAAAGGTCTCTTCCACCTCCCCCAAAAAAAAGTTTCCCAGTTCTTGTCAGGCTTGGCAGCAATCGGCTATCCCAAAAGCTGATAAGACTGATATATAAGAAAATAACAAAACAGGACTTGGGATGAACTAAAACTACCACAACCTAAGCACACTGTTTTATCAACAAACCCAAACAGTGAAAACATTGTCCACAGATTACAATCTTGCCACACCCTTTTGAAAATTAACTTTTAGCATAAATCTGGCCATACTCTTTTGGCAACTCCGAAATTCAATTTGAAGTTGAATTCATCAACAGCAAGAGCATATAGCATCACAGTTCCAAGAGGAAACTTGACAATTTCTGTTTCTCTAAATTCAATTCCATAATTTAATTGGGAGTGCTTTGCTTTTCACACAAAATCCAAAACGGAAATAGCATCATAAACATGAACCAAGCCAATGCAAACTACCACTGTGTAGTACTTTTTGGAGTTTAATATTGCACCAAAATCCATTTCATGTAGTAAATTCGACGTTAGACAAAGGGCAGAAGAAGATAAATCATCAGGCAAAACACTCAAAAAGCAGAGAAACATATAATACCCGGTACCAACAGGACCACCAATACCAATGGTGAAAGCCCTTTCAGAGAAATCTCGGTTAGTCAACGGGCGAGCCCTCCGGCTAAAATAGCCAGGTGAGTAAATTGGCTCGTGAGAATGAGGTGCCAATCCGTCATGGCTATGGTACTTCTTGCCGTCTGGTCCAATCCATGAAGTTTCTCCCGGGCCCCTGTTTTACACACAGAATTATCACTCCATCAAACTCAGAATTGAAAGATGAAATTCAATTACCTAGTAGAAACTTCAAAGTAGCACATTACTCATGGGTATGGTGATGATGATGGTCATGGTCGTGGTCGTGGTGGTGGTGGTCGTGGGTATGATGATCCTGAGAAGCCATCTGAGTTTGCTAAAGCCGATGAATCTTGGAAGGAATCTTTTCGGTCCGGCTGGGAGGGTTATCCAGATTCCAACAAGTATATATAAAAAAAAATATCTGAATTTCGCTGTCACTGTCGTCTTCTAGGAGGCAACCACCTCACAATTATTGGGTGCTACCGTGGAGGACTTGGAGACTTGGAGTTTACTTATTTTTTTTAAAGTTTGACCTGGATTCTGATTGGACAGATTTCAAATTTCCCATTGCTAACGTCGGATATACCAAACATCAAACTATTCTTAACTGTTATAGAAAAAAGCCCAAATCAAGTTGATACTGAGCAAATGATTCTTGAAACAATGGCAGTAATTCCTCTTGTAACTCTCAAATGATCAGTTTTCTGGTTTACTCCCACCTTCCAAAACAAGTTTTACTGATGATTTGGGGCCAGGGTAAGAGAGATTAAAAGAAATTGCCCCCAGTTCAATAACAGCTCCTGATCTTTACTCTGTTTCTTTCTCACTTTTCTCTTGAATTCCAGTTGGATGACAGACTCTTCTTGGGATTTGATGTAAGTTTATAATGTACTGTATTTTTGAAATAAAATTAATCTCTGATTATATTCACATTGAAATTTGATTGCAGAAAAGAAATACTCCTCCTAATAATCTCTGATCATCAATTTGATGCTTGCACTCAATCACTCAAAATCACAAAAGCCTCACAATCTCCTCCCCCTCCATCAAAATCACAGTGGAAATACAGAGTGCAAGGATCAAAAAATGAAATAGTACAGTACAATTTTACACAAAGCTGCTCACAAATATTACAGTATGTATGTATCATATCAATATCATGTGCTATGTAACAGTGCTTACAAACTCTTATTATGTCAACTGAAACAACTTATTTAGTGCAGTGCTTCTGGAAAAATAAGCCCCCAATGCATTGCTTTTCCGATAGGACGACGTCCTCGCGCCGTCGGCCTTATTCTTATTATCCTCCGTTTGGGTATTTACTTGAACTGACGACAATGGCGAAAGGGTTACATTATTCGGTTCATTCCCGGTTTGCACAACTCCTTGCTTTTGTATGTAATCCCATTTGTCCTGAATGAGGTAAAAGAATGCCATCAAACCCACCTGAGCTGTGAAAAGTATAGTCCAAAGGGTTGCATTCCTTGATGTTTTGATGTGGTATGCTTTTAATCCGGTGTAAGTATTGAAAATTCCGACAAAGGATATTGCTGTTCCCAGAATCCAATGGAATATGTACCAAATGCATCTGGCTTTACTTCCCCTTCTTGGCCTCCGAAATGCAGTTAAGACTTGCAAATACATTGCTCCATAGAGTGCTAATCCAACTCTTTGGTGACAATTATTGAAGGCATTCTCAAAGTTTCTGATGGACAGTACTGCTCCAGCTGTTGCAAGCAGCACTGCACATACCTTTTTACATTTCAAATCAACCGATCGTCAGATTTGACGTGTTCAGAAATCGAATCTCATCTCGAGTATGACGAGAGTTTAGAAATTATTATAAAAAGAAGATTAACATTAAGTTAAGTGATAATTTGGGTGATTTTACCCACAGATTATTTTACTTTTGAAGGGAAAAAAGTGAAATGATGAACTTGAACATGCAAGAAATCAACATCAAAATACAAAGTTGATCCTTTTCTTTTTAACACACTTTTTTTTTTTTATAATATAGGTGTTAAAATTGTACAAAAGTCATCAAGGTCACTTCACAGACAGCAACAAAATTCAAAGCTAGGATCAAAGCTATTTCTACCAAACGGTGGGGGCTCCGATTATGCTTTCGTGTCCTACATAAATCCGTCCATTATTGAACAATGCCATGATTATGTATCAAGAAAAAGGGGAAAAGAAAAGGGAGTTTAATCATAACAGCTTACGACCACAAAAGGACCATTTTATTCATCTACTAAAAATCATTTTTGTAGTTATTATTATATATTGTAATAACGACACCTAATTTAATTGATTAACTGGAATAGACATTTTGCCAAACAAAAAATTCAAATTACCATCATCATCACATTCTAGTTAATTGATTTTTACCTGTACAACTGCATGGAGATAAAAGAATACTTTAAGTCTTGTCCTTTGTGATTCATGTTTAGTTGACAGTCTGATTAACAGTATTCCAACAGGCATAAGAAAACCCATTGAAGCCCATAACAGGATTCCATGAACAGCAATATGATTTGCCTTCTGATCATCCCCCTGCCGAGAAATTCACCAGAAAAATGTACTTTAATCTTAACATCATGAGAGCACAAAAAAGTAGGAGTGCCTCATTTGTCAATGTACTTTAATCAAAATGTACTACAAACATAAAATGTATAATAAACCCGAAATGGTTGATCAAACTATTGATACATAAGCAAAAGCCAGCTATCAATCTCATTTGCAAAATCAAAGAGCTAGCCAAATTCAATCAATGTTCATATGGGTTCGAATTCCATAGCAAAAATAATTTTGCCCTCACTTCATCGGCAAGAATACAACATTCCAACTCAATCATGTACAGGCTAGCTTCAAGAAAAGTTTCAAAAGCTGTAATGAGACAGAGAAGAGCAAGATGGGCAACTTACTTGATTATGTTTTATGACAATATGATTTCTGGCTGGCTTCAACACGAAGACGGATGAGCATGCCGCGGAAGGTAGAAGAGCTAAAAAACTAGCACAGCAGCAGAATTTTAGCAGTAAATGCATGGTTCAAACTCCAGAGAAAGAACAAGAAAACTCTGCTTCTGCAGCAATTTTTAGTTTTTTTGGTGGCAAGCTGCAGGGCTTATATTATATGTACTGCTGCTGACTGATTTCACTCTCCTTTCTCTCTTCCTTGGTTTTATAATAAGTTGGTCACTCTCGAAAAGAAGCAAAAAATCATTCGACTGAATACTTTTGATGGAGATAGCAATGATGACATCTGATGTTGGTTGAAGGAAAAAAAAAAAAAAAGGCATGTTCATGTCTTGATGACTCCTCGTCATTCATGTAGATTTCATATTTTAGAAGTGACCCGTAACGAGCTTGTAGTCCAACCCCCACTACTTCCAAAATACATTACCTTATTATCCTCATATTTAATTTCAACAAGGAGTAAGGAGGGAAAAAGTGTTTGATGACTGATATTGGATGCTGTTTTCTTCCTTTTTCCAGAAAAAAAAAAAGAAAAAAAATTTATAAACTTTAAATTTAAAAAAATAAAAATAAAAATCATCCTCCTAGTGCACTTCAGTATGTGTTTGACAGTAACTCCATACGTGTTGAAATTATATTTACTGAATATAAGGCAGTCGATGTATGTTAGTAATATTCTTTTAGACTTGTAAGCATCAATTCAATGTCAGTGATTGTTTTCAAGGGATTGGGACAAATCCCGATTCTGTAGAACTTATTATATGCTACCGAACAATGGAAACCCAATTCCATGTCCCTATTCTATGGTATCCAACGGAGATAAAAATGATTCTGGGAAGCTCTGGAAACTGGAAAGGTGACTGAATTTATAGAACACATTTGTTTGCAAGCAATGTTGTGTGGTAAACCATCCTTGAGAGTATGAAAACCCATAAATTTATCGGATCATAAAATAGCCCACGTGATCAACCGGTATACATAAATGGCAGAGAGAAGCATTTGATGAACCTCTCCTGAAGACAGGGAGAATCCCCTGAAATATTGAACAGAACCTGTTGATTTTCAACTGATATGTCATTCCCTAATCAAAGGATCCTTAACTGGAAACATATAATTCTCTAGAATTGTACTACGATATATGAAGAAATTCCAACAATCAAAGATTATCTTTCCTCCAAACACACTCTTCAAAATATGGCATAGCTTTAAAAAGACAGATATAGGGATACTAACTTCCAAAAAAGCAAAATTAACACTGTTTGCTATTCTTTCATAATCAAAAAAATAAATCATCCACATAGAGGGGTCCATTATCAATCCCTTTAGCCGATCTAAGGCAAGCATAAAAAGTACCGATGACTAGCACAAACAAAACTCGTCGGCCAAGCCTATTACATGAACAAGTTTGGCCTGGTTGCCTTGTAGGTTGTCTTCAGCTTCCTGGTAGGTGGCCTGACCTTCTTGAACACCAAGGGGAACTTGATCTTGGAGTTGTGAAATTGCTTTGTGCTCTCCCTCTTGCACAGCTTGGCAGGGACAGTAGCAGTCTTAATGATCTGAATGCAGTGGTGGCGAACCCTGTGGCGAGACGCCATTTCAGTATACATCTGCTCCACTGCACCATTCAAAGTTGTGTCCCTGTACTCCTTGTACATGTTATGGTAACCGGTTCTGCTCTGGTACCTCAACCAAATACCATAGTTCTTGATGGTCGTAGGGTTCTTCTCAAATATCTGTATAGCACAACAAAACACAATGGTCACAAAACTCTACTTGTAAAACCAGCAATCAGAAAAACGACGTCCCTACACACTTGATTATGTAAGGTATGATTTTAAAAGGACAGCATTAAGTGTTGGTGCTAAGGTGAAAAAGAGCAGAAAAATTAACAAAATATCTGCCGTCACCCCAACAAATAGCCCTCTGCTGTTTACAGAGTATAGTGAACCTTGCTAATCAAGGGTATAGGCAAGAGTACAGATAGAATAAATTATGGTAGAAATCTAACCAGTTACTACCTAATAAAGTGACCTCACATCAAAGAATGCTATCAATTTTATCCTTCATAAAACCAACCTAAACCACTTCACACAGATGGTTTCTAACAAAATAATCCCACCCACTAACTACAAAGTTTCTTCAACTACAAATGATGTATTACACAAAAAAAGCATTATGCAAATTCAAATATGAATAACAAGGTTGTCCAATAGTGAAAGCTAAATCAATAACTCCCACATTGCAAAGATAAACTTTCAACACATTCAAAATTTCCACAGAAAGAAGAAATCCCAACAAATTAAGTCTAATACAAAAACTTCTAAAACACATAACCTCACAAGGGATAAAAAAAAAAGTTCATATCACCAAAACCTGATCATAAATAAGAGCGCCATTTAAACAACTCACTACCCTGAAGCACACTAGCTCAGAGAAGTGATAAAAACTCTCCAAAAACAATCACTTAAAAATCAAAACCATCACCCTTGTAGATACAAGTAGGAGATTCTATAAGAAGTGACAATCCTGATAGGTTACCTCATTGATAGCAAGAACCTGACCATTGCTTTTCTTCACTTTCTTCAGCTTTCGTAAGAAATACCTAAAATAGACAATAATTAGGAACAGTACCAACCAGCACGAACAAGAAAACCATTTCATCCACGGAAATGACAGAAAAACTTCTGCTTAGCTAAACTAACAAGCATATCATTCTAACCACACCAGCACGAATAATAACATCATAAAGCCATGCAAAACTAGATCACACCTACCTTAGAAGAAAGAAAGGAAACAAAGAAAATCTGAAAACTAGCGCACATATTTAACCCATCTCCAACACCCGCGCCCCCAAAAAAAAAAAAGAGAACTAACAAATAGACAGTACAAACGAGTAAAGTTTCTTAGCCAAACGAGGTAAAATAATCCATGTCCTCTCACCCTCAAATAAAAGCATCGAACGAATAAAGCCATAAACCCACATACATTTCCAACAACAAAAGGCACAAGTTTCATACTCCTAAATTACAGATCATTGCATTCCCCCAGCCCCAGACAAGAAAAAATGAACGTATTAGAAAGAGAATCCGATTACACACCAGAATTTCGACTTTGCGCGCACTTCGTTAGTGGCCCAAAGCTTCATCCGGTAGATCTTAGGGTGCTCATCCGATTCTGAGGGCAGAGCTCTCCCCACAACTTGATACTGGTGAAACTGCACAAAACAAACAGCAAAAGTTTCCGATTAAGAACTTTCGAAATCAAATTCATCCATGGAAGGGGGATAAACAAGAAAACAGAAAAGGAATCCTTAGAGGGTTTGATTATTCAGGCGAGGAAAGGCAGATTCTTACTTTGTAGTTCACCATTTCCGCCGCAGAATCTCTCTTCTCTCCCTCCGTGTCTGACTCTGAGTGCTGGGTGTGCTGTTTAGGGCGAGATGGCGATAAAACGTTTGTTAGGGTTTTGTAGGTTTTTATAGTGGAAACTGGAAAGGGAGTCAGTTTTAAAGCCCTAGAAGATCGCGGACTTTTGGCTTTTGGACTAAGCCTTATTGGGTTGGGCTTGTTTCTTTGACTGACTTCTTAAATCGGCCTAATCGGGACTACCGCCGCAAGCCTGCCAAAACATTCTTTGTTGTGTTATATCAGCGTACTACCAGAACTATCATTAACAAACATATCGCTCCCTGAAGTCAGCTACTTTCACTTTCACCGTCCGTCCTCCAGTTATAATAACCTATCATAAAATATTTTAGAAGTTAAATAAACATGATACTCCCTCTCTGCCGTAATTATTGTCCAATTTAGACTTTCGTTTTTAGTTCAAATTATGAAATCTCAAACTGAATAATAATTTTGAGACAGAGGGAGTATTTCGGATCATTGGAGTAATTGTTTCAGAAAATTTGCATTTTTATTTCATAAAATTATTTCACATTCACTCAGATTCTAAGTGAATTTGTGATATGTAGTATAGAATAGAGAGCATTGGCCGAACCATATGTAAATACTCCTGACTTTTATTTATTCAGTTTCACATAAATCCTACATTTCCACAAGATAATTCTTTCCCAAAAAAAAAATAAAAAAAAAAATTGAGAGAACAAGATGATTCTTGTTGTGTTCGGGGGAAATGAGGATTTTCTTTTTCACTACTCTACCAAGTAATTGAAATAAATATATCAAGCACCAAAGAACCTATTCACAGACAAAAAGAAATATCCACAAAAGATAAATAACCAAGTGACCTTCCAAGTCAATTTTACATCTGTAAACTACATATATCTGTGTGTGACGAGTTAATGGTAAGCTGCCGATCATCTTTCACATTTCTGACCATATGCTTTGTGTTCCTTCGTTCAATTTACTTCCCTCCCCTCGACGTACTGTTGACATAGACCCCTTTCAGGAGTTTTTGAACCTTCACCAGGCATTGGTGGCTTTTGTCACTCCAAGGCTAATAGCCACTAACGCCAGTATCGCCTGTGTTACAACCAAACCAAACTATGAGAAGTCGCAATGATCTAGTAAAACAAGAGAATCGGGTATATTCATTCATTCAGGTGGGAAACTTGGTAAAAGAAATGTTCCACCGCATCGCCATCCTCATAAGATTGAATCAACCACCAAAAGAAGTGGCCTATATCATGACCTAAGTTCATAGTTTATAAACTGATTTTGCATTTCAATAACCATAATAGGGGAATCAAACTTTTATTATTAGCAGCAGCTCGACGGGCGATAGGTGTTATGGATGGGAGGCAAAACAAGAGATGATGATTACAATAATTCATACGACACTTACAAATATACAGAACAACTTTTTTTTTTTTTTTTGGAGGTAAAGATTGGTCCAAAAAAAGGAGGCAAATGAACTTACAGCCAATGTACAAGCAAAAAGTCCTGGTTTTTCTCTGTGATCCAACCTAGCACACATTAAAAGGAAAGCTCCAATGTACCAGGGAACAGCACCGAGGAAAAAACCAAAAATAAACCTGTAAAAAAGGCAACAAAAAAATATCAAACTGATGGTGAAAACTCAGGAAACCAAAGATTTCAAGTAAACAACATCAGACTAAGTTGAAAGCAGCAATGTTCAATGCCTGGATTACAATCCACTCACCTCAAACTCGTAAAAAGGGGTTTATTTTCTATGAGATACAATTCTAATTGACTGCAATAGACCCCAAATTTCTGATATATAGTCATTGAAACCAAAACCATGTGTGTCCTATGATCACCTTCGGCACTGATGATGGCTTTCTGGTGGGAAGCAACTCAGGTGAAGCAATAACAGGTTTACCAAACATACAGCATGATAGTGCATGAAAAACTATCACAACACATTGCCTATAAGTGGGATGTAGATCATATTGCCTATCATCAAAGCTCTCCAATTCACATGATTTCAATACTTTCCCAATTCCGTTTCACTTCCCCCTTTCCCTTTTGCTATAGGCTGATTATTTTCTATCTTCTACAACGTCATCTTAGGGCATTTGCAGGGCCCTTATGCAAGTCAAACCACCCGATATGTGTTTTATTCATATTCTTATCTGTTTGGGTGCCTCCAACTCTTCTTGTTAATGCAATCATTCATGTGTCTTATCTAATCTAGGGTGTCACCACATACAGAGAGTCAAGTGTACAGAATAACCCACACAAATGGAAACTGAAAGAGTAATAACGGAAACTTACAGCAACCAACCAATCCCGATGCCACAACAAGGAAGCCTACGTGGTACAACATATATACCTTCAGCAACAGCATAACCTAGGCAGAAGAAAAGGCCATGGGAAACCAGTTAACTAAAATGAAAATACTTAAGGCAACAACAACAGGGATATAAGGCCTGCACTTTCTCCAGATTTTAAGCAAATTGTAGAATGATTACCAAAACAACATAAAGTAAATTTCTAGGGCAGCAGGATCCTCAACTGGCAATTCATTTTACTTCGAGTAAAGATGCATGGTTTAATCACTTCTCATTTGAACATAATTTAACAAGAGTTAACTCTGTTCCAACACTTTCTCACTGCTTTCGAAAGCTGGCAGCTTTTAATAACTTTTGGCACACAAAAGAAACTATAAGAGCTTCTCAAGCTTCCAGCATGTAGAAAGGAGAAACAAGCAGAGAAATTAAATTTTAAATCCTAAACTTTCTTCTAGCACGTAAAAGACTTTAGAAGCCAGTTTTACCCAAAGAGTATAAATGTGAAGGGTGGATCAGAAGTAGAGTACGTAAAGAATTCTCAAATAAAATGGTAACATGCCATTCCATTTAGTCCAAGGATCCACAGGATATGCAAGTCACAGAAAACCAAAAACTATCTCCAAAAAATTCTATCTATTATCTTCCTAAAATAAATTCACAAAATAAACGCCAGATCCCAATCAAACCAAACCCAAATTATCCCCTTTGAACAGTGCACAATCACAACAAAAATTCTTGAAAACACCAAGCTTCTTAAATCTTCTTGGTATACAATTTCCTTGACATTTAAAATTCAACTCAATACACTTTTTCAATGAGAAAAATGGCAATTATACAAACACCACACGCCTTCCATCAGATAAAATTTCATATGGTAGGAGTCAAAGCTTCAAATTTCTCAACGCAAACATGAAATTCGAGCGTTATAATACCTGGTACCGCTTGATAACCAACATGCTGATGATAATAATAGGGCGAAGGAACGGCGGTGCCAGGTGGGGGTATCGGTTGAGGGAATCCAACAACCGGGGCAGACGCTGGAGGAGGCGGAGCAGAAGGCATCGGCGGCTGAGAATTTACGCCTTGGAACGTTCCATAGTAATATTGGCGCGAAAACGCCGGCTCAGCACCGGAGCTGGCGTCAACGGTGACGGAGACACCGCTCGTCTTCCCTTCGTCAACGGTCATTTTAGCGATGAAGGATCCAAACGACGAAGTGTTGCTGGCCGTCGGTTGGGGAAAAAATCGTAACTGATGGGACGGGTTTCGTTGGGGAATTTGGGCGGTTTCGCGATTTCCAGTTGGATTAGCTGTTAAGTTTGTTCTAATTAAGGAAGAAGCAAAAAAAAAAACATTGTTAAAAAGGATCTTCGTTGTCAACTGTTAAGAATTGGAACCGACCTACGAACATGTGTGAGTTGTCAAAATCAAAATCGAGTTTTTACGGGAGTTTTACAAATAAAATTATTTTTTGGACACGGAAAAGTAACGTTTTTCCAAGTACAAATTCAAACTCGTGCAATTTTAAATTTATTACTCTTCTGTAGATAAATATAAATCATTTTGATTTGTCTTAAATTTCATTCAATATATATTTTTAATTGATAAAAATTTTCAAAATACGTATTATGTGAAATCTAAAACATTCAAAATGTCTTACATTATAGATCGGAGAGACTATCATTTAGCATGTCAAACTTTATAACATCATTAAAACCGAAATCAAAGTAAGCGAGGAATCCCTCTAATCTCGTTGTTTTAAGCTTAGACAGCATTAAGCTATACTCCTGGCAGAGTCAGGGCTCAGCTAATTTATATCCCTTAACAAGAACAACCCGATGATCGGGCGGTAGTGATTTGGGGTTTAGGTTGTTTATTGACTTGTTCTAAAAAAAATAAAAAATAAAAAGACTTGTTTGCAAGACTCTTTATCTCAATGTACTTGACAAATACTAACTTTAATTATATATAGACATAGTCAATATGCTCTTTATCCTGGTGTATATAAGTTGAGTAAAAGTTTTAAACATTTTTTCCATGGATATAAGTGCACGAAAAATCTTAAACATCAAGTTTAAATTTGGTGATTTAGTTATATGATAAATTTTGGAGAAAAATCTCTATCTATTACGTCGATGTACAAGAGTTTATATATACAAACATTAGGGCTAAAGTTACCTTAAATTACGGTAAAAGTAATTATATTAAATATTACCTAATATTTACCAATACCCCCTTAAGTTGGTGCATGAGGATTCTAAATGCCCAACTTGCCAAGAAAATAATCAAATTTACGCTTCCCTAAAGCCTTAGTAAAGATGTCTGCCAGTTGCACACAAGTAGGAACAAAACTAGGAGATCGAAGAGTTAAAGGACAACCCGCCCAATCTGAATCACACCAGGCAGACAACTGTAAATCACAATCAGAGCGCAACAAGACACCCTGACCAAGATTACCCTTCAAATACCGAACAACGCGAAGAACAGCCTCCCAGTGATCAAGCATAGAAGACTGCATGAACTGAGCTAACATATGAATACAATAAGATAGCTCAGGCCGAGTAACAGCAAGATAAATCAAACGGCCAACCAAGCGACGATACCGTTGTGGATTGGGCATAAGAACACTATGAGCCAGCGGAAGATGATGATTTTGTTCCAAAGGAGTATCAACAGGTTTGAAACCCAAGAATCCCACTTCAGAGAGAATATCCAATGTATATTTACGCTGGCAAAGAAAAATGCTAGTAACATTCCTGGCCACCTCAATTCCCAAAAAATATTTTAACTTACCAAGATTTTTCATGTGGAAACAATGGCTCAGATAGTTCTTAAACTTAGCAATCGCAGAGCTATCATTGCCAAAGATAATTAAAGCATCAACATAAACCAAAACTTTTAGTCGCACACCATCACGCTCCAAATTAAATAGTGAATAATCAGAATAAGACTGACGAAACCCATACCGAGTCAGAGCATTAACCAGCTTGGCAAACTAGCATCGAGGAGCCTGTTTCAACCCATACAAAGAACGGCGCAACCGACAAACTTGGCCAGGAGAGCTAGAGCGAAAACCAGGAGGCATTTTCATGTACACCTCTTCATCAAGATCACCATGAAAAAATGCATTATGCACGTTCATTTGATGAAGTTCCCAATTCTTGGCAGCAGTAACAGCAAGAAATGTACAAACAGTCACCATATTTGCAACAGGAGCAAAAGTCTCTGTATAATCAAGTCCTTCAACCTGATTATTTCCAAGAATGATGACACGAGCTTTATAGTGCTCAACAGTGCCATCAGACCGGTGTTTAATCTTGTAGACCCATTTACATCCAATAGCTTTCTTTCCGGGGGGGAAGATTTTCCATAGTTCATGTCTGATTATCTTCAAGAGCCTGAATCTCAAGTTGCATCGATGAACTCCATTTCTAATGGGCAAATACTTCAGCAAAGGTGCGAGGCTCAACCTCGGAAGCTACAGCTGCCAAAAAATTCTGATGTGCTTAAAAGAATTATAATCAACACAATGACCTATAGGATAAGGCTTACTTGAGGATAGGGATTGAACAGATGAACTAGCTGGGGGTTAGAGGAACGAATTATATCAATCACATAGTTGCGTAAACGAGAAAAAAGATATTTAGTACGATGCCCACGACCCAATATCTCAGGAGGCACTACATCTTCTGTGCCTCCCCGACTTCAGTGCGATCCACAATCTCAGAAGTCACTGAATCAGAGGTAGGTAGATCCTCAATAGAAGATGGCGGTGTATAAACAACCACAATACCATCATCATCATTATCATCAATAACAACAACATGCCAATCACTCAATTGTTTCTCTGAACGAGAAGGCACAACACTGGAATCGTGTGCCATATAGGGAAACACTTCTTCACAAAATTTCACATCACGTGAAACAAAGAAAACACTAGATTCAAGATCATAAACAAACCATCCTTTTTTCCCATATGGATAACCAACAAATAGACACTTGCGACTTCTACTAGCAAACTTATCACCCTTCCAGTGTTGATTATGCACATAGTACAGACAACTAAAAACTAGCAAATGCTTAATATCTGGGGTTTTTGAAAACAACATCTCAAACAGGGTCTTATTGTTCAACACATAAGTAGGTGTACGATTAATTAAATAACCAGCAGCCAATACACAATGTCCCCAAAACTCAATTGGCAAATTGGTCTGAAAACATAAGGCACGGGCAGCATTAAGAATGTGCACGACCATTTTGCTGTAGTATACCAACACAAGAGGTCTTATGCAAAATACCAGATGCTTGAAAATAATTGGTCAAGCAAACAAACTCAGTGTCATTAGCACTACGTACAGTCTTAATCAATCGATTAAACTAACGTTTCACCATAGCAAAGAAATTTCGCAAAGTTGCATATACTTCAGACTTATCAACAAGCAAATAAATCTATGTTGCACGTGAAAAATCATCCACAATAGTCAATAAATAACGTGCTCCATAAAATGATGGAACATTGTAAGGACCCCACAAATCACAGTGAATCAGTTGAAAAGCCTCCAAAGTATTATTTCTATTGAGGGGAAAACTATCCCTAGTATGCTTGGCTCGAACACAAAACATCACACACTTCTTTGTGAACATTGCCCTTATCATCAGGACTAACACCACACAATTTTTCAACAACCTTAAAAGATGGATGTCCCAATCGTTTATGCCACAGGTCCGAAGATCCTTCAACATGAACTGGCGCTGCCACTGCTTCCACTATTTCTCAGAAAAAATAAAGTCCCCCCATTTGTTCACCAGCTCCAATCACCTTCCTCGAAATGCTTTCCTGGACAACACAATTTTTATTAGTAAACTGAGCTACACAACCTGAATCTTCCAACGAGTGGTACAAAGAGATTAAACTACATTTCAAAGAGGGAACAAAAAGAACATTAAATAAAGTGGCATGCCGACTAAGATACACTGTTCCCGTCTTTGTAGCTAGAGTTACATCCCCAATTGGGTTGTATCGGACGTGCCTCAATCTCGTGTACATCAACCAGATAATCTAAAAATACTGTCATATGGTGCGTCGCTCCACAATCATACATCCAATCATAGGAATAATTTGTAGGATTTAATCTTTTGGTGCCTTCTTGCTTTGCCGAATACAATAAACTTAACAAAGAATCTCATTTCTTATGATTCAAGCTGGTAGCTGCAACCTTCGAATGCTCATTGGCAACGAAATAACCAACACTGCTGTCGGAATGAGCCTCTCTGACTGTAATATTACGGCCATCAAGAATGTTACCATTCATGCTCTCAATTACATTCTACATGGCTTACTCATTCTTAAAAGTCACGAATCCAAACCCTCTTGATCGCCCGGTCTCACGATCATATATGACTCTGGCATCTAGAATATCGCCAAACTCAGAAAAAACATCATTAAGAGACTGGATAGTAGTAAACCATGCTAATTCACCAACAAAACAACGATATTGAACATAAGAATCATTCATATCTCTTTGAACCAAATTAAATAAAGCAGATTTTTAATTCCAGCTTAATAGGAAAAGAAATAGCAGGCTGAAATAATAACAAACACAACCAGCGGAATGAAGCCAAAACTCAATTCTGGTCCCAAAAAAAAAAAATGAAGAGCACCCACGATCAAATTAAAGAATGAGGACAATAATCAGCCACAAAGTAGAACTCCACCAAAATCAATGCTTTTGCCCGCCGTCGTGCATCGCACTACCAACCCCCAAACCCAACGACGCAACCAAAAGCCTTGTGATAAAGTGACCTCGTATATACTTCGATTTAGGGGAAATAACGATGATGATTACTCAATTGACAAGAAAATAATTGTACAAACAGAGAGGCGGCTTTCTAAACCTACTTTGATGCCATGATAAATTTGGGAGAAAAATCTCTGTCTATTACCTTAAACTACGTTAAAAGTAACTATATTAAATATTACATAATATTTACCAATATTATCAAATGCTTAAACTGAAGAGCACAGAATAAAAATTAAATTGAGTTCTTTATTTCAATACCGGATTTGAACAAAAAAAAAAGTTAAGTTAAAAATTTGTTATTGAACTCATTATCTCTATTCCAAGATCAATGAAAAAAAAAATTGACCTAGGTGTCGATTTCACTATCTCAATGTCAAAATCAACCGATGCAAACAAAAACCCCAAAAAAAAAAAAGAAAAGAAAAAAAAAGACAAAAGGGTTTCGTCGACTTTAGCGTCAAATTAATTATGGCGGCTTTAAAGTCGACGAGTACTAATAAACAAAAAGTTGAAGTTCGTCGACTTTGATGTCGGTTATATTTTATTGACGCCGAAATCGATGAATAAAAATAAACAACAAGTTGGAGTTCCCCGACTTGAGAATCGGGTTAACTAGTTCGATTTATAATCCGACGAATAAAACAAAATATAGAAGGGGGTTTTATTGACTTGGTTATTAGGTTCCTTTATCTCATGTCCTACTTAAGGAATAAAAATAAACAAAATTGCCTTTCATCAACTTTATCGTCGGGATTTTTAAACACCAATTTTAGTATTGTCGACTTTGGTACAGGACACTTAATGTCAGATATTGAAGATGACTTAAAATTGAAAATATCAACGTTTACTTTCTTAACATATTCATAGGCAGTTTATCTTTTATCTTGATGCATAATTCGATGAACACGAATAAACATTAAATGAACTTTGTTGTCAGTTTTCTTATCTCAACATCGAAAAGATTAAAGATAAAACTGAGGTTCATCGACGTTGTTATTGAGCTATTTATCTCGATGGCAAAGTCAATGAACAAGAAAAAAATGAAAGGTTGAAGCTCGTCGACTTTCGCGTCGAGTTCATTATCCCTAGCCAAAGTCGACGAACGAAAACAATTCAAAAGTTTGAGGCTTGTCGACTTTGGCATCGGGTTCATCATCTCAACGCAAAAGCCGACGAATAAAAATAAACAAAAGGTTGAGGTTCGTCGACATTTGCGTTGGATTTAATATCTCGATGTTAAAGTCGACGAATGAGAATAAACCAAAAGTTGGGGTTCACCGGCAAGCATATGGTATTGCTACTACAAAATGATGTAACACATAAAGTATAGGCAATGCTACAATCTTCATGGAATGACAGATTCCATCAAGCATTCGCTGATCATAGCAAACTCAACTTGGAAGATGCACTCCCAATCAAACCAAGGAGCAGCTTTTCGAACCTTTTCGCTCCAGGACCAGGTCTCAGGATATCAGTATCACCCCATTGGGAGCAAGAAACACTGCCATCCCATGCTCTACCCAGGCACCACGCCCCAGGTGCAATGACTCCTCGTCCACGGTTAAGAGCTACCGAGTCAATCATGTCCAAAATTGGATCACCAACTGGGATTTTTTCAGCAAAAGCAGCTCCACTGCTCAGCATTTTCCCAATGTCCAGAGGCCTTATGAAATTATAGCTACTCTTGGTACTGGAGGCATTACAATAAGTGATTCGTAAATTAGAGTTAATGACACCGCGAGAGAACTGTGAATTGTGAGCAAGTGTCTGGAAATAGGCTTTATGGGAAAGCCTAGTGTTTGAGAAGTATAATAGGAGTGTCCTCGGGAAATTTTCCCACCCTAGGATAACATACTTAAGAAATTCTCGAGTGAGTATTACATGTGGAGACCCTGGAAGAATAGAATAAAACTTAAAGTGTCAATATACAGATCTATGTCATTGTAAAATGAATATTTATCTCAAGAGGATGTCAAATTTGGAATAGGAAAAGTGCATCATGGTAATGAATATTTAGACCAAAGTGATGTTCTGACAACCCTCACATGACTAGGTCTCTAGGTGTTGTTTTAGTCTTTTAGATCCATTTGAGCAAGAAGCATTCTGAATAAGATCGAAGATGACTAAAAAATTTACCTGCAAAGAATGTGAATAATTTCGGGAATTCACGTGTCTGGTCGCCAGTGAACATATTTCCTGCTGATCGTAGATAAAGGCGAGGATCGACAATGACTTCCAAAGTTCTCTGATATCTGACAACAGCAACAAAACTTAATAGCAGCATCTTCACTGAGTTGATGAATACTTTATAGCCCAAAGGCATGGATAAGGAGAGCTTACTCCTTGCTGGTGTTGGTCTCCATGAAATTTAATTCTCTAGGCAAAAAAGACAGGACATGGAGAAAATCTGCAAACATGAGGTACTACATCATTGCTCCTCCTAGAAAAGGCCTTTCTTTTTTCAAAGGATGAAAGAGTGGGAAAGAAGGTAAAGATCTATTAGATGTTAAATACAGATGATATATTCAACATAATTTGAGACTCGGAACCTGACTGCATGGGTTAAAAAGTTACTATGATCAAGTACTAGACTACAAATTTTACAAGGATCCAAAAGGCTACTGACATACAGAATTGTGGGTTCTAGACGCAGCATTGTTAATTGTTATACTGAATCCTTCAACCACAGAGCAATCAAAAAGTCCACATGGCCTTAGCGGAACCATAGACAAGTTTTCAATCAAATAAGATATAGTTTTTCATATAACTCTAATATTTTCACATCACTTCCACACAAAATAAAAGTGATGGTGGTCAAAACTTGTACAAAGAAACTTCAAACACGCTTGTCTCAAACGAGAGATCACGCCAAAACAGCAAAACAAGAGTTGTAATTCAGACTATAATTTAGTGACGTCTATGTCAAGAGACACTGGATTTTTCTCTAACAGTGACTGAAGATTTTTTGCAACTTAACTCTTTTGCATTACTAATAAAATCACTAGAGACTCTTCAGACAAGCGATGGATCGATATTTTACAACTAAGTCCTTCTTCTCTTCAATGTTATATGAGGTATTAAAGATCACAACCATCACCACATCAGCAACTGTAGTCAAATCTGAAGATTAAGCCATAAAAGTATTCTCTTTCAAATCGCATTTCAAATCCATGAATCAAACATGATCCACCTTTCCAAGGTTTAAAACCAAAGCACGAAGATCAGCAAGAACACTAATTCCCCTTTTGGAGATAGAATGCAACATTGAGCAACAAAAAAAGATAAAACAGACTTGTTTACAGCAGACGATAAAATATGACAGTAACTGCACTAATGAATCAATTCCACCACGATATATTCTCTTTCAGAACAAGTAAACTTCGAAATTGCCGACAATACCAATCAAGACAAGAAGCTGAAAAACAGTTAACTTTGAAGCATTTTCAATTGTGATAATAAAATACTCCTACTCACCATCCTGTGGAATGAGGGGATAATCGGAAGCAGCAAGGTTAATGAACCAATCCCAATCATTCTTCCACCTCAACAAAACAGCAGCACCATGAAGAACGGAAGAAAGAGGAGAAGAGCCCTCTTCATTCACATAATCGGCCTTCTTCACAACATGAACATTTCCAACTTCAACAAAGATTTGCACTGAACCCACCATGCCAGCCAGCTGATCCCTCTGTTTATTCGATGCAAGCTGATCCAGGTGCAATAGATAGTAGTTCCTGGGGTGGTAGATGGCTTGAAGCAGCCTAAATATTCTTGGGCCATCGTTATTTGAGCCGGAGATGAAGTAGGCGAGTTTAGGCGGCGGAGGAAAGGAGTTTGAGAGCGGGGGGAAGTGGTAATGGTGGTGGTGGAGGTGGAGGTTATTGGAGGAGAAAATGAAGAGTAAGAAAGAGAGAAGGGAAATGGTCACCAGAGAGAAGAGCATGATCTGCTGCAGAGTTGACATAATTTGACAATGGTGATGGGAATCACTGATGAATGTTTCTCAAGAATCATGGCAGTCACGATTCAGAATTTCTTATTCTGATTCGTTGAGTTTTTGTAATGATTATTTTGGTCTGTCTGAAGAAACTGGGCGTGAGAGTCGAAGTTGAACTGGTCAATGGGATTTGGTTTCTGTTTTTGCCCTATTAGTCCTTGATGTTGTTTAAGTTACTACTTTTTGTAATCTATAATGCGTTTCAAACTTTTATGAATGTTTTATCAATTTTACTTATAAGGAAGTCCAATTAATTATATTGCTCACGATTCATTAGTCAAATAATAGAAATTGTTGCCTAAATGGTGGATGCAAAAAAAAATTTCAAGCATGGAAGTGGGCGAGACAGTGAACTCCTATACCAATTAATGATTTAGGACACGATTGGATTTCTTTTTAGTGTACACTATGTTTTTAGGTATTTTTCTATCGGCAATATAAAAATATATGTGAGATATTTATTAATAAATTTTTTTGAAAAAAAATCAACCAAAAAAGAACTAAACATAACCTTAGTTACAGTTAATATAAAATATAAATAATCAAAATAAGTTGTATTCAATTTGGTAATACTTTGTATTAGTAATTATTCCCTTCGTATCAATATAAATTTTTAAATGTCATAATAAGATTTTTCTAATTTGTAAATGAGGTATTTAAAAATATTATTTTGACTCGTTAATTATGTGAATCTCACATGGAAGAGGTTGATATTAGTTGGATACAATTATCAAATATCTAAATATTAGGGGTGAGAAACTAAAAAACAGAAGATTATATTTACCATTACCATCTCCGAAACACTGTTATTCAAAATTTTCCCCAACTTGTTCTGGATTATATATTTATTCTACCTTTCTTTCCTAGTTTCAAAAAACAAACCCCATTCGTTCTCAATCAGAAGAGATTAGAGGAAAAATTTATCCAACAATGGGCGACGAAGGAGATGGGAAGAAGAAGAGGGTTGTGTTGGAATCGCTAGGATGGTTAACGGAGTCTTCAATTATGCCGAAGAAGCACCGCGCCATCGAAGGCGTCGGCGCTTCGTCAATTTTGGAGCTCAAAGCCCAACTTTACAAGTCCCAGGAGGATTCAAAGAAGGACCGCCTCTCTAGGGATCCCATTCATAGCTCTTCCTCGTCCGTCCACCGCGCTAAGAAGAAGATCACTGCTCACGATCCCTACTCTGCTAAGAATTCCGGCGTTGAAGCCCGTGCTGCCAAGTATGTGGAAATAAAATTTCTTTTAATTGGTTTAATATTTTTAAAATTTGTTTCCGTTCTCTGTTCAGGGTGATTTAGGGATTAGGGTTTTGTTCAAATTATTCTTTTTGATTGTTAGAGAGTGTTATTTATGGGGTTAATTATTCACTTGTTTTGTTTTTCCCCTCTTGGGTTGCGGATTAATTTAACAACATCGTTTTTTTTTTCCCTCGATGCTTTTATTTAAGGGACAAGCTCGAGCTGAAAGCTATCAGAGACGGAGCAGCTAGCTACGCAGCATTGGAAAAGAAAGCGGAGTTGTACGATAAGCTGGTTAGGGGAGAAATTTCTGACGAGGAAGATCAAGAGAAATATTCTGTTGATTTTTTTCGTAAGGGGCTCGGACAAGATCGGCAACAGGTTCAAGGAAATGAACATTCGGCAATTGCACGGCAAGATTATGATGATGATGATGATTCCGCTGTACCTGATGCGCGACCTGCTGAACTTGGCCGAACATCAGCCAGTGTGGACAGGAATGAACATAAGCGTTTTGTGATGTAAGTTTTCTGAATCTTAAATCTGCTGAAGTTGCATATATTTATTGTCTTCTTTTTGTTCTTTGGACGGGATTTCTCCTGCTGATTGTTGGCCAAGATAACCTCAGTAACCTAGTATTCTCCTACCTCAGTTATAATAGAAAGTGATAATGGTTAACTTGACGGTTTTTTGTCTTCTGCTACTTAAAATTTATGATTGTGATATGGAATCCATGCCTTTGTTCTCAAAGTGACATCAGCATTCAAGTATTTACCAACCTCCAATTAGGCAGAGTTGAGATATCCTTATGAAGTAGACTGTTATATGTTCTCGCTGCAAATGAGAACAGACCTAGGAATATATCTATAGGTGCGGTATGTGTTATTTTTTTGGTGAAGAGTTCATTATGGTTAATTCGCAATTTTTTCTCTGGGAAATCAAATGGAATTGTGACAAGAGTAATTAACTGGGAACAAAGACTGTAGATGATGATTGCAGGTGTTTTTGTTATTATCGTGGATGTAAGATGTTTACAGTCCAGTCAAACTTAGCAGAAATGCTTTTACTGATTTCCCTGATAGAAATAATGATATCACTTTGTGCAAGCAAATAGAAAAGAGTTATATTGGCCACGAACTTTGACAAATCATCTTTTGTTGGGAGGAATATACTTCTGTTGTATGCATAAGGTGTTCCAACTTGATCTTCTTAGGTTTCTTTTCTCTTGTGCTAAATCCTGTTGTAGCTATGTACTCTGTACTGAAAATGATTGGAAAGGTTACTAATGTCTTCATTTTCATCTATTATCAGGGAAGTGCATCAAGAAGCAAAAATAGCTAGGGAAAAGGCTTCTGATGTCAAGATGATGAGGCAAGAGCAAGCTGCTGCTCGTCGGGAGAAATTAAAGCAGGCATATCTGAAGAAGAAGCTTGAAAAATTGAAAGCTTCCTCCAAACCGGAGCAGACATGAACACCATATGGTATATATTTCCTTTTATTCCTTTAATTTCCATTGTAAATGTTAGGTGTTATTCGTAGCTGAATTGTCTTCAAATGTACATCAGCTTTCTCCTGCTTCCTAGTTTTCATATTACACAAGTCAGGGTTGAGTAGCTTTACTTCATTGTCAGTCACTCTTATTTATTCTCACGGCTTCTGAGTATCGATATGAGGTAATTTGTCCATAGATCTGATAATTCCTTCACTTTCTAGACCTCCGGAGAGGACCTGGATGAGAATGTGGCTCATTGGGAGTTGGGACTGGTGAGAGCTGTTGTTGAGATACGAAACCATTGAGAAACCCGATTGGAAGTCAAGGAAATCTTATTTAGATTGACCGCACTTTATATCCCTGTTAAAGTTTGAAATTGGGTTGGTTCAAGGGTTCTCTCGGTCTGTTGCTTCTGTTAATGACGATTTGAAGAACTGAAAAAAAAATCTTTTCCAGATTTTTCCAGGCAGTCCAATCTCAGATCACCCAATGACCTAAAGACAAGATGGTGGATGGGAAGTAACAAAACACAGCCATCTATGGCGATTTGGGTTTTTGTGTCCACGGAGACCACATTTTTTTGGTTTCTCGACGCCATAGAGATTTTTCTTTGTTTTAGGATGCTTATGCTCTGCTTTGGGCACAGGCCCGACCATCTGTTCGCTTTTGTGATTCTGGTTGTTGGTTAGTTATTTAGGCTTTTAGCCAGGCACTCTCTCAAATGGGATGTAATTTGAGAGTTGCAAAAATGGAAAAGCTCGATCTCTCTTTTCCTTGCGTTCATTGAATTATACTTATTTAATTATTTTATCCAAAAGGACCCAAATCCCTGTACTCGAATCAGCAATGTATATAAATATCATTGTGTGAGAGAAACTTACTGTACGATCAATATGGTATACATACACATCAATGGTCTGAAACAAACCATATTCATCTGTTTCTTCTTCCTTTTTTTTTTTTTTTTGATATAGCCCTGATTTGATATGAGTTTTTGTTTATGTACAAGTACTATTATGGGGAAGCAATGGAGTAGGGAAATGTGTGAATTTAATAGGCAAAGAGATTCAGAAGCTAGGGCATACATAAAGAGATCGGAAACTATAAGGAAACTGGACACATCAAAATATCAAAGCATTATCACTGCTGCTTAATGGAACCAAACATTTCCTGGAATGTGCGCTTTGGAGCATCGGGCCGAGCAACTATTTCCACGACCTTGTAGTTGGATTCTGGATGAAGCAGTGCTTCAACAGCAACTTCGGCAACTTGATCTCTGGAAATTGATCCTTCAAAAAGAGTATCCTGAACACATTACATAGGGTGGTCAAGTCTGTGCCACAATAAGTAACAACGTTCAACAGTTAAAATTATTGAAAAGCACAGAGTCAGACCTCTGGTTCCATTACTATATTTCCCGCGGGTGGATCATTCTTTAACCCACCAGGTCTTATGATTGTGTAGTTGATACCTGATTTCCTGATGTATTGCTCTGCCTGAAGCTTTGCTATCAGCACTAGTCCCAAAACATTGAGTATTATATAAGAGGGATTTAACAATTGTCCCATAGCAGCTCCATTTACTAAAATAGAACTGATAAGGATAAATCTGTTCACATTCTGTTTTCGGCATGCCTCAACAAGGTTTATTGTACCAAATTTGTCAACCTGCAGGATAATAATAAGGTTCAGTAAAAACCATTCCATCAAAGATTGGAATCACACATGTATCACCAATGGTAAAAGCACTTTATATCTTGTCGAAGTAGAACACATTTTTCTGCAAGCACCAGTCTTTCGAGAAAGGAGATATAGGTACAGAAGCCAAAAGATGGCAAGTAAACAAGTATCCTACGACTGGGAAGAGATTTCATCCAATGACCGGAAAAGACCATCGGTAATAGTTCAAATAGGATGGATCATACCCTAAAGCACCAGGATTTATTCATCCTGGATCACTAACCGGACAAGCACAACTACTAGACTTGAATGATACACATTCTTTTACAACTGAAGGCGAAAATACGAGCCACCAATATAACAAGAAACAGCCATCACCGCAACAACTAGTTCTGAAGTAAAATGAAATCCAGAAGTAGGACAGTTGATAGATCACCATTACGCAAAGGTTCATATTTGACTACCCACAAATTCCCTACAACAGCATCATATCAGCGAAATGGTGTTCTAATAAAGAACTAGGATATCATTGTTATCAACAAGATCATTAGCAAATAAGAAGGATTTGGAAGCTACGAGAAGTGTGATTCCAATCATCAATCAACTAATGGGGTACTATGATTTTCCTCCTTATATTCTACTTGGTTATCACCGAAGTTAATAAACAATTTAGTCAGAACACATGTAAAATCAGACAACAAGATGTGTGGAAGCAAAAATTATTCAGGTACATGTTACAGCTTTCTCACTAACCTTCCATGGTGCCAGTAAATCCCATGAAGGCTGAAAACCCGTAGAACATATGACAGCATCAGAATCATCACCAATGGCATCAGCTAGTTTTGTTGAACCCTCAGTGACATCTGCTTTCACCTGAATAAATAGAGGTTGAACTTAGACTAGCCATCTATCTGGAACTTAATCTTCTCAAGCTTTACATAATCAAAAATTAGTGTTGATCCTCCATTATCAAAATCTCAAGTGATTAATTGCTAAAGTTAAAGAACTCTACAATCTGATTACACTTTTACAGAGCACCCAATGAGGTAAAATTATTGGAAAATCATATGCATATATGAGGGAATTTCAGAATCAAATTGTGGCAAGATAGAAGCAAGAACTTACAAATTGAAGATCAGGGTTATCTCCCGAAAAGGTTTGTTTGGCCTTATCAATGTTCCGAACACCAGCCTTGACAGCAAAACCTTTAGCCAAGAGCTGCTCAACAATCCTTTTGCCAGTCTTTCCTGTGGCACCCGCAACAAAGATTTTCTTCTTTCCATTACTGCTGCCCAATTCACTACTTTCTTTGATCTCAGTCCCTTCCTATATAACAAAACAAAACAAAGCACAATTACTGCATGGCTTATGTTCTTGCAGGTAAGAAAAATGTACAGAATTGCCCAATTTGAGCGCATTTTAGCACTTCCTTCTTGGTGGGGATTGGAAGAAACAATTCCAAATTCAGAGCAGAGCATACATACCATTGTTGATGCTTTGAGGCGAAAAGAATGAGTGGCGGAAGGAGAGGTAAAGTATTGTCTGGAAGTAGCGAAAGAGCAGAGTTGAGATAGAGGGGTTCTGAGTAGAGAAATGGCCATTGTTTGGCACTATTCTAGCCGGACACTTGTTGCAAAACCAGCAAATACTCATCATTTTTGGTAATTTTTCCCCATAATTCTCTTTTTGTTTGTTTTTCCACCCATTTCTCAGTCTCATTTTATAGTCTACTAAATACGTAAAAATGTGGAAGAGTAATAAAATACAAAACTTTCTAGGGCAAAACCAAACTAGTTTGATAAAATCACTTAATGCTTAAAATTATTAGATTTAATAGTTTTTTTCATTTTAACATGTTTGATAATGAAAAATAAATTTTTTTAATAAATTAAGTAGTGATAAACTGCAGTATAAATATAAACAATAAAAATTAACTAAGTGCTTATTTCGTAACTGTTTAATGAATTCAATAATTATAATTCAATATTAAGTATTTAAAATTAACACTAATTTTTATCAAACATGTTCACACACAGTGAATGTACGAGAATATCCATAACAACAACAATTTTAGTCTAGCGAATAAGGTGTTGGTTCAATGGTAACACCACCTTTGCTCTCAAGAGGAGGTCATGAGTTCAAACTCCCACTCCAACGCTCTCAAGAGGAGGTCATGAGTTTAAACCTCACTCAAACAAGGTTGAGGAAATGGCTTTAACCTTGTCAATTGACACCTCTAGAGCACTTGTCATGAACTCCGCTTGTCACCCCGGGCTTGCCTAGAGTGGTTTATTTTCCACTGTGATTTGTAGGCTATTGCAGTGGGCGTGAGTTACAAGAGTGAGGGAATGTCTTTAACCTTGTCAATTGGCACCTCTAGAGGGCTTGTCATGAACCCCCGATTTCGCGCCCAAACTTGTCACCCCGGATTTGCATATAGTGGTTTATCTCCCACTGTGATTTGCAGGCTATTGAAGTGGACGTGGGTTTAACCATTTCTGATGGCTTCCCGTCGTCACCTAAAAAAACAATTTTAGTCCATAAAACTGGTTTATTTCCCACTGTGATTTGTAGGCTATTGCAGTGGGCGTGAGTTACAAGAGTGAGGGAATGTCTTTAACCTTGTCAATTGGCACCTCTAGAGGGCTTGTCATGAACCCCCGATTTCGCGCCCAAACTTGTCATCCCGGATTTGCATATAGTGGTTTATCTCCCACTGTGATTTGCAGGCTATTGAAGTGGACGTGAGTTTAACCATTTCTGATGGCTTCCCGTCGTCACCTAAAAAAACAATTTTAGTCCATAAAACTGACACAGAGTGACTAATTAGTCCACTACATACTGAATTCACAACTTTTGGACGGGTACTTTTGTTTTACGACAAATTAGTCCAGAAGAAATAAATAATTGAATTGAATGAGTACATAAAAATGTCATTTTCGTATGTAACGGGCTAAATTAGTTTAATTCCTCACTCGGACCGGGGCCGGCAGCTTAACGGTACTTATCACTTATCAGGTTAGCCACCAGAGTCTTACCGACTACCGGCGGGTGCAGAGAATCAAACTCACCGGAACGAAAACATTGTAATAAAGACAGAAACAGAAGAAGTCTTATTTGTTAAAAAGAAGAGATTGGGATTTCGGCGTTGTTGTTGCAGGTTGCAGATCTACGGTTCATAATACCGTGAACCTCCGTCGGCGGCAGCACATATTGCCGTTCACCGACACTTTTCTCCTATTCTTTATCACTTTATTGAGGTAATAATCAGTTTTTTATCATCCCGTTCTAGCAATTAGATTGTTTCCATTTGGCTCAAATGGTTGATAGTATTTCGTTGAAAATGTCTTTGTTTGAACTTTTGAAGCCTGGACTACAGAATAATCGGCTTGTTATCCAGGATTGATATGGGATATTCATAATCTTTCTCTGTTTTTAATTTTTTTTTCTCCATATTTTATCTGGCTTGTTATCAATCATTTAGCACTCGTTCTTTTAACATGTTAATTTTATTTTCTTAGTTTTGTTGGTAAGGCCGTTATCTATGGATGCCGGAAAGGCCAGAGCCCATTCGGTTGTGATGGATACATCCAAGCTTGATAACTGGGCTAAAGATGCCGCCTCCGATCAGAGTTCATTAGTGAAGGAGGCGAACTTAGGTCAAACACCTACTGTTCTAGATGCAAACAGCAATATGATAGACACGCCTAACTTGGCTAAAGATGACCATGTTTTCGTTAGCGGACCCTGGCCAAGCACTCCCGATACCATAGGAGACCGCCGCCACATTGCAGCATCAACCCCACTCTCCTTGACCAAACCAGTTGCTCATGATGTTCGGAAGAGATCCGCGGATGCCACATATGATGATATTTGCACTCCAAAAGGAAGCGTTTTTGATCCTCTGATAGCCGATCGCCACCCTAAGCAAGGCGGGCAAGAGGATACACCCTCTAGTGCTGTACGGAGCCTTAACTTTGACAATGCTGCTGCCGATCAGATGGTTGTGGAGGAAACGGTTGTCTCTGAGTCTGAGGAGGAGACTTTATTTCAAACCATCTATGGGGCCATTATTGAAGAAATCATCGTAATGCAGGCTAAGGGGGTTACTGATTCAGTCGGCTTTGGGAGTCCTACTTCGGTGCCTAAACTTAGTGGAATTGCTGAAACTTGCCCACCAGCTCCGTTGAAGCAGCCTAATAGATCAAAGTTTAGAAACATCGACAGAAGTTTGTGCAGGAAACTTGAGTTTTGACGGGCATTGTTAAGGTGCACTACTGATGCTCGTCTTTGTTGCTCTATTCTAAATCTTGTAGTTCTAGGTCTAGCTTGTTTTTTCTTCAATACTTTTAGAATCTTTTTGAAATAATAAGTGGAAGCATTGAGGCATTACTTTCGAATAACCAGCAATTTGGTGGGGGATCTCCTAAGTAACTTTAATTGGTAGTGCTTATGGAGATATTAAATACCTGAGTTTTTGTAGAGTAGATTGTGATGATGTTAGATTTTGGTTTATGTTTTATTTTAGGCTTCCCTGTTGTTCCTTGACCTAATTTACTGTAATCTTGGGCTATTGCCTTTTTGACAAGCAACAAGTATCATGTGCTGGATAAACTGTCAAGAATGATGGATCAGGCTGTGTATCATTGTCTTTAAGCTCCAGCCAAAACATGATTTTGAGCTAAAGATAGAATGGGTGTACTTTGTTACTTCGCTATGCTATAAAGCAGAACTGTCTTGGATTTGTATTAAAGATCTCCTCGCACAACTCAACTCTCTTCTTCCCACGAATGCCAACTAACAGCTGCCAAGAAGAGTTTATTTGAGCATGTTCCACTCCACGGATGTCCAGAGTGCACTGACTTTGGCAAAGCTCTTACAGTTGTGCTGAGAATCTCAGCATTTAATAAGGAGAAAAGTCTGTTGGGTTATATACTTATATTATCAGATTTTTCATGGCCTTATTAGGCTAACTAAATTGGCTTGAAGCGGTGCTGGCATTGTCATGTATGCTGCTGCGTCTTCAGCCTACAGAATACTACTCTTTCACCCCGGTTTCCAAGCTTCTCCAGCAAGCTCTTCTTCAGACAGCTCAGCCATGAAAAATGTTTTCATAGAAAGATACGGAGCATAGACACCTATCTCAAAGTGAAGCGCTTGGTTTGGAAACTGTTGACAGACTCACTTGCCAGTTGCCAACCAAGCCAATCTGCAGCAGGGGGAAAATGTCACTGCTGCGAGCATTTGATGCAGCAGTGTGGAGGACCTTCGTCATATCATCTTCAGTATTGATTTTGCCAGAAAAACTTGGGAGCTGCTGGAGGTGTAGAATGCAATCTTTAAATATCGGCAGAATGACTTCAGCGAAAGGATGGCTAGTCTTCTTGGAGAGCTGAAATAAAGGGTGCTGTCCTTGTTTGCATTGGTATGCAATATAGTTTGTGGCACACATGCCGTCCTTTGATGTTTGAGGGAATCTTCAGACTGGCTGAAGATGTTGCAACTTGTGGAAGGGTAAAGACAGCTTGGCTGCAAATGAAAAGTTTCCAACAGCTTCCGCCAGTAGTGCTATTGAATCGTCCAAGCAAACTCACTTCAACACTTAATTGGCACTACTTTTTGGTTTGATGCTCCAATCAGTTCTGCTGAAAAGAGTTCAGCTGTTGGCATCCTAATATTGATTTGATGGAGCAATCAGTTCTGCTGAAAAGAGTTCAGCTGTTGGCATCCTAATATTGGTTTCATCCTCAGGATTTATAGGCTGCTGTGTGAAACACTTACGTAGTTGTTCAGCCTCCATTGTCACTGAAAGCATGGCGGTGGGAGAAGAAGGTACATCCTTGGTGTCCCTTTTACAGGGAATTTCTCAGTCCACTCTGGTTGGTTATCTTCTGACAAAAGATATTGATCTGTCTGATTGGGCCTGATATTATCGGAAATGAAAGCTTGCTTGCTCCAGACGAATGTACAGAAACTAGTGTTATAAAGCATACTTGAGCTTGCATGGCTAACATTGAAATCCAATCCCCCCCATTTGTTCCTCAACGGTTTTGTTTACTTTATCAGTTATCCTAGTGAATCTGCCAATCTGCTAAGATTCTTGGCCTGGTACAAGGTTGCAACGAACTCATCTACCCCAACTCCCTGATTAATTAATTTACCTACCTTTTATGTCGGTACTAGTGAAAACCATCGAGCAGAATCAGATATTAGATACAGAACAAGAATAATAGTAAAGACAAAACGAACAATTGTCCTACTTGTACAGGGCAAAGGTAGTAGTAAACTAGTATAGTACTAGAATGTAGCAGTTGGAAGTTGGAACTAAGCAAAACTGTACTATTAAAGTACTAAATATTATGAGCAGCATCAATTCAATAATTAACAACAGAAAAGATACAACAAAAGAAGCAGTAGAAGTGGTTGAGCTGAGTGACTGAACTGAACCAGAAAAGCACAACACTACCAGTGAGTGTAGGAGTACTACAATTTGGTCCGATAATGACAGGTTTGGTTGGTGAGTGTCCGAGACGAGACATCAACATACAATTCACATGTAGTGTAAGACACCACGTGGAACTTGAAGAGGATCCTCACGTACCCGGTGATTCTGGTGTAAGTACTCAGGACCAGAGTCCCCGACCGGACGTCGGAGAAAAGGCTGTTTCCGGCCAAGAGCCGATCGGCCATGAGGGTCAGCGTAACATTCATGGGAAGCGTCTGACCCGACCCGATCTTGCCAGCCGGGATGGGGACTTCGCCCACCTGAGTGTCTCGGTATTTGAGTAACGCGGTGGAGTTGTCGTAGTGGAAGCTCACCTTGTTTGGGTTGTGGACGGCGATGTTGGCGTCGACGCTGACGTTCAACAGGACCCGGAGGCGGAGGATGTCGAGGGAGAGGTGGAAGTCACGGAGGGAGACGGAGTTGACGGTGGTCGTCGGACGCTTGGCTTTGAAGACGGTGAGGCTCAGGATTAGGATCAATAATCCGATGGCTAATACGGCGGAGATTACCCATCCCCAACACACCCATTTGCTCCTCCTTTTCTTCCCACCTTTTTTGGTGCCTGTGCTTTCTGGGTCGTTGTTGAATTTCTTGGAATCCACCTCCATATTTTTTTTTTCCCTTCTTCTTCTTCCTCCTCCCCTGCTCCTCCTAATGATGAGTACAGAGTTTAAAAAGTGGCAAGAAGATTCGGAGGTTCATGTATCTTCTATTTTACAATTATTGCTTCTGATCTGGTCACAAAATCTTAAACTATATAGTTGTTGGGGGGCCGAATTTCGTTTTCGTTTTACCTTCTTCACAAGGAAACCTGGGAATCTGGGTGAAGAGAGAGATGACAAGAGGAGGAAACTTGAGGGGGGAGCAAGATAGATCTTCCAAACCAAATTGAGCTTTTTAGGTTTTATGATTGATGTTTGATGACGAGATTTCGACGGAACTACTTTACTTGCTTTTTTCCATATTGGCTGGGTCCTCCTAGATGGGGGTTTAAAAGTTACAGCCAAAATAAATGTGGTTAAGGATTTAGTTGAACCCACTAACTACCACCTAAATTCGGTATTACATTGTTATGGCATCAGGATTATTTTCGTCCGTTAATCCCATTTACTAGAAAAGTTATACTGAAAAATGTAGAGATGGACGCCAGCCAAAATCATTTTTGGCCTTAAAGCACAACAACTACTCCATCCATTAGTTTTGTGACCTTGTGTTACAAGTATGTGTGATACACACCCTGTTGATTACATTTTACCACGACTATATATCTGATAAATTTTACTGCGGCTGTTAACACACACACAAAAAAAAAATAAAAAAATAAAAAATTACGATTTACCACGACAATAAAATAAAATAAAATTAAAGCAATATCGTCCTAAATAAACTTTCAATAAGCATTATCCTCCTACATTAGAAAAATCATCGCAGTTGACTACATTTCCAATCTAATTCATCCTCTATTACAAACTTTCAATAAGCACCAAATCAGTTAATGAGTTCATCTAAACATGAGAGTTGCAACTTGCAAAGGTTTAATAACATAGCAAATGCCTGCCAAGCTGAATGACACAGAATCTTGGGCATTTTATCTGGAGAATAACATCAAGGGTTACTGTCAATTGCCTTCAGTGTTCGTCTCTGTTACCGTAGCATCCAAAGCACGCCACATCAGGGATTTCTTACCGGTTTTACACAAAGTACACTACATTCACATCCTTGGCATAGTACAACTTGTTTTCTGCTTCCATTATCTGCTCAGATAGGACAATGCGGATTTCAGCAAAATCCATTCAGAATTCTTGAGTGATAATAACCTGAATATCCGCTACCAACAACACAAACAATTAAATATACCTCTAACAGGGACATTATCTCTGCATTTGAGTAAGGAACAGAAACTCCAGTGTTCACTACTCCTTCTATTTCAGCCACTGTCATTTGTTCGACATGCTGTGTGTGTCTATGCTTTCCAAGCGCAGCTCTAAAAGCTTCCAACCTGCAAGTATATCGAATCGAAGTAAAGCATTCCCTCAGTCGTCAAGTTACTTGACAATAGAAAAAAAAAGCTGTTCAATCACTCTGTGTCTTCTAATACAAACCTCTGAGATGAAGTATTGCCATCAGTTCCTGTAGGATCAACATCCATGGCCTCCCTTCCTCTAACCAAAAGAAAAGGAACAAAGAAAAATATCAGCTCTACTGCCGAAACATATAGTATAGATGTGGACTTTATCGAATCAATTTTGACACGACATCCATTTTGCCTAATGGATTCAACATCATATTGACAAATAAATGCAAGTCCAACAAAACAAAACTTTGGAGCAGCTTTTGGTTAGTTAATCTAACAAACAGCTCAAGTGTGTTACACAAGCCAATATCTTAAATGGGCATTTATACACGTCCATCATAATAGAAAGCTAATTACTCCAGCTTTTTAGAGTAATTATGTTGTGAAGCTTATAGGCGTTACCTTGAAGCATCACCATTTTCAGATTCATTTCTGCCACCGTCTTGCTGAGATCTACTAGTATTACCAGCTTCGTTGTCGGCTTTTCTTTGTCTCTCCATTTCTCTTTCCCACTCTTGGTCCCGCTCCTCCATCTCATTAAGCTCTTGGTGATAGATAGCAAAGTTCAGAATTTGAAGAGCTGCATCAACATCGGATTTCACCACCTATTCATGAAACCAACTTGACTCAGAGAAAACAATTTCACAACATAAGAACCGTAAAAACAGCTCAATGAAGCACTGGTTCCAACTTTTCCAAGTTTTCCAGAGTTTGGTGTAGAAAAGTGGATAATGGAATTGTAAGGCAACATTTTCATACCTGTCTTCTTAACTTCAGCTTTGCATGGGCAGTCGACAGACGTATTATTGTTTCTAAGGTCCTGGCTGTTATTGGAAGTGTTCCCGCCCCAGTCTAGTTAAAACAAACATCGCTACAGCGATAAATATTACTTGTAAACAAATAATGTAAAGCACTGGTTCGATAAACAGACACCTACCTTTGCATTGGAACTGGCGCTACGAAGCTCAGCGTATGCAGTAGCAATTTGATCAGATGCCTGTACATGATGATTAACATCAATAGGAATGTTCATACTAGGGAACCTAAAGAAACAGAAGCCTTGTGGAATAGCATAATAAGAAAATTGAGTGAAACCTATACCAATAGGGGAAGGATAAACAAATGATAAGTTGAGATTCACAACCTCATCAGTTAACTCGGGTTGGATCCTGTGTTTCGCATAATGGATATACTTCTTCAAGAAATCAATTGTGAGTGTTTCACGCTTGCGACTAGTCTTCCTCCCATGCAGCATTCGGTTATATTTGACAAAAACGGTTGAATTAGTCTCTGCCTCATCCTCCCTTTCATATTGTGCATTCTCTGAGGCAATGCTGTCTGAAAGATCATGTTGCTGGACATCAATAATGGAGTACAAAATTGAATGGAATTTCAACTAAAAACTACCTGTCACATACCTCCACCTGTATTAGAACGAAACCTGTGCATGCGCAAAACATGTTCTGAAATCTGACGATCAATATCAGGATCCATTTGATCCAGAACAATGAACAACAAATCAAAACGAGAAAGTAAAGAATCTGGAAGCCCAATGTTCTTTGTGGGGGTCAACGAACGGTCATACTGCACAAAGCCACAATGGAAAACAATGAATGCAGATAGATTTGAAAATTGAAATTTCACTTTTTAGTTTGTGTTTGTTAAACAGCAGTGTGATACTCAGTCGGTTCCAGGCCAAATTCCTGGATGATTTTCTTCAACTATAGACATAAAATGGAAAGGAAAGAGGTGGGGGGAAGGGGCAGACGATAAGAAATGGCACATAATAGCCCGGTTATTCCTGGGTAGATAGATGGTAGCTTACTGTTCCATAAATTGGATTAGCTGCAGCTACAACACTGCAACGAGCATTCAAGGATGCATGAATCCCAGCCTTTGCAATTGTAACAGTCTGCTGTTCCATGACTTCGTGGATGGCGACACGATCTTGATCATTCATCTTGTCAAACTCATCAATACAGACAACCCCTCGATCGGCAAGAACCATGGCACCTGCTTCAAGCCTTCTTTCTCCTAACAACAAGAACACTCATAGTAAGCCCGAGCTGTTTCTTTACAAAACCTACCCCTCTCGATCAGTATCCAAACGCAAAAGACATGATCGAAGTTTATTACCTGTTTCTTGATCAGAGGTAACAGCAGCTGTTAATCCAACTCCAGACGAACCCCGGCCAGTTGTTGATATGGCCAAAGGTGCAATATTCATGATTGCTCTAAGTAGTTGAGACTTGGCAACAGAGGGATCACCAACCATCATCATATTTATGTCCCTAAGGCACATAAGCAAACAAGATCATGTTGATACGAATTTCATTAAAGTTCAACTATTTGGTTGGAAGCTATAAGCATAATAGAACAATATGAGGTTTAGAAGAATGGAAGATCCAAATATATGCTCTTATAGAACTGAAGCAAATCTAATAGGTGACTTGACAAGCGGTCGTATAGCAAATCTAAAAGCAAATATATGCTCTTACCCTCGCAAATGTGTCCCATTTTTCAAGTTCTTTTCAGTTCCGCCAAGCATCAGTAGGATCAATGCCTTTTTTATCCATGTATGACCATAGATGGATGGTGCGAGGGAATTTGCGAGTAGGTCAAAGGCATCATCCCTCTTAGATATCTTTATTATGTTATCTCGATCTTTGTTTCCAAATATTGATGCCTGAGTTGATTTGTTCAGAGGAAAAACGGAGTTGGCTATAAGAACAGTCCTGCACCAGAAAAGACCATATCAACATTTCAGTTTCCACATATACGAGCAGATGAAATTAGCCTGTAAAGTACCATGTACAGACCTGAATACTCCATTGACACCCCCCTTGCTCTTTCCGGGCAGTGCTTTGTATATCCCGACTATAGCTACTCGGTCTCCAGGTTTGCATTTGTCCACTAAATCATCCTCTAAAATGACATCTACAGTTCGTGGTAGTTGACCAGGAGCAGAATTTTCAGGCACTTCTTGCATTGATAATGTCTGATGGTCCTTGTACGTACAAAGCCCGTACTCAGTAACCAGCAGATTCCCTTTCTCATCCTAAAACAAATTCATTCATTAGAAGACATGTCCGATCCAAATAACTTTGAAGGAAAGTTGAACAGGTCGAGGAAGCTCATAATTACCCGTGTCGGGTACACGGAGCCAGTGGGTAAGCCCATGTTAGATGTAATATCTCTATATTCTCGACTAGTGAACTTTTTTGTGTCTGGACAGAAGTGAACACTTTTAACAACTTTTGGCCTCACAAGAGAACCTGAAATTAATAAGATTAAGCAAACAATCAATTTCGAAAAAAGAAAAGGAAATTTATCAATTTAAACAGGCACTAAAGGATAATCACATCCATCTCTGGATCCACGCGAGTTCATTCAAAATGTCAGCGACGGTAACCATTCTATATCAAAGTAGAGTATAATAAAGCTAATAACTCAAGCCCAACTGAGAAATAAAAGGAGTTCAGGGTCGAGAGAGGTGCTCCATTATTCAAAATTAAATGATACAGTCAAACAAAGCACAAAACAAGTATTCGTCTGTCTTTGGAAGATTATCTTGTGGCGTGTGTCAGCGGGAGAGAAAGAGCAAGTGTGGTCGCAACTTCTAGGAATGCCAATAGCATTTCGCTTAGCATCTTAGAACTTCCACATGTCATGCAACTGAAACTGGGATAGTAGATGCCCTATTCTCTGTGTTAGGGTTTTATGGCATAACAACCTAGATTAACATCAAAATCTAGGTTGTTTTTGCTCTTGTAAATGCAGATGGATTCCTACTGGTAATCAATACATCATTATTTTTGGTTAATTCCAATACATTATTTTAAATTACCTGAACTAATAGTGAAATCCCTGCGACTGAGGCATGCATAAAATTTAAATCTTATATGCAGTATTGATAACTTGTAATTGAAGTTAAAAGGGACCTAAATAGAAGCATGGTCTTACACTCTACTAAAATCAAATGCGAGAAACTTGCCTATATGAATACAAATTAAAGTGAATCCAACAAAAGTATGAATATCATACTCCAAACTTCCCAAGTTTTATCAGACAAAATTGCAACTAGAAAGAGCCATAAGAGAGACATATCACTGTACTGATATGCACATCAAAGAAGGAAAGAGAAGTTACATTTTGTGACAATGCCCTCAACGCACACTATTGAACCAATAAACCCTGACAAGAGGTCCCTTGGAGTGACTCTTCGTGAAACAAAGGGACCATCAAGCCCGACAAGGACTTGTTCCCCTTCCTTCAAGTATTTGGCATCAATGCTGCGAACCATTTCTGTCATTGAATCGCATAGCGGCTGCACATACTCACCGGGGTTTTGTAGAAGCCTGATGTTATTAGACAAAGGGCAAAAGAAGAATTTAGGAAAATGGTCAGTATCCAAATAGAAGTAAATGGATGCATATGATACTCAGCATACAAACTGATCCTTCTAGTGTGAAAACAGAACTGGTTGGCTACAAGTTTTCGAGCTGAATATAGGTCATTTGAAATCCCTCCGCTACCATTAAATCTTTTCTCATGCCTGCCACCAACTTCTAAACATCTTTGAGCAATACAGAAATAAGGATATTCCGCATCTCCGATGATTTCATTTTCAGCATAATACACTAAGTAGCTTTAGGGGGAATTCTCTTAAGGAATCAATAAGAAAAACTAATCTATATGCTTATGAAAACTTGCACAAATTGACAGAAATAATTGTTCAACATTAAAAGAAGTAAATTGACCATCATTCGTTTATGAACTTCCAATAAAGCTCGTAATAACAACAAAAGCCCAGAGATAGACTCAAGATACTTTCTAAATCCAAGCCGTAGCTCAATTTCCAGCAATTAGTCCCTCTTATGCAGTTTTAATTTGTAGCCCTAAATATAAAAGTCCAGAAAATAAACAGGCAGCATAAGAGAGAGGCTGAAAGAATGACCCAGAAAAACTATACAGGAAAAATCGGAAAAGAAATTAATTGCCAAAAAAAGAACACGAAGCATCAGGGTACTTGGGACAACCTGCGAGCAATATCGGCGCCTTCCCGGTGATTGTAGAAATGAGACAACTTAATAATCAGACGGCGCTCTTGTCTGTTAATCATAATGCCGATATCTTTCCTTAGCTCGATATTCATTTCCTGAAACAAATTAAAGATCCATTAGTGTGGGTACAAAGAAAATACATGACCCTAATCCAACCGTAAAGAGAGACAGACGAAGAAAATAGTCAATTACACTTTGGTCGAAGAATTTGAGGAACTCGCGCTTGTGCGCCGCCCTAACTTCCTCGCTGAGATCCATTCGCCTCCCACTTCCAGCTTTCCCTCCGACTCAATTCTACTGTGTGAGAGTGTGTTTTCGGAGGAGGCAGAGGAGAGAGAGAGTGCTGAGAATACTGATGGAATAGGTTTCCTTTTTCTTTTTGGGGGTAAGGGTTTTGGTTTAGGCGGGAAAATGGAGGGAACTGACGAGTGACTAGTCCTTTTGGCGCGAACGCGATAGTAGATGGTGGGTTACATATTTTGGCAGCCTACGGATGAACTACTTAGTAGTCTTTTGTTAGATAGATTGGCCATAAGAAGTGTGCCATTATAAATTTGTAAAATTTCCACCTTATATAAAAAAAAAAAAAATGGCTGTATTAGAAAATGATGAAAAAATTATGCTCTTAATTTAACTTATTGTTTATTAATTATTACCGTCGTTGGTTAGGTTGCAAATCCTCATTAGACCTAAAAATGCCATTACCATCTTGACTTTAGTTTTTTTATCATTTTAAACGGAATAAATAATTGGTTTTTGAACAAAAAAAAAAAAAAAAACTAACGCATAATAAGGTTACAAATTTACAACTGCAATCCATTATGTGGGAAAAATTTTCAATCTGACGATAGTTTGATAAATTTATTCAACACTTAGGGTATGTTTGTTTCGTTTTTTTAGTGTGTGTTTTTAGATATTTTTTGTATTGGGAATATAAAAAGTTGTATTGAAAATGTAAAAAGGTATGCTAGAATGGGACAATTATTATTTAAATATTTCAAAAATACCATAAAAAACCTAACAAACAAAGCCTTAATTTGAGGTCTGAACTTTGAAATCTGAAAATTGAACCGTAAGTACATAATTAATTAAGTTTGTTTTATTTCATAAAAAAAAAATGAAAACTAAAAAAATATCTGAAATCTGAACACTAAAATATGAAGTCATCAAAATTTTCACTTATAATTTTTTCTAAGAAAATAACTGATAGATATGAAACCATGATAATAGATATGAAACCATGATAATAAAATAAAGTATTATCATGAATTTGAATAACAAAACTATTTAGTTTTGATTATGTAATCATTTTATAATTAATTAATAATACTAGTAAATCCTTAGGTAAGTATATATTTATCATAGACTTTATTCGTATTTTTTCAATAAATATCAATATATTAAAAAATAAAAAAAATAATTTATATAATTTTAAATTTCAAATTATGCAAAAATTAAAAAAATGAATCAAAGATAAATATATATATATATATATATTTAATATAAACATAGAAGCACATAATTAGAAAGAGGAAAAAAAAATGTCTCAAGAATTCAGTCCAGTAATAAGTAACCGACCTATCACTTATTTTTATATCCAAATTTGTACTTGCATTTCAAATCCACGTAATTTATTAAGAAGTCTACTTTTTGTTTAAGTTGTTATGAGATTTTATTATGAAACAGTATCAATCAATTAAACACTTAATCAATTAAATTTAAATGTTAAATGTATTTATCAAATAGGGCCTAATAAACTTTTTCTAAGGGAAGAAGAGTTGCAAAGAAAAGAAAAAATGAAAATCGTCCTACTTTGGAGGCCACGTTGTACAAAACTCAAACTAAATGGTAGTGACAAATTGAGAGAAGAACCTTTTGTCCATACTACATACGATGCAACCATCGTGCTTCCAGTTCATAAACCAATGCCTCGTCAAATTCATTACCCTTTGGCTTTGCGAAATCTGAGTCCATTTTTAATATTTAGGAAAGAGTAGATGACAGAAAATCTGGAAGATAAAGAACAGATTATGCAAAAAGTTACCCTCTTAAAACAAACAAGCATATCCCTGTAACCTCTATGTAACTCAGCGCAGAAAAAAAAATCAAAATTGACAAATCTCTAGTCTCTAGCCTCCCGAGAGGTTAAATACATATGCCGAAGAATTACGAGTCTTGAACAAATTGCTTCCACGCTCCCGCACTGCTGGCAGAATCATGACTAAGAGAACCCTAGTGAGTAAGATAGCTGATGCTACTGACTTAAAGATGAGCAGATTTAAAGGGTTGGCTATAGGAAAGACGAAGTCAGAGTCGGCCCACCAAATCCAAATGATTTCGAAATGTCTGCAGAAGAGAATACCACATGAATTTGTCAAACACATAAAGAAACATTGGAGCTCTTTACAAGATTAACAAAGTTGTGAAGGTTCAGGATTTTGACAATGCTTACAGCTTAAGTAGCCCTTGCAACAAAATGTATGAAAAGACAGATTTAAGGCTGGAATGCTGAGAACGCAACGACAGAGTTGTGTCCACCAAATCCAAATGAATTAGAAATGGCTGCAGGTGATAGCATAAAAAGTTGTTAGTGCCTATGCATTTCGGAAGAGCATTAGGAGTTCAATTTGTATAAGGTAGAGGTCCAGAAGAGCTTACCAACATTTACTTCATGTTGCTGTTTTTTGTTTGGAACAGTATCAAACTCCACTGCGGGCTCTGGATTCTGTAGTCACATAAAAAAAAAGAAGAAGAAGGGATTTGCATGCGACAAAAAGTTAGGAAAGAAGAAGCAAATTTCAAGTTTAACATTTAGTTGAGATTAAATCAGTAGTAGAATTTACGTGGAAAACTGATTGGGTGAAGCATCTAACAAAAAACAAACATACAATGATTTGAAGGATACAAAGTAGTTTAGAGAATAAATGTAAGTGAATTCAAAGGGAGAACTGTGAAGGGTAAAGCATTAAATAGGAGGACATACGAATTGATTTATTGTAGGATGAAGCCAGCCAGTTGTAATGGCCTTCACGGTTGCAATAGCTTCCAGGCCACCAGCAGCACCAAGGCAGTGCCCTATCATTGACTGTAATAAAAAAGAAACAAGTCAGAACAAGATGAGATGAAAAGGGCTTAATTTTGGAAGAGGAAAGGCAAAAATAGTGGGTCATTTGACAGTGAGATAGGGTTTTCAAAAATGCCCGTACTGCAGTGTTTGCCTCTTTCTAAGAAAGAGACGATACTTATAGCTGAAAGCAAACGCAAAAACACACAAATTCTAGTACAGAGAGAGCATGTATGTGCACAGGCACATATGTCTGCAATGAGTGATTACCTTAGTTGCATTCATCTTGATTCCTGAAGTGTCCTTGAACACCTTTTTAATAGCATTAACCTCAGCTAGGTCACCCACTATTGTGGAGGTTGCATGAGCATTTATATAATTAACCTGAAAAAAGAAAATTAGAAAAATCAACTCTTAGTTGGTTTCCTACAGACGTGAGATCAGGCATTCCGAAGCCAAACATTCAATCTTAAATATCCATCACCATAAGAATGGAATTAAGGAACCAAAACTTCTATCATTTAAATCACAATTCAACCAGGAATAAAGGCATCCATACTCGTCAGACATGGCAATCTAAAAAGCGGCGGAGGTCCAGTACCCAAAGACGAAAAGAATTTTGCTGAAATACATACTACTGTCCGAGGATTTGTGAATTACTTGTCTATGAGTTTATGCTCAAGAGACTGATAAAGGGATTACCAACAAATCACAAACCTAAAACACAGGCTAATTACTTTTTAATTTTCATGTGAAACGGAAAATGAGAAGTTATAGGACAACTCTTCCAGATAGAATTTGTGCAGCCTATGTTCCATAGATGATATAACAACAAAGATAACTGCTCCCGTAAGTTACCATTAAAAACATTAGCCAAAAAAACAGGAGCTACAAAACCAAGAGGCAGCCCAGTTTGCACTAAAAATCCAAAAAGAACTGTCCTTTCAGATTTCATACCTCCTCAGGTGACACGCCTGCATCTTCAAGAGCACTTTGGATGCATGTAGAAACACCAAGTCCATCAGATCGTGGATCAGTCATATGATAAGCATCACAGTTCACTGCACCTCCCAAGTACTCGGCAATTATTGGTGCACCACGTTTCATTGCATGTTCCAAGCTTTCCATAACCTGCCAAGATACAGTCAGCAGTAAGAGAACTCAAAGATATTTGGGCATCCCAATTCCACAGTCCTCAAAACTTGAATACCATGCATAGGAAAAGCTCAATTATGAAAGACCTTTATAAGAAAATAATTGAGTACACTAGAAAATTAACTATGACCAAATTCTGTGGCATTACAACCACCGAAACACCTAAGCCATAATCCTACTAGATAACTAAAACATCAAGAACTCTCTAATCTCTCAATGTCCAGTATAACTTGTATGCATAAAGAGAGCACCATACTTACCAAAACTCCAGCACCTTCACCCATAACAAAACCATCACGATCTTTATCCCATGGCCTAGAGGCAGTTTGTGGGTCATCATTTCTTTGAGACAGAGCACGGCATGCTACAAAACCTCCCAATCCAATGGGAATTATGGCAGCTTCAGTTCCGCCAGCTATCATCAAATCAGCCTCACCTCTACGGATGTGATTGGCAGCAGCATAGAAACAATAGTTTGAGGTGGCACAAGCAGTTGAGATTGAGTAGTTTGGTCCCATAAAACCCAAATCAATGCCAAGTAAGGCGGATGCCATGTTTGTGATTGCATAAGGAATGAAGAACGGAGTAATCTTTCTATGACCTTTCTCTATCAGAGCCTGAACACCGTCTGAGAAAACTGTAAGACCACCCATGCCTGTCCCAACCAGAACACCAGCCCGTTCTTTATCAATCTGCATGCACAACATGAACAAAACAACTTCGGATTTCCTTAAAATATACAAAACAACACTTCTGATGTACACATTGATGTTCAAGTGAGCAGAAAATATTTCCTGCCAAACTTAGGCATTGGAAACAGCTCAAAAGCATCTATAAGACAGTAGACAAATATGGTTGCCAAAGAGGAAGCTCCAAATAGTAGTAATGATGGTAAAATTCGTAGGCCACTCACAAATACTAACCATTTATGTATAGTAGAAACAATAAAGTTAGGTCCATGAAATTGAAACTCAGCAGGAAAATAAAAGATTCGATGTAACAGCGGTATAAGAAATCCCTTCCAAAAATCAATACGAGCAAAAGGCAAAGGTAATCAACGAGGGTGAATTTATAGCAAAAACACACGATCCACCTCAATTTAAACAAACTATACAGCATTCAAAAAAAAAAAAAATTCAATTCGAAAACTCAATGGAGAAACATAGAACAGAGCTAATATAAACAAACCTTTCCAATATTATCACCGCCAAGATCGGCATTCTCGAGGCCCTTTTTGCCAGCAACAATACAATACCTCAAGCAATCATCAAGCCTCCTATCATTCTTCCCATCAATGTAGCCTTCAGATTTAAACCCCCGAATCTGTCCACCAAATCTGGTGGGAAACTTGGTGGCATCAAAGCGATCAATGAGAGTGATACCACTCTCACCGGAAAGTAATTTATCGTAGTAGGCATCAACATCATTGCCAAAGACGGAAACCAAGCCCATCCCGGTAATAACGACTCGCTTCTTGGGATCCTTTTCGCGCTTGGGAGGTGAAACGGCGGAGGAGGATTTAGTTGCGGAGGAGGCGAAGATAAGAGGAAGCTTTCTGGAAATTGGGGTAGGGGACTTGGTGGTGAGGGAGAGAAAATGTGAGGTTTGTTTGCGGAGAGGGTCGAGGGGAGAAGAGAGGAAAGGAGGGGATTGGAGGGGAGTGTGCACGGTCGACATGGCGGAGGACGGAGGAGGACGGCGGAGGAGTTTCGATGAGAACGAGGAGGAGGAGGAGCTAGTGAAGAAGAAAGAAGTACAGTGGATTTATGATGAGGAAATGGGGGTGGTTCGAAGTATGTTGGCAGTTGCCGCTGAGGGGAAATTAGTGAGAAAGGCGTGACTTCTTTTTCTTTTTTTTCTTTTTTTTTTTCTTCCTTTTGATGAGAAAAATCAACTTTTTTCCAATCTTTTATCGTCCCTTTTAAATTTTTAATAATTAATGTTCGTATTATTGTACTTGTTAAAAATAATAGTACTCCAGTAAATTTAATAACTCATGCGTTGGTTATTTTTTTTCCTCTAATGATACTCTGTTAATTATGCAAAAATTAAAGACAGTGCTTGTTTGGACATCCACTTAGTTTACATTTTCAACTCATTTTGCCTCTTAAACACAAATCCCAATGCAAGACAAACTGACGTCCAAACAACTTTCTGATTTATATTTTAAAATCAAACTTGCAACATTTATTATTGTAGTGACCATTTTTCGGAACAAAAATTAGTATAGTGACTATATTTGGAACTAAAAATTAGTTTGGTGACTGAAAAAACTTTGCACATTTTTGATCCATTGTTTAGTGACCATTTTTGGAACTAAAAATTAGTTTGGTAACTGAATCTAAAACTTTGCACATTTTTTATCCATTGTTTAGTGACCATTTTTGAAACTCTTTTTTTATAGTGACTAAAATTGACATTTTTCCATTGTTTAGTGATATTTTTCGTACTTGGTATTTGAATAGAAAAACAACTTTTTGCTAAAAATACCATCCAAACAATTTTTCCATTTCCCATTACGTTTTCCACTTAAAACACTTTTCACTTTTAAGTTAAAAATGAAAACTAAGTGGACGTCCAAACAAACACACTTTCAAAGGTTATCGTTCCAATGATGGCTAGTATATATACACTTAAGTGTACAGTTCTCTTGAATATGGTAAATTGTAATTTGTGTATTTAACTTGGTAACGTTTGTTCCAAAAGGAATTTTCAAAAAAACAAAACCCAACAACAACACTTGATTTCAAAAACTTTGGACAAATTAACTTCTGCCGGCAGAATTTAACTCACTACCCACGGCCGGCAGAGAATTTCCCGGAAAATGCAGGATTTTGAGCGGGAAAAGTCGTCGGCCGGGGTACGAGAATTACTGAACTCGAGTCTACAGAAGGGATTTAATAAATTTTTGTCAAAGGTTTTCAAAAAAAGATGCGAGTTTTAGTGCTATATAAATGGAGCTATACTATGAAATTATGAGAAAAAATGAACTGATGCTCTGGTTGCTTGCAACCACCATTATTCATCATTTCATTGTACAACGTTGGCTCTTTGAACTTTAATCTGCTAAAAGTTGAGAATTGAGATCAACTCTGTTCAGCTTTTAATATTAGGGCTTGTTTAATAACACCACTTAATGCTTAAAATTATTAAATTACGCACTTTTTTCAATAATAAAAACTAACATCTTAATGAAATCAATTCAGCATGTTTGATAATAAAAACTAACATCTTAATGAAATAAGTAGTGCTGAAACTTAATATAAAATATAAGCAATAAAAATTAGTTTATTACTTATTCTGTAACTGCTAAATGAATTCAACATTTTTAATTTCGTATTAAATATTTAGAATTGAGCAATAATTTTTATCAAACAGGCCCTTGGTCGGGTAACATTGCAGTACTAACAAAATGCTTCTTTTTTTTGGTAAAAAATTTCAGGATTTTTAGCACCAAAATAATAATAATAATAATAATAATAATAATAATAATAATAATAATAATAATAATAATAATAATTATATACTTGATGAACGAACATGGGTTCTTAATTGCCTCAAATATCAATGGACTTGATCTACAGCAACTTCTAAGCAGGTAAGAGAACGGGAAACAATTGATACTGGTGTTTTTCGTATTTATACAATAGTATATTGCTAAAAAAAAAAACTTTTTCGAAGCTGTTTGGTATTGGTAATGATCTCGATTCTCAACCCCCTCTGTATAGATCAACGATTAGGAGGAGGATCAGACATAACTTTTTTAAAAAAAAAAAAAAAACCCTAATGGCATCCCTATCAGATATGCCAGAAGGCATTATTCATCAAATACTTTCATATCTCACAACCAAACAAGCAATCCAAGCGAGTGTCTCATCAAAGCAGTTGTTAGGGGCAGTCAGGACGAGTCCAACTTTGGGTTTCGACCCTTGGAAGAGCCTCGGGTGGTTGGATATTCGACCCGGAGATTGGCTATGGAGAAAAGATGCGTAGTGGAACTTGAGTACATACGGTCCACTCTGGTTAGGTACCACAAGGAGAGCATTGGTTTAGAGACATTGACGTTGAAGGCATATCTCCCTACGAATACGCATGCATCGATCCTATGCGAGGCTTTATTAGGATTGGGTTCAAGAACCTTTTGATTTCCGCGCATGTCTTGCCTTTATCTATCTTTGGAGTCGACACATTGGTGCAAGTTAACTTTGCACCGTTGTGGTTTCCTTTCCCGAAGCAACAACAACTGAGGAGGAAGAGGTGGCCTAATCTCAAACGACTATCTCTAGACCACACATCTTTCCATCAGTGGACCTTTGAAAGTAGATATTCCGAGGTTGCCCTCTAATCGAAATCTTGGACATTAACTATTGTTGTGGCCGACGAGATTACCAGCTCTTCTCACAACCTTAAGCAACTCAGTGCTCGTTTATGTCGCGGGCAAACTCTTGATGTGAACGCAGCTCCAAATTTGGATTCTATAGTTTGTTCATGGCGGAATGCTTTCCTACCAAAACCGCCCCGAATCTGGATTCCGGAATCTCAAACCTTTGTTCCTATATGATGATGTGGGAGTTGACTTGGCCCGCATCTGGAACATTTATCAAATCCAAGACAACCGCAACATTCAAAGAATCTCTATATATATCAAGTTCTTCTCTGAAGAAAATAGAGCTCATAGACTCCCCCAACTTGCAAGAAGCTGAGTTTCATGTGCCTAGCCTTGCCTGTTTCGAGTACCAAAACTATGGCTCCTACAAAGTTAAGATCACACCCAAGTTCTCATTTTCAGGTGTTCCAAATGGGTGTAGCAATTTTGCAAGGTATTTTTTGGATTTTGTCGCCCTCGAACCATCACGTTCCAGTACTGGTTGGACTACGAATGCCTAAACTACTTTATGATATGTTAGTGATGAAAAGTTGTGAGCAATTCAAATGTTCTTCTTCTTCAGCTAGCTGACTTGTGGAACGTCGCGGGCATTGAGATCTTCCGACACACTCTAACTAAGGGAGATTACTACTCTAAAGAAGGGCAAGGTTTTGCACTTGCCTCGACCATCAAACTGTAATGATTTCTTAGAGCATTTAAAATCATATCAGCAACAACGTGAGGAGATCAACAAGGTAATTCTTAGCTTCAACTTGGAGTGGAATGAAGAAGCAAAAAGATTGAAATAGTTTATAGTATCACATGCGGTTTTTGTTTCTTAAATATACAATGGGGGATGATGGATCAAGTTATAACTTGTGCAATTGCTGGCCAGTTATACAGCAAATGTATACGAATTTTAATGTATTCACCCAAGGATATACTTAAATTATTGTGATGCATATAATGTTCCATTTACTACACCATCAATTAGAAAATCTTTCAGCTACAAAACCAACCTTTTCTTTCCTTTGAGAACGTCTTACTTCTGCACACAGGTCTCTATGATCCTCCCTCTTAATATTTCAAGAACAATAACCAAATCGCCCACCACCATCCTCAAGCATGACTGTGCTGTAATTAAATCTGGTAAACATCAATGTACTCTTTTTTAGTTTTTAGTTTTTTTTTTTTTTTGATAACATAACGTGGTAATATCCAAATTCAACTTAATCCATCCGGTCCTTATTATAAGACATTTTGATTTTGTCATAAGTTTCACTTAGGATGTCTTTTTAATTAGAAAAAAACCTTAAAAAATATTTTTTCACATTCGTTGTGTTCTCCTAATTACTATGATATGTTTTTAAGGTTTTTATTCTAATTAAAAAGACATCCTAAATGAAACCTAAGACGAAATAAAAAATATCTTGTGATAAGGACAGGAAGGAGTGTCGATTAAGTAGTCTCCATCTGATCCTAATAAGTAATAAGAAGGCACAAACTAATCCTAACTTTCTAGTTGTGTCGTACAGCACAAAATTAAGAGCGGCTCAGTGATTAAAACATTACATGGATAAAGGTGAATCCACGTAATATTTTTATTATTTGAGTTAGGCTTTTGCCTCCTTTCTTGTGAAATAAAAAGAAAAAAAAAGAGCACACATAATTGTATTATGTCAAGATGAGACATAAGGAACACGAAATACATACAAGAGAGAAAAAATGGTTTAGGTAAATAAAGAATTGATTTTCGTTTTTACATCTCATAACTTTTACTACAGTAACACAAAATGAAAATCAGAAGTTATAACTGACTTGCCAAATGACAACTTTATCCTTACCCCCAAAATTAATCCGGGTCAAGTCGAGAACCAGTACATACCCGACCACTGCAACATATGCTGATGTTCTGTAACTCTACGCCCCAAAAATGGCGAAGAAGAGAGTTTCAACTTCGAAAAACCCGGCTTCTACTGCTTCCCCTCCTACAAGCTCCCGGACATCAACTCAAGGGTAAAAAAGATGATCATCTTTCTAATATCAACAGTTAAATTCACCCGTGTTTATAATTTTAGTAAATTTGTTGGGCACGGTTTTTTTTTTTGCAGGGGCATGGTGTTGCGGGTGAGGACATCAGAGCGAATGAAGGAATTGGCGGAGAAGCTGAGCGAACCCATTTCAGGGAAGAAGCTTAAAACGATTTCGAAGAAGAAAAGTTCGAAGATTGACGCCCTCAAGCCCAAGAAGCCCCCTACTGCGTTTTTCTTCTTCCTGTATGTTTTATCCTTCTGACTTTTTTTTTTTAATCTTTACGGTACAGCTTCCTTTATCGATTGCAATGATATTTTGATTTGGTTGAGATGTATGCTGAATTTGAACCACGTATGATTGTTTAAGTTTCTTGAATTTAGTGTAGGATTTGGCTTGTTTCTGGACGAGTTGGTCAGATTTCTAAGTTGATGATGCAGCTAAATTCAGAATTAGTTGGTTTTCCCTAGTGTGAGCATGCCAATATGATGTAGCAAGTTGGATTGTATTTAGAAAATCTAAAAATACTATATGCTCAATGTAAATGGTTTCGGTCTGGAGTTGCTAGAAGATGTCACATCCTACGAACCACTTGGCAACTAATACCTTTAAAAACCAAACAGAGGCTAATTGGTAAAAATGGCAAGGTGTTGCAGTGTAATAATAGGATAGATATTGTTCAAAATCCAAGAAGTTAGTTGTAGCTTAAAATAGGGTACGCTTGGGGTGAATTATGAAATTGGTTGGAGGCAGGTTTATCATGTTCAGATGCATAAATAGGTGGCTCACTGATCCTTTTGGATGATGTAATTTTCTTTTTCTTTGTGGGGGATTTTAAGTGGAGAAATTTTTTTGGCCATGACTTCTCATTCAACTTAATAATTCCTCGTGAAAGTTTTGCTGTTTTCCCTACATTATTAAAAATGTGGGATGGTTTTTTATGGCTTCTAGCATTGCTTTGGGGAAGTGTTTTGTTGTCATGGATGGAGGCTTTAACCTGCACCATTTGTTGCCAAATGACCTCATTAGTCTCTTATAAACTCTTATGTCTTATATTTTAATGTGTTTACTTGAAGTTCTGTCACTACCTATGTACATTCTCTCAGCTTATTGAGGAAACAATGTGAGACCTGATCGAAAGGTGATTCATTTTATGTTTTTTTGGCTTACGGGTATGATAAGATATGAGTTTTGAGAAATATCTGACCATGGGTGATATAAGTGGGCATTATCGTCCCTCCTATTGTTAGAATCATGCCTGAGCTACAGTTTCTCCATTTACTAACTTGATGCATCTTGGGTAGATCTAGAAGCAGTAGCTGTTTGGCAACGTCAACTGGTTAGCCTTGTGCTCTAACAGAGTCTGGTGAAATCCTGTTTATTGTCATCTAGTATCCAGTAATAATATGTAAAGGACATATGTAAATAATATGTAGCCAGTATTAATAGTAATGTATTCCGCTTTAGAAGTGAGAAATATGAAAGGAACATTTGAACAATTTTTTGCCTTTCTCTATCTTGACTTAATATAAAGTGTCTTTGAATTATTTGCTAATGATCACACTTTTAACATTGAAGGGAAGATTTCCGCAAGGACTTTCAAGAGACGAATCCTGATATTAAGTCAATGCGTGACGTGAGTTATATTCAATTTTTTCCTTTACTGGTCAATGGTATTTGTTTAAATAAATTATGGTTTTATTGATTTCTTTTTCCTATTTATGAGTTTTGGAAATGCTCATTTGTACCAGATTGGCAAGGCTTGTGGGGACAAGTGGAAGACAATGACTTATGAGGTAATTCAATCTCATGATGGATTGTTGCACTGCACTAATTGTTCCATTGACAGAATGAATGGTGGACGCTGGATCATATTTGTTAATTTAGTGAAAATTGAAAAATAGTGTAGAAATCAACATGTAATGCTATTGGAGATCTCTTTGAATTGAGTTATGGTGTGGTACTTGAGTGATTGCTGCGGTGTTTTTGTTCTCTGTTTAAAACACGGCATATAAAATGGAGCATTTACTATGTAGTTTGACAGGCGATGCTGAGACCTCCCTAAGTTGGACGATTTATGAGTATTTTTGGGTAACTTGGAGATGGGCGTCTTGTATGGTTTACCAATTTTACTTCAGAACATTACTGAATAGATTATAATGCTTTTTGATGCATTTATATCTTAAACTTATGTCCATTAGAAACCAAAGGGTGCATGAGATCTGGAAGAAGTGATACTTTTCATCGAAGTTACTAATTGATGATTCGCTTGTACTAGCTTTCATGTGGTTCGGAAATCTTTGATAGTCAAGTGCTAAGGTTTTGATGTTTGAGAGAACTGGTTAGTCCTAACGTAAAAGTCCATAGTGTTCTGTGCCTTTTACTGATGTTCACTTGCTAGTTTTCTGGACTAAAAAGTGTATGGAATAGATGAATTTTGTTTCAGTGTCAAGCGTTGATATTATATGATGAAGGGTGGTTCTTTAAGTTTCTAGAAATAGGCGAAACCGCAAAATTAAAAAGGTGTGAGGTATAAATGATCTGTACTTTGTCAAAACTAGTAGACTATTTTCTGCTGGGAATGAAAGCCAGATGCAGTAGAAAATTGAGTCTTAGGACCTTTCACATGCAGTTCTAAGATTAATGAAGTATATTGCCTTGTTGAGTCTGAAGTAACTATCATGCTACTGTTTGATTAATGCCTAAAACACAACTTTTGTTACATCCATTCATCATGAGTCAGTATGATACATCAGTAATGTGCCTCTATCCACTTGGATTTCTGGGTTCTCGTTCCAAAAGAACACAGCATGGCCACATTAGCTTGCAAATCTAACTTGGTTCTAGATATATGGTTATTTATTGTTCAACTTTTGTTGCGTGTAGGAAAAAGTCCACTATTATGATATAGCTACTGAGAAACGAGCAGAATTTGATCAAGCAATGGCAGAATACAACAAAAGAAAGGTTAGTTTCGTTATCCATTTTTTATTCTGATACTCTTAAATCTTTTATTGACTATGTACAGTTATTAGCTTAATCAGACTTGAAAAATCTGACCAGAAGCCCTTTTTCCACATTGAACCACCTATGCAGGAAATGGGGGACTTCCAGGAGTATGAAGACGACTCTGACTTCTACAGCTGATACTATTACGTGAATATATTTCTGTATTTTCTAATCAGAGAGTGTTTCTCTTTGTTGTTAGGTCATCCTTAGATGTTTAGTTGTGCCTAAGTTCTGAATAGTGTGAAAATTAGGCTGAGAAATTAACCACCCTGTATTAATCCTCCCTGTCACTGTCCCTGTCCGTGTCCATCCCCTGACCAGAACTAAGCATGATATACCCTAGCTATTTGTTCATTCATGTGTAATCTTATTGGCAACTGGTGATGTTGATCAAATTTGTCGAATATATTTTTCCAATCAACTATACCCTTAACTTAGTTGATATTATGGTCAACTCCTAACCTTGTGACTTTTATGGTATGATAAAGTGAATTCATGTCTGTCATACGAACAATTTACCAGGAGGTTTTACAAACAATCTCAGAAGCATAAAACTGTGTCTCAATAAAATTGGTCTAGCTGATCAGTTCCCCTTATCACGGTCATCAAATAAGTGAATAATGGTGTAAAGTGACTACGAATGGTGAAGGGAATGTCTCCTCATTCAGATCTTTCAAGCAGCGACCTGATCCGCCCAATGTATATCAGTTATAATGATTTACCCTTACATTTGTGACGTTGCTTATTGCATTTTACATTCTTTCCGGCTGATACCGTCATTAATGTTGAGCAACTTATTTGGCTGTATAGCAGAAGGTTATCTTGGTTGTCCAAGTCAAGGAGCCGATAAAAGAATGAGATTGAAGGGTCTTGAATACCGGCTGCAAGGCCAACAGGTAAAAGGACTCAGGTCTGGGGATCGAAGTAGCTCTCGAAACTGGAGAGAGGGTTTTGAAACCATGTCAGGGGCTAGTTTGAAAATGAAGAGATGTTACACAAAAAACTGTAGGGCTTATGATGAGACCCTTCCTCTCTTCCCTAATTTTACATCCCTTATAGACAAATGATGAACTACACTCAAGAAACAGGGATGGAAATTGTTTTTCCTTTATAGTTTCCCATAAGCCAAAACACATTTTCAAGTCTTATTTCCAACAGGTCACGCCCTGCAGGTCGATCTAAATGATTTCATTCTTCAAGTTCTCATGTCAAGTACATGCTGATTTGTGCTCACAGAAGCGAGAGATTCCGAAATACTTTTGACCTCAGCAATCATCGCTATGACATTGTTTAACTTGTTAATTGCAGAACCTACACCCTGCATCAGGACAATGTCGTCAGCAATTTGCTTTGCTTTAGCTGAGCAAGAACACTAGTGAATTGAGTTTGAAAATGTACCACGCCTGCAGCTCCTGCTGTGATCGCCATTGGGGCAGTGACGGCACTGAGTCCAGATGAGCACATCACAGGTATCTTGACAGCCCGTGAAATTGAATATGCTGCTGCTAGCGTAGGCGTTGCCTAGAATGAAGCTCAGAAAAATCCAATCAGTATCAAACACAACATTCTGAGATTCATGAAAATTCAACGTGACCATGTCTACTTTGGTTTTCTGAAAAGTTAAATTTGATGTAATTTTGTTCCTACCATTGCGCTAAGGATCATTCCACTAACGATCCAGATGTGAGGTGAGTAAAATTGAGACTTAGAATGAGCAACAGAGGATATATGAAGTTACCTTCTCAATTAAACCGAGAATGCCAGCCTTGGAAGGATTAGAACATTTTCCTCCTTCAGTCTGTATGATGTCAGCTCCCGCAATCTCCAACTGTTCAGCTAGCTTGACCTGTCGACAACAATGCGAGAAAGAATGCGCTTTTTTTAGGAGAAATTCAAGGTTGAAGGTTGATTTTATCATCTTCTAATTGCAAATACCACTACTACTAGTCACCTGATCAGGTAAACTCAATGTGTGAGGCACAGTTACAGAGAGTGTCACCGAAGGAAGAATCCTCCTTGTCTCCTTGGTTAGATCCAAAATCTGGATATGCCAATAAAACGTCAAGACGAAGAACATTATGTTAGCACCATCTTTGATGATTGTTTTAAAGGATAAACTATTCCAGAAAATCTCAAAGGGTTTTAAGAGCTTGTATAACCATGGAAATACAGCGGTGAGTACTATAAAAGTGAGTAAATGTATTATCTCAAAGTGTACGAAACCGTAGGGGATGTTCGAACATCCATTCATACCTGCTCTGGGGAGAAAACAATGCCCATTTCATAAAAAGAATCGTAATTTCCAATCTCCACCTGGGGAACACAAGAAATGAATACTCACTTATGTTACAGATTAATACTAGAAAAGTGAGCAAATGGATCCAAATTAAAGGAATAGGCTTCCTGCAAATCAAAAATAACGAAGGGTTTGCAGTCCTTACCATTGAGGCTCCAGCTTCAACAGCAACAGGAAAGAGTGTTGGATCCACTGAAGAAACACAAACCTACCGAGAACAAAAAAAGGATGAACCCAATTATGCTCCCTTAGCCTGAGGTACTATTTGCAGTAATGGTATAGCCGTGATTCAGCAAGAACTTCTGCTTAAAAAGATGCAGAATTATAGTCTCATAAGAAGACTACATCAATCTTTATACAAGGGACATATAGATGATGCACATTGTGAGCATATTCACCAGAAGATGTTCCAAGAATTGAGCAAACAAAGTTCATATTTCCAAACCCAAGACCATTGCATAGAGCAATTATTAGTTATAACACCTAAATTAAAGAGAGTGAAGCTGCATTAACTGAATCAAGAAGGAACCCGCAAATGCTAGGACTTTACAGCTTTATACTATGACAATGAAATAAGTGCCTACCGGAATGGAAGTTAAGCTAGCAGCAAGCTTCACCAAATCTGGGTCACATGCTATATCGACGTGAGTAGCTCCACCCTGCTCCATCAGTGGAAGAAAGTAGTTTGAATTAGTAGTGAAAAAGGTTGAAGATAAGAACTCACAATAGAGAAATTGAACTAATTTCCTGTAAGGAAACAATAATCTTGAAATTGCAAAACAGAAACCCAAAATGTTCTGATATACAGACCTTATCTGCAGCTGTAACAACAGAGGCAACGTTATCTCTGTCGAAATTTCGCAAGCCCGAAATGATCTGAAATAGGAGGGAAAATACATGAATTACAATGAACGAAAAAGAAGCTTTATCCCATTTTCAGGATTTTGAGAAAGGATTCACAGAAAGCCAGGAAAAAGAACGAGTAAAGTTTCAACCCACAGGAAGGAGTAAAAGAACTGAAACAGAGGTTCCAAGTACAAAATGGCTCATACATAGAAGTTACCTTCAAAGCTTTTCTGTCATAAAAATCCCTCAAAACTACATCTTTTGAAGTGGAAAGCACAGCTCTGGTTGCAGCCGGAGTTGTTCTTCTTCTGGAAGGGAATGAAAGGCTTTTTTGCAATAAGGACTCACCAGCAAGAAATGGGTTCTTGACAAGCTTCAAATTCGATATTTCGGAAGGTAAAGCCGTCGAACAGTTGCAGCAACTCATCGTATTTTCTATGTCTGGTAAGATTTTTTTCTGATAGGATATTTTGGAGGGAAGAAGAACTGAGAGGGATAAGAAGAGATAAACTGAACTCGTGAATTTAGGCTCTGTGTCCAAAAGGATAAGATAGTTTTACTTACTGCTAGATATAATCATTGTACTTCTAGTTTAATCCTGTACCATAATCATAATGGTTAATCATCATCGTGGATTTCTGTTCTTTCTAAAAAATAATAATAATAATAATAATAATAATAATAATAATAATAATAATAAAAGGTTATATATATATGAAGAAGGAATTATGTTTAAAGTCTGTATTATCAACTCCTAGCTTATTACAGTGGTTCCCATTTCTGAGGACGATCTGAAGAGCACCATTAAACTTACTAGTGATAACGTGAAAATGATAATTAATCAAGGGCTTTTTTTTTTTCACATACATAACAGTCTGAAATAAATTTTAATTTCTAGCAATCAATATCTCGTCTGACCATTCATGGATCTTGTGAATCAATGTTAATTAGTTGAAGCCATACATACAGTAAAGCGTCGGCAATTAATAATAGATAAATTAATAATTTTTGCGAATTAATAATTTTATCTGGTCGCAGCTTAAGACCAGTACAAAAAATGATAAAACTCAATAAAATGATAAGATAATAATATTTCAGAAGATCCTTTATATATCTATAAATCCCAAGAACACTATAAATTAATAAATGTCATAAATGCAAATATATATATATATATATATACACTAATAACTAGGAAGATTTAGTAAAAGGTGAACTTATTGATACTTGTTTTTTCTTGAAATTTATATCTAATAAAATTTTATCATTAATTTGTCTCATTGCTCTTGAAAGCTCTGGGGTTGTATTCTCAAATTACAATAAGAAATTGTGAAGAGTTATTGCTGATTTGAATGTTTCTTTTCGTGTGACTGGTGCCAAAGACATTGAATCATCATCAACTTCATCATCAATTGAACTATCTCCAAGGATACTAGTCACAATATCCTTAAATGAGTTGACCTCTGTAAACTCATCATTTTCACATAAATAATCCACCAATTGATTGACATTCATCTTATTGTGATAACTAAAATGATTAATCATGTTCTGAAGCTCGTGAAGTCTTTCCTGGGCTGCATCATTTGAGTCTAATGCCGACGCGTCATTTATTAAACGAATTTTGCAATGATTAAAACAATCTGTTGTTGTCTTTTGTTAGACATCAACCGTCCAAGATGAAACGGCAAGATTGATGGCATCTAAAGCATTAGTATAGTAGGGTTTTTTTAAAAAAAAGATTCTTTAAATTAATAATTTATTAATTTATCGACTATTTAATAATTCGCTAAATTAATAAAATTTGGTGGTTCAAACACTATTAATTTATAGAAATTCTTCTGTACATAAAAATGCTTTCTTTAGCTAGTTATGTAGTTTCATTAAGATTCAAGAACACAATATAGGCGATATTTTGATCTTTCTAATTCGTATCTTGTGTGACTTTGTTTACTTTATTTTCACGTTAAAGATGAACGGCAACTCAATGAATATTTGGGATAACTATATAGCTAGTCGATTCATTCAAACATTTCATTGAATTTGTTCTCATTATACCACTTGCCATATAGGGATGTCAATTCTTGACACAATAACTATACACAAATACATCATGAAATAAACAAATTTATATTGAAATATTTATACTCGTAATAAACCGCAGTTAGGGTTAAATCAAATCTGTTTACTTATAATGTTGGATAGAGATCAGCCCGTCAAATTTTATGGATCGCCCGATTAACCTAATATTATTAGTCTTCTATAAGTAGTTTGACAATTTCAGGGGTTTCATCCTAAAGTCAAATCCCTATCAATCACATTCCATTTCATATCTCATGCGCCGCTATCTCCTTCGTCTCTCTCTAATTTCAAGTTCAATTGATCGATCTCTTATCTTTCGATCTTTTTCCATACGGTTTTGCAACTCGATCTCAATTCTTCAAAATACAAACCAAATCACTCCCAATTTCTATTACATTTCCGTCGACCAGTCTATCGAACCTGCTAACTCGAATCCAACCTGTTTTGCGAACCCTAGTGACAAACTACTCATGACTTCCCTTTTGTATAATAAGAATTCATATGCTTTCTATAACAAGAATTCATTAATTCCTTTTGTAAAACTGAAATTGGGGAGATTCATATGGCAAATTGCTTTGATTACTCTGTAATAAACTATAGAGTCATCAACAAATACATCCAGAAGACAAAAATTTGTTGTACTCATACTCTTAGATCTTGGTGTTAAACTCCGGTCGATTGATAATCTATCAAAAGAAAATACCGGAAAACTTTTGAAAATTCTAGTATTTATTTTCTGGTAGATTATTAATTCGATTGGAATTTAATTTCATCAAACACGTTGCTGATGCTGCAATCTATTCACTGGATACAACATCGCTTCCCTGAAAGAGAAATGGATGCATCGACAGATCGGACTCAATTTGCTTTACATGGCAAGCCCTCTATTCTTCTCCCTCCGTCCCATAATTATTATCCTTTTAAGTTTTCATTTCTAGTTCAAATTGTACTAAAAGTGAGATTTCAAATTGGACAATAATTTTGGGACAGAGGGAATACTACTTTTAATTCGATTTTTTTTTTTTTTTGGTGAATTCACATTTAAATAGAACTTGATTAAGGTGGGTAATTCTGATTGAGTTTGAGTGTCCTTAGCTTGGATTTGGCACAAGTATGCATGACCCGTGAGCAGCTTGTTATCTGAATCTATAACTCGTTTGAGTTCTTGTTTTTAAACCATCTTACAAGAATACAAACCTAGTACTCACGAGATAACCCGTAATCGGAGTTTTTTTTTTTTTTTTTGGGTTTGAAAAAGCGTAATCGGAATTGAACGAGGTTGCATGGAGTCGCCATTAAATTAAATGTGTTGATTTACTACTTTAGAGTTTGAGCTGAAACCTCTTTCATCATTTTAAAAAAATAAAATATAATTGGTGTCTTCCTGCAGTAAAGATACTTTAAAATGCTCATAGTGTGACTCGAACCTGAGACATTTTAAAGTGCCCATGGTGTGACTTGAACATGTGACCTTAGTGTGTTTGTCCTATTCACTAGGATAATCCATAATTCACTTTGTAATGCTCGTTTAAATTCACATAATAGTATGATTATACGTTTTTTTTCTAAATACAAAATCACCCTGAAGTTGTTCCGTCATTATCTGGTTGCTAATAATCTTCCATTTAATGGGAATTTTTACAAATATTTGATATTAGAAAATGAAGATATTTATATTTTTTGCTGGAAAGCGAATAAAATGAAGATATTTTTATGATTATGCAGACGAAGATTTTTTTATTTGTGTTTTTATTTTTCTTTTTTGGTTTGGAAACAGTGACATATGTCGTTTCTTCTCTTGTTTTAAAAGAGACACTTTTGGTTGTCCGCAGCAAGAAAAAGAGAAAAGAGATGCACTTTTTTGATAAGTCATTTGTTTCCAATATATATTTTGTCTCCAACCCTTAGCACTTGATTCCAACCTTCAATTCAATGGTTGATGAAATTTAATTCTTACAAGCTTCAAACCATAATACATTATTCAATCAATACTCTCTCCGTTCTGAAATAATTAGAGTTACATTTTCATTACTAATACAGACTATAAAAAAAAAAAAAAAAATTGAAAAACCAAATTGGGACAGTCATCTTGGAGGCTTGGACAATACGTTTTGATCTTTTGAGAAACTGGGTTGCTGAAGCCACTCTATACCGTGTGCTTCAATTAAAAAGGTGGAATAATGATGTTATGTATGCCTTTATTATAAATCTTTTTCAGCAACCTTCTCATACCATCATCGTCAATGTCGCCAATTGGAATCCCGACAATCTTACAAAGAAGCTCTCAATATTCGATATTCGATTATCCAACCGGGTGATAGTGATACTGATGTAATTTGCTACTGCGAAACACTTCAATGGAAGGGAAAAAAAAAAAAAAAAGGCTTCTCTGGAAAGAACCAAAAATAGATAAATGTGTTTTTGAGAAGCCTATAATGTCGTCCATTCCCCTCAATCTAGTTTGTCTTTTTAGTATGATTTATAAGACAAGTAAAATATGTTGAATCCATAAAAGTTATATATCAAGTGTCAAGTCTGTCATAGATTTTGTAATCATAACCATTGAAGGTTTCGCTGGAAAAGTTCCGGGTGTAATGATGGGGGGTTCTGGGATGGTTTTAACAGGAGAAACACAGTCGGGGAAATTTTACCATCATCACCTTTTAGTGTGTGTGTGAATTACATTGCTTGATCCTTAATACTACTACTATGTTACTTCAGGGAGAAGCGCATACATCTTCTGATGCTTTTGTAATGACATCAGTTCTGACAAGGTAATTAAACAGAATAGTGTAAATTGGTCGATCGAACAGGGGTAGAAGAAATCCAACATTGAAGAATCACATTGATAAACTAGGCAATTAATTAGCATTTGTACGTATGATCCCCAAAAAAATAAAACAACGAATGTTACAGAAGAAAAAGCAACGAAGCTAGTCAATAGCCCAAAAAGAAAAATCATCCGCAGGAGAGAAAACATTGAAAAGTACAAGGATACAGAAATCAAATAAATGAATTTCTCGATTTCTGACTCTTTCTCCCTTTGATTTTTTCTTCTTTGAGAAATTTTGGTCTCTCTACAGCCATGAATTTACAGAATTCAAAAGAAAAGAGATCCGATGATGATGATGATGGTGATCAGAGATGGCAACCGCAACAGAGGTAGAAGAAACAGAGGGTGAAGACCAAAACAACGGCTTCCAAAACATAAACGATTTTGAAGAGGAAACCATCAATAAACCAAGTATAAACCGTGAACTTCTTCTTCCACCGGAGCCCAGTTGCTGAGGAGAAACTCTTGGAATTGAAACTCCACCTCTCTGAATTCCCAACAGGTACGTCGCCGTCATTAACCTCGTAGCCGCCGCCGGCTACATCAACCGGACTTCCTCCGCCGCCGCTCTTCTTACTCAATTTCCTGAAGAACAGCGGGAAAGTAGGCTTCCTAAATTTCATCGCAAATCTGAATAATAAACCCACAAATCTTCGAGTTGGGTTTTTGTTTTGGCAATTTCTTCTTGGAGTGGTTTTAGAGTGATTATTTATATACTATATATAAAGAGAAAAAACTTTTGGTTTGGGGTGATGATAGCCGGCGGGATTGGCTAGGAATATAAGGGAGAGCGGGACAGGGGTAGTTTAGGAATAGGCGAAAAAGAATGTGACAACTGTTCGAAGGTTCCGCGTTTTCGTGGGGTCAAATCGTCAAACGGGATGGGGTTTATGTGGTGGGCCCCTGGGCAGCGATGTGGCAAGTCGAATAAAAATAAAAGCAGCTTTTCTCTAGCGCTTGATTTTCTTTCCTTTTTTTTTAAATTTTTTTTTGGTAATGTCAATATTTTCCCTTAATTGATATGATTTCTTCCCGTTAGTAAGCAGTTGACTGAGCCGTTTCATAATTTTAGTAAGAAGAGCAATCAACTGCTAGGTTAAGAAAATTGGTGAGTTTATGATAACTGGAAGTTATAAACTAATAAGAAATCAGGTAATTTGATGGAAATATTGGGTGTTCACATAAGAATTGAGCAGCATTCCAAGAGTATATCAAATCAACAAATACTGCTAATCAAATCAGAAACCCTAATATAATCGAATAATATCAAATCAACATTGATCCCAAAAAGTTAGGGTGTCTGTCAAGCAATCCACATTATGTGGGCGTGGTGTAGGATAATTTGGGGTGAGTTTTTTTTGGAACGAGATCCACATAATTATTTGGACAGAGTTACATTAATTGGTAACAACAATACATCTATAGTGATAAAAGTAAAAAAATAATAATAATAATAATTCCTTCTCCTTTACTTAATTCGCCAGAAAAAATTCATGATCACTCAATACACCAATTTTTATTACTTGCAGAAAAAGATTCTGATTTGATCATCGAGCAATGATTGAGGTTTGAAGTGGTATACTATTTCGGTTTTGCTGTTGAATTTGAATGAGGGAAGCTTCTACCTATAATTATTTATTTATTTTTTTTGCATGTTTTTGAATCAAGGAATACAAGTAAACGTACGTGTTGAGAAATTTCTTTTCTTTTTTTTTTTTTTCGTTAGAAGTTTGACAGGAAAATTCTACGTTGACTTCAATTCAATATATTGTTGGTCAAATAATCACATAGAAGAAACTTATTACTAACGAAAAGAGAGAACAGAAGCAACAGCTTTCTCCTTCATTTCCAGTTCCCGGAACTGGCGACTCGTGGTGTAGGAGTAACAACATTATAAAATATTGAAACTTGAAAGGAATCATAAAATCGAAATTATCTAACTCCAAAATCATAGCTGAATTGCTGGAGCTCTTCTATAATTTTTAATTATCGGAATCAGTTTAATATTATACTAACATGCGTTGCTACATTGCAATTTTATTAGATTTTAGTCATTTGGAGCTTAATTATAACAAAATTGTACTGTAGATTAAAAACACAAGTCGCTAATGTAGTGATCACATTGTTCACAAAGAAGATTCTGAGTGGTGGTGGGAAAGAATATTAACGTTGTCAAAAGGTACACAAACCAACGTTAGCAACAAAAAGAACATTCCATAACGGAAGACAGTAAATGATGAGCCCAAAAAAAAAAAGTACTAGTGCACTTAGTAAAAGAGATTCTGAAGATTTTAAGCCCACTGCCAACACCACCTCAGTCATATAAATTTGATTCCAGATTCTGAAAGCTTTTACACTCCCAGGCTTCAAGCTGTTTCAGACTTTCAGCTAGGTCGAATTCCTCCGTTCCCACTACGTTTCTTTTGAATTTTCTTTTGCAAATTTCATTTACAGAAGACATCCACAATTTTCAACTTCAACTAGAAGCTTTTGTTTTCTTCTCACGTATGACTAAATTACTCCATCCGTCCCACAAAAATAGTCCACGTTAACTATTTTTGTGGGACGGAGGTAGTATTTATTAGTTCTTCATAGTCATATTTACAACTCACAAATTTAAACTAAATTACTTTCGATGTGTACACTTAGATTCCGGGTGCAAAATGGTAATGATTAAAACTTTAAGCCAACAGCGAGCTTAATTTACTCAAAATCTTTTTAGAAAAGACTAGTTTGAGTGACCACAAGGCAAATCCTGCAACGTTCTCCTTTACTTTCTTGCTGTCCAAAATCTTCTTTTTCAGTTCTCCTTTTCTCATTTTCTGGTCCAACTCAGAGTGTTACACCATCATTCTTTCTGCTTAGCTCATCACTAACAAGTTGTTAATTTTTTTAATTTGTTAGGCGAGCTACCTCGAGAAAGTATCAATCAAGAAAGGCATTCCTTTCTTTAAAAAAAAAAAAAACATCTAGAAAGTTAACTACATAAATTTGTTAACCAAAATTGCTTCAAAGATCTTGTCATGGTGAACATTGAGGTGTGCATAATTTGTGAACCTCATGAAATTTAAAACTCGCTTCCTTGCACTTCTACAGCAACTGAAATCCCGAAAGATACACAGTAAGTTACCTTGCATCAGTTCTTATCAAGTACTTGCTGCTGCTGCCCACTGTTTCTCATGTAATCCTATTTGAGAGGCTTCATACTCTGCATATTTTTGCATCAAACAACTCAGAAGATATGAAACGGTTGGAACTCATTCAGATCGGTATATTCTATTTATGAGCAAAATTCGAGGACAAATGATTATTATTATCACTTAGTGGTTAGAATTTTCTCACCTTTGAAGCCCTAAATTCATTCACTGCCATTCTCAACGAATCGTCTGATAAGATCAGCCGAGATAGAGCTCCTGTACTCAACCTAGAGAAAGCATTTAAAAAATGATAATGAAAGACAGAGAGAGAGAGAGAGAGAGAGAAGGGGGGGGGCATTAAGAAGCATGACATATGGATAAGAAAATTTTGAAAAATTTGCTGCCTAACTTTTTGGCATAAATGTAACGTACTAAGGTTTACTGAGCACGTACCCCAACATTACCGCAGCATCTTTGATAGAGCCATTAACAGCGAAAATCAAATCAAGCAACGCTTGCAATCCCTACGGATAAAGGAGAGAATGAAGCAAAAAGAAGCTCAGTCACAATATCTAAACTTCTGAATTACGCAAGGTAAGCAAAAGGATATAACAGACCAGCACATATTTGGGATTGTTTGGTCCAATCTGAGGCCCTGAGCGAGAACCCCTTAGGGTGGAGCTTGCAGGAAGTATTTGAAGAAGCTCTTGGGGCGGTACATACGCATCAAGCTCCACAGGATTCCTGACTAGGAGTAAAGAAGAGTCCAGTGACTTCAATGTTTAAGTAGGCAAAACATCATTACATTCATTAACAGCAGCATCACATTGGTCAGGGAACAGTATGCATCACAGCTTGAGTAAGATCAGCCACATTCAAACCATCCAATGCAGATTAAAATGTGATCTTTCACATCTTAATTAAGTTATGACACTGATTCCATCTAAGGGAGATGAAAGTGTCACAGCTTAACTAGAAACACCATCCCTTGTAAGACATCAAAAGGTAATCTTTCATCAATTTCTTCAGTCCCTGAAGCTAAGTACTGTTTTGTTCGGTTAATGAAAAAAATAATTAGTAAAAAAGAAAAATTACGAGGTTTTGACAGCAAAAATCATGTTTTTACATTTACAGAATCAAACCAACAACAGTAACTTGCTTTGAAGTCCATAACCAATAGTAATTAGGAGGACGAGATAGACAAGTGGGAAACATCTGAACTGACCTTTGAGAGCTATTAAGGTGCGCAAACGAGATAAAGCTGATGCACGGTTCTTGTGCTGGGATCTGTCTTCCACAGCCTGCCATAATAAAAAAAAGTAAGCATCTTGCTGTTCGATCCATTATCTATTACGCGAGCAATAAAAAAGTATAATAAACAGTAATTAGAAAATAGAAAAGAAAATAAAGATATCCCCTTAACAAAGAAGAATATGTAAATAATAAGAAAAGGTCAAACCTGTGCAATGATGCCGGTGGGAGTATGCTTGAGACGAACAGCAGACTCTCTCTTGTTCCGGTGTTGTCCCCCTGGCCCAGATGCTTTGAAAGTGTCCATCTCGCATTGGCTCATTAATTCCTCATCCGAAATTCTCAAATAATCAGATTTGTAGTTCCCATTAGTACTGCCATTGACATTGCTTCCACAACATCTCCTGCTATCACTATTCCCCCACCAAATATCATTACTCAAACTAGTAACCCAGGATGGTTTGGCACAAAAGTTTATCTTATTATTGCCAGTAGCTGCTAGACAGTTCGGCTGCTTATACCATCTCGCAGTGCGATAGCAACAGCAGCGCCATGAAAAACGGTTGTAGGGTGGAACCACTACCAAGTCGCTACCAATTCTAATCCATGATTTCCAGAAAACAGAGCTGGCCATTCTTCTGACAATACTGCTAATTCAATAAGTTACATTTGCAGCTCGTTCTATTTAAACATTTAACACCAACAACAGTAAACCATCAAGCTGGAGTTATTACCTGACACTTGTTCTGATCTCACTATTCCATCAAATGAATAGAATACAGGCCGACGATGCGGATGATTGAGGATTTACTTCCAAATGTACTCAACTCTGTAACAGTTAACAACATCATCGTCAGGTACTTATAATTGAGGATTTCACTAGATTCTTCACTTGCAATTCCCAAACACATAATACCAACTAGATACAATGCATGTTTTACACCATCCTAATGGAAGTAAATTCGTAATGTCACAGTGATACAGCTATTAACATGCCCACTGTTAAATAGTATATGTCAACCTACTTGTCTTCAGTCCCCCAAAATACATGGGAGTTGATCTCTAAAAGTTTCACCAATCTTTGATCAAAGCTCATATACTAAAAGGTTCTTATAGTTCAAAATTTCATAACGAACAATTGCTCATAGTTTCAGCTACACAGTTCCGAATTCCATTCATCGTGTTTAGGCGTTCTCCCAATTCCAGTCCTCAATAGATGACACATCCAGCAACGATATCAACTTCAAATTCAGATTTCAAAAAGAAAAAAAAAAACATACCAACAAACATTTCGGCTTCATAGATTAAATCTCCAATTTTTACAAAGAATTATCATCCAAAATCATTCGGCCGCATCAATTCAAATAACTAACTGAATCAACTTACAGTATTTTGAACTCCGGTAGAATGTGTTGAATTGATTCCCAAAACTTGTCTTCTTCTTCTTCTTCTGGATTCCTCCGTCGGCCCTACTTCCCCAAATTACCTTTTCCCCCTACGTCGACGTCACCAGTGTCTACGTTATCGGATGACGGACGATGGACGACTTCCCCGCTTTTTTACTGGTAAATTGCATTTTGGGTTCCCAATTTTTATGAAAGTCGTGAAATGGATTTTATAATTTAACATAAATAACAAATTTAGTGTAAAACCTTTCAAAACTTGCAAATCTAGCTCACAAGTCTCAAAAACTTATATTAACACACGAGTTGTATAAAATACTACTATTAGTCTGAGTTTTGAAATATGTAATATTATACATTTATACTCAATGCAGACTACTTTTATGGGACATACAGAGTTTTATGTAAAGCCATAGGTTTTTCATTTTACCGCCAATTTTTCATTTGTTTCAATAATTTCTTCATTAATGAAAATTATGATTCAATAACTTAGCCATTCAGTCAAGGTCTTACAACACAACCATTTTTTTTTTTTTTTGATATTTCGAAATGAACACATTGTAGACTAGAAAGATGTCAAAACTTTTCAAAATTATGTGGCTCTAACAAAATGAACTTCGTTGGCTTAATCCAAACCAACACATTACAATATAGTTTAATCGTAGAATTTCATTCTCATAAGTCAATCCACTTATGTTAATTAATAGAAGGGAAAGGTTTTCCATCCTCTTGTCACTTTATTGTTTATGTTTATGTATTGGTACTTTGTAAAAACACTATAAAGTGATCTTTCTCCAAAGATAGTTACATTCCTACCAACATCAATTTTGTCGTTTTTGTCAACTTACTAGTTACAACTTTTCCATGCCTTGGCTCTTTCAACAAGTCCAAGTTTAGGCATTTTTTAAAGCCATCACATATGTTTTGATGAAGCTTTATGGACTAATAATCACCAATATTTTTTTGAAAAATTGGGCAACAAGAGTTTTTGAAAGAAAAAGAATGGTCATTATTTACATATCTTATAGTAGAAACATTCAAGCTATGGTACCAATCAATTAATCAGTCTCTTGTGTATGAACCAAGGTGAATAATTTTATGGCACTCTTTTAATGTCTCTAAAATTATAGTTCTAGACTTATAGTTTAAATTTTGTTCAAAAACTATAGTTAATATCCTTTTTTTTTTTTTTGGTTTTCACTAATTCAATAAAAAATGTGGGGTTCATGATAAAATAGAACCACACACAAAAGTTTTAGCAAATGGTTTTCATTTATACATTATACTCCCTCCGTCCCAAAATTATTGTCCAGTTTGAGTTTTCATTTTTAGTTCATGTCCAGTTTGAGTTTTCATTTTTAGTTCAAATTGTACTAAAAGTGAAATCTCAAACTGGACAATAATTTTGGGACAGGAGGAGTACTTAAAAGTAACTATGAATTGACAATAATTTAAACTCAAATATTAACATTTCTTTTTTATATTAAACTAAGATCTTTTATTGTTAGTATTTTTTTTAGTACTCCAACCAAATCCAAAAAAATAACTAGTATTTTAATACTATCTTTTTCCGATTGATTAAACTGAGTTGACCACTTCACCCTTGATCCCGGTATTGGATATCCGGCCGGTCCGACCCTAAACCCTTACAACGTTGGTACTATTAACTAAGCAACACGAAAATGACTCTCTCAAATCGAAAAGAAAAAAAAAAAAAAAGGGTATAAATGTGTTCCAATGAAGGCCTGAACTGAAAGCCACCCGCGTGTCCAGAGTATCAGACAAAAAACGATTTTGTTTTAATATTTAGAGACACCTTTTCAATAAATTCTTCCCCGTCCCCAGAGAGAAGAAGAAGTGTGATACTCTATGCAGATCTGCTGCAATTGGGAAAATTTTGAATGATTCCATCAATCAATAGAGATTCCCATTTTTTTTTTCTTTGTTGATTCAATACCAAAATATATATAGAGATATATAACCTATATACGATATCTAACCATAACGTACCCTTTTGTACTCACTCTCTCTAGTAAGCCTCTCTCATTACAACTTTTACAGCAACCCCTTTTTGTTTTTATTTGGAAAGGGGGGGTACCAGTTTTAGTGTACATATATATACAGGTGTGCTCCACATTTCCTGAGGGGATAGATATAGAGGGTTGTGTTTGGTTTGTGAAGATAGAGGAGAAAAAATGTTCCAATTTTTACTCGGGAGTTGCTATCCAAGGGCTCTGTTTGGAGTTTATGTCGGACTGGTTTGTGTTGATGGCTTTCTTGCTGTTATTTCCTTTCTTCAGGTATTGTTTTGTTTCCTTTGCTTCCGGAGGTTTTTTCTGTTTGGGGCATGTTTCTGTGAATGTACATTTTTTTTTTGTGTTTTCCTTTGTGGGTTTAATGATGTCAAATGGTTATGGATTGTGGGCTTTTGCTGCAATCAATGGATTTTATGTTCAGGGTCTGTATCTAATTGTGATTTAAGTTTAAGGGATGCTGAAATATGCTGTGTTTCTATGTAATTGGTTTTCATAGATGGCAATGTGATGCATTTTTTTAAACTTTCCTTGTCTTTCCGTAGCAATGTGGTCTTGGTTTCTGATTCTATATACACAAGCTCCTTGACGATTCAGTTTCTTGTTATTGCTGAATCTTTTTAGTTGTTTTTGGTTATTGATTTTGAATTCTTTAGTTGCTCTGCTTTTTCAGTATTATGCATCTTTCGGTGCTGTTAATAGCATCAATTTATATGCTGCAAGAATGTGTGAGGCGTTGCATGGATGTAATGAATGGTTTTTTGGAACACCCGAGCAGATGAAACTAAGTTTGCATTACTTAAGCATTAAATGACATCTTTCCGCTGGCATTTTCCAGAAACTGTTGGCGTTGCTTGTTGAGGGAGTTGTTTATCCATCAATCGTATATTCCTGTAGTTTCTTTTGGTCTCAGATCATTTGCATTTTAGTTGTTATTAACTCCCTGTTATGTTCCGGGATATGAGAGTCATGAGAAGCCTTAGATGATAACCCCTTTTAGTGTTGATGCAGTTATTTTTGCTTGAGGTGTTGAGAGGCTCTGTGATGTTCACTAGTCCTTTAAAAAAAAACACATATTTACATAGCTGGCAGCCTACATCGAGAATTGGTGTAACAGCTGGACTCGGTGGCTTTCATGAGTTTAGGTGTGTAGGTGCTGCACAAACCACGTGATCTGGCATGCGTTTGTCGCATTATAAACTTTAAGCATTCAAAATGTGGTTGAAGACACGTGAGTGTTGCGGTACATGTTGTCTGCATGCCCGATCTTTATTGATAGTAGGACCGTTACATGTGAGGTCAAGTTATGTTTTTATAGAAACATGTGAGAAACATCAACGTATTTCTTTGAATCAATCACATGACGGAATCATTGGGACTTACAGTCACGAGACATTGAAAGTCTGAAACTTTAATGTTTAAAGTTTAACGAAACGTTAAACATCAAAAATACAATCTTTTTGGGTATGGTACAAGCTTTCTTTTGCTTCAATTGTACTAACAAGTTAAGTTAAATTTGGCATTTAGTTGTAATTCGGTATTCTCTGTCTCAGAATACCTCCACTTACAAGGAAGAGCTTCCCATGGGTTTTGTGTTGATTATTACCATAAGCAGCATTTTTTGAAATAAAAAGAAAACGTCTTTTTTCCAACTCGCAACTGATGCCAATATGTTCCATTGTAGTACTGATTGTTGATTTGATCTTCATTTGATCTTGATTTATGGATCTCCACCTATATGCTGCCTTAAGCAGTCTCAAGTTAACTTGGATGTTCTTTGAATTATCTTAGGTTGTAAAGGGTTATGGCAACACTTTCTTGGAGGATTTTCACCTACTAATGGGTTAATAACTAGGTTTAATAGGCACATAAAAAAAAGTTATAATGAAACGAAAGCATTTATTGTTGGTCTGATGGTTCCTGGGGATACAAATTACCAACATCCTGGATGCATGAATAAGAATGGGAAGAACATCTTCTTAACGTTTGGGGAAAGTGTCGTAGTGATTTAGGGTCCACTGTAGAGTGAGTCATAAATAATTCTTTCAACCATCTATTGTTATACTGGGGCTATGATGTTAATGTATATGTTGATGTCCAATATGACGACTTCCTACACTCAAAATTTTCCGTGAGAAAGCGTAAATCACATATCTATAATCTAACACTATTAACAGATGAATTAGAAATTTATACTTTAAAATTATGATTGTTCTTATTGAGGAAGTAGTAATCAAAGGAATCCACTTTTCAATGCCAGGCTGATGGCACATTTGTTTCAAAGTAATTTATTAGCTCTCCTTCATGGCCATTTTCTTTGTAAAGTTTTTTTTTTTTTTTTTGGGGGGGGGGTTTTGTTATATTATACACTTGTTCTTTTCATGAAATTATTTTCCGACTGTTTTAGTAGGTCAATAACTATTAACTACTATTTGGCTTCCTTTTTTTTTTTTTTTTCCTTTTCTATATCATGGCGCCATTCTAAATGTGTGGGAGGTGGTCGAGTCACTAGAAATATACTATATTAGAAAAAAACAACTCTACAGAAGCAAAGTCTCTTGAGAACTTGTTAAAAGGCAGATTGACTTCCTCTTTTTGAGACCCAGAATAACAAAACGTGTGGTTTTTTACACTGATCAACTGTACATTAACCCATTTTAAAGTTTCTCTGGCATCGGAACTTTTAGAAAGATAATGCACACTACTTTGTATGGGGATCATTCTATGAAACTATTACCAATGAGCTGGCGATTCCACCCCACCAATTCTATCGAATCTTTCTGTTTCCTTATAATCACTCTGTTTGCACATAAATAAATAGATAAAATCACATTGCCTACTTTCTGTAACTGAGGAAGACTTCCTTCATCTGTTAGATTGAACACACTGATGAATTATTATTCTCACAATATTTTGAAGGTGAATTGAAAGTGGGACGGTTTTGAACCTTTGGGCGATATAAAGCATCATTTGTGAGAAGTATTTCCCGATGCTGGAAGATTTAGCTATAATGAGAATGTATAGCCGCTATAAAACTAGGAAAAATATCTATAATCCTTACACGTCTTTTGCGGGCTTAGATGCAATTTTAATGACGTGAAGTATATATCTTGGTTTTTATCAACGTTAGTTTCACAGACTTGCTATTGTCTGTACTTGTTCATTTAACTGCTGTTTCGCTTTTTGTGTACCAGTTATTGCGGATTCATTCAAGAAATTTACAAATTGGCTGGACCCGACAGAAAGTAAGCAATTATTACTGCCTTGACTCATTTAATTGATATCTGAGCTGAATGTGGATAAGATTTCCACTTCCCGGATCTCATATTACTTAGTAGGCAGCTCGGGCAACTGGACATAGAGACATTTGATTCTTAATTTTTCTATTCGTCTACACTGGGAACAAATGCATTTGTCCCTGAGTTAGTCTGACAGCCTCAACTGGCTTATACTTGTCTAATGTTCGCCTCTGAGAAAATGAGTATTGCTTCTTTTACAGCACAAAAGAGCACCTTACAACAGCCTTTGGTTTGCTTCAATAAGATTATTTAACTTGTCAGCTTCGACAAATATAGATTTTCCTCTCATCTTTGATGTCATTTTATGTCGGGTGTTTGTAACAAAAGCTGGATTTTTGTGCAGGTTTTTCATCTAATGATTGGGTCGTCTAATTTAGGTGAGAAACAATGCTTTTGATTTGATTACTAGTCCCTTGTCCTTTATTTTATCCTGACTTGTTCGTAGTTCCAACGAGCAAAAGCTTCAACTGATTTCGATAATCCTTGAAGCTGGATATGTTTCATTTTTCATAATCAATGTTTGTGAAATGTGTGTAGTTGTTTGATACCAGTTAGTTGGATAGCTTAAATGTAAACATCAAAGTATGAAACGAATCACTATCTTTCCTACTCTCTTGAGCGATGTATTTTCTTCCTAGCTGTTAGTTCACAAAATTTCCGACTCTCTTGGTATACCATTAAAAACAACACCTTGGAACTCCTCCATAAGCTTAAATTGTTAGCTTTTGATCATAATTAAGTTTTCATTGTTCACCATATAGTATAAAATAAAACTAGAGTGACTTTATTACCGAAATTTTATGCCGAGTGATATTTTTGAGAGCAAGTGTTAATTTCTTTTGCTTTTCTTCACCACTCATTATAAAAGGGTGGTGTAACCGTCATATCATGGCTGAAAATTTGGGTGGGAAATGAAATTGTTAACAACATATGGTGAAAAGTTGAAAGTAAGCAGTGTTCAGATGTTTATTAAGAAGATGGACGGGATATGGTGGAATTGGTGTTGTAGAAGATAATTTTTAAGAATTATCAGTCTATTGAGTCGTTATTAATCATTTTGGGGTTATTCATCTCTTTCTAACCGAGCAGACTGTTTTTTGTAAAAAAGTTAATATGATCCGTTGAGAACTTCTGGTTTGATTACCAAGCTCTTTTTTTTTTTTTTGGCTAAAATTATTGACTTGTCTGATTACTTATGGTTTACCCACTGACAGGTTTTGTCCTGTACTTTATCTTGAGCCTTGTTGCTGCCTGCAAGGACTGGGCATCCTGGTCACATATATGTGGCTTCATAATCATGGGTATGCGAATGTCTTTTTCCCTTTTGCAAGTATAAATTGATCTATGAGAAGGGGATGATGTGCAGTAAAACTAATAACTTGTACTACAGCTTTCCCGCAGATCATATTCTTTGCCGCATTTCTGCTACTTCTCTCATTCTGGTAAGTTTTTCTATTCTGTTATTAGAGTTTTATGAAATTTTGAATGAAGTCACTGCCAAGTGACAATTTCTAAGCACCTCATCCCATGAAGCTCAAACTTTGAAAGTTGGGTGAGATATGAACTGTTGATGAAATCCAACATGCTGCACTTGTTTAAATTGCATGCAAATTACATTACTAGATGTTTACTGTTTTTTCTGATCACAAATTTCTCTTTTTATTTTATAATCAACATTGCTGTTTATTGTTGCCAACTGAATTGGTGATGCCAATTAATGGATTATATTGGATCACTGAGAAAAAGATGCATGATGTCCATGGATGCCATTTTGCCTTTCGAACTTGGCGTTCTAATTGCATCTCTGGCTGATGTGACTTAAATACTATTTAAATGTGAGAATGCTGCCTTTAAATATATCTTCAGATATGTTGGTGACAAAACGTATTTGAATAGTATGTTTTACTTTCTATCCTTTAATGGTCGATATGAAAATTCTTGTCTGGTATTTTTCTAACTTTTTGTTTTTGGTGCGGTAGCTTGGTCTAGTGTCTTTATGCATCTTAGCTATGTTTGGCATCAAAGACTGAAGAGTGTTGGCGACTTTTGAATAGAAAGTGTCACGCATTTAGGCATTCAGGGCTATGAAATGTTCTTCAATATTATGTATGTTCCATTTCTAATTGACAGACACCAAAATGTTGTCTCGGTCTTTGGCTTTTAGAAATCATATGCTCTTGTTCTTCGTGTTCAAGTTATGTGAAATTTTGGCGTGTATGGCTGTGGGAGTTTTTGTGATCTGCATGGTTTCGGGCCAATGATCTCCGCTATCCATTTTCAACCTTTACTGTGTAACAGCAGAGATTGACACCTCTGGAAACAATGAGGACTGTGGTTGACATAACTTTTTCCATGGTTTTTGGCGCATTTTACTAGGGTTGATCTTTGCCATCAGACTAACGATGATGAAGATGATGATGATGGATATTATTCCCGCGAAGCTCTTTTGGAAAAGACAAATAAAGAAAATGCAGTTGTTCATCATAGTAGAAAATGCTGTTCGCTTAGGGCACTTCAAGTTGGTAGCCGCCAAAAAATTGTGATTCTGGTATACTAACCATAATAACATGGCTAGATTTCATCCATGTTTAACGTTCTTCAAGCTTAATCATTTTCATTCCATCTTGTGATTCACAATTTTCTGTTGATTAAATTTGATCATTCACCAGGTGATCCTGTTAATTTTGGTCCTAATGGTTACGTCTTCTATGCTGATGTGGATTGGAAAGGGAGACAATCCTATCGATTCATCCTTGGTGGCCCGGGTACTGATGCTCATATGCTTTATATTCATTTTATTTCCTGGAATCTATATTGATGTTGCGCGTATGTACTGAAAGTTTGCATTTAAGGACAATACTGTTGATTTTATTGAATGAGGAAGTTTAAAAAATTCTTTTTTTTTTTTGTGAGTATTTTGTAATGATCCATAGTTGGATTCAACCTTTGCGGCAATGAAAAATCTGAATAATATTCCGCATCGGTTTTTAAAGTCTCATACATTTACTAGGCAACTGAATTTCTGGGATAACTAGACTTGCAACTTTGCAGTTCATTAACTGTACAACCATATGAATAAGATCCTAGTCTTTGCGACCTCCTCCCCAATCCTCCTTAAAACAAACAAGAATTTTTAATGGGATGCTGTTCAACGGACTGATCATACTCAGCATTAATAATATTGGCATGGTTACTATATTCTATAGGCTGCATGTTTCCTGGATTTATTAGAGTCTGCTTTCAATATGATATTTATCATTGCTCATGGAACTTGATTCAGTGTAGCTCTTGGAACATATGTGCTTGACAATTTGGAAAAGATGTTTGAACAAATGATACGGTGGAATATTTGTGAAAAGTTCCGACAGAAATGCTCTTTGGAGAATACTAGGAAGGGAAAGTTAACAGTAACAACAGGCTGAGTGCTTAGATTGCATCCGTGTTATACTTAGGGATGGATTAATCTCTGATTGAAACTGATTCTCTTCTATCAACACTTATGAAGAAAAATTATGTTGAATCGTTTAGTTGCAATATTTTACTCAGTAGTTTAAATGGTGCTAAATTTGCTGTCCTATGCCTTCAAAGAAGAAGTTGACTCTTGATATGCCATTACTTTCCTTAAGCTCTCTCATTCCCCACCAAACCCTCAACACCCCCCCCAAGTATTTAACAGGAAACTTTTGTAATGCAGGTATATGTAGATCTCTTTTCTGCAATAGTTCTTTCCCTTGGGGGAGCATTAGCTGGTTATGGTGAGACCTATGCTCCAGAATAATCTCTTTAATTAATAATTTCTGAGCAATTTGTTGTCATCTGATGTTGCCGGCATTCTATGTTCTTTTTCTGAGTTAAGTGGATGTGTTTCAGCGAAGTTATTTGTATGAATTTCTAAAGGAATTCATTCTACCAGTGTACATTTTTTAATTTCAGCTTATGGATGAAAATGAAATCTGCATTAGGTGAAAACTGACAATGAAATCAACTGCATTGCATTAGGGAAACTGCTCTTCTTAGATGTAAGCAGGTGATAAGTATTCTGATTAAAATTTAAGATGACATCCTTGTTCGACATATTTCTAAAGGTTGCGAGATTCTACAATGAGCTGCCTCCAGAATACTGGTCTCATTCATCCGAGTAACTGTTTGCTCATTCATTTGAGAAACTGTTTGCTGCATATGCAGCAGGGTATGCTTAATATGCTTTCAAACTGATCTCACGAATACCTTACTTCCAAGTATCTCCATTCGCTTCATCTTCATCTAGATGTATACTTGGCCTTTTAGGTCTCTTCTGTAACAAGTATTACGTTCCTCTTTGTCCTTAGGCTTTAGTTTGTACTTCTCATGGGTGCAGTATTTTTCCTAGAAATCCAGTACTCATCTGCCTCTTTCAATTATACAATCCCAGTGTATCATACGTCTGAAGTGTGCCTTTTTGCATTAAAAGTCCATAATCTTTCAGACAATATGTCACTTGGACCTTCATTGGTAATTCTCAGTTGTATGTTTAGCTTGTTTGACGACTTAGAAAAATAGCTCTCCTAAAAACGTGTTTATCAAACAATGCTGCTATAATTCATTTTGTTTCAGAGAGCCTCAGGATATAGTTTGTGCTGGATGGACATTCTGTGATGGTTCAAGTGATTTTTATTCTCCAATGAGAAGACAGCTTGATGAAACAATAGCGACGTGTTATTGATTTAAGGGCACGTGTGCTCATGGCCTTGGTTTTACTGAACTTTATATATTTGCATGTCTTACTAGAAATTTACCATAATTCTTATTTTTGAATGCTTCCCTCACCGAATTTCTGTACTCTTTTTGGTACTGACCAAGTAAATCTCATGTGCAGGGCTTGTATTATACCTGAAGATGAGCAAAGTAAGATCTGACAGGGTCTCTTCTGAAAAAAAGAAGGTAAATGCTTGATCATATTCAACTCAATTTTTGATTGTAAACCTGATAGGTAGCTTTCCCTGCCAGCGATGGTGCTGGTCCTATTGCCATAAATATCATTTATATTCTGTTAGGATGAAATTAAAGGTTGCTAGTAACTGAAACACAGTCTCTGTAAGCTGCATCATAGTCCTCAAACATTTTTTACAAAGGCTTCTTTCTCACCTTTCTATCTGGTCTTTGCTTTGGTACTTTCGTCAGCTGCTTCTTGATCGATGCTGACTATGTTGATTTCGTGCTGGTTGCAGGTTGCTGGATTGGCCATAGTTTCAGTCCTTTGTTTTTCTTCAAATGCTGTTGTTGCTGTTTTCACAAATATACCTGTAGGTTCTATGGTTATTACTTAAAGCTATCTCATGACTGTCTGTTGGTTACTTTGTTTTTAGCTAACTATCATTTGGTCATTGCAGCTTCTCTATGACTGGAATCAGCAGACTCTTGGTGGTGTTTATACCTCTCTTCTTCTACTTTTGTATTACTTTTTAGGTACTTGTAACTTCTTTTACTTCTGGCTTCTAACCTTTTTCTTTTTTCATACATGGAAAATACTGCTCTCCTTCTTCTTCTTCTTCTTTTTGTTTATTTATTAAGTAATATTCTTGTGTATAAGCATTCGGAAATAAATAACTTCCCTTATGGAAAACAAGGTCTATGAAGATTTGGTGACAGTAAATAACCTTTTCCACATAACGTATGGTCTGAAGATTGCTATAAAATAATTGAAAAATAGTTACCAAATCTTTGGAGGTCCCAAAGTTTTAAGATGTACACCATAGTGTACTTTGAGGGAAAAGAAGAGTAATCAAGAACATGCACCTGTGAAGGCTACCTTGGGTGTTTCTAAATGTCTCACGGGTGTGTTAGTATGCATGTTGTGGGAATAATGCTCATCCTGCTCATACAGGAAATGATTTAAAATGTGAATAATCACTCTTTAGATCCATGTTCCAGATTTTTCCAGTGTGAAAATACCAGTATTTATATTCAGTTGAAGTCACTCTAGTATTATTAGTGTGGTAGAAGTGACGGAATTAGAGAAATGGCTGGTATTGGGAAGTGGATTTCAATGGTTAAGTTGAATGTTGAAACAGTTGAGATAATTCATAATCTAATATATTCTTTTTTCTTTTTAATTGGCTTGAAGTCTTCTGAACATATCATTTGCTGAATTTAGTGATGGTAAGGCTTGCACAAGTAAATGAGGCTGCAAAGAATCATTGAATTATTAATCATTTCTATGAACGGCTATAATGGTTGAGCCATTTGGTCTTGGACCTGAACTTGACTATGCTCATTAGAAGTAACACTGTTCTTTCTCTTTAAACTGTTGGTTATCATTCTCAATTAAGAGGAATATCCGTTATTTTTCTACCTAGGGGACAGTCCTCAAATTGTTTTTTGAATGTCAGTTGGCAGAGCTGTGTTTTTACTACTAACACAAGTTTGTCAAGCCTGAAATCGAAGTTTCCAAAACTATGTTGTGCCCATGAGCTTGTAGTTTTTTTTTGGTTTCATTCATAGCTATTAGTTGTTCTCAAGCTTCTGGAAAGACGTGAGATTGATTTTGTTTAATTGTCCATCATGTTTTTATCTTTTAATTTTTTTGTTGTTGCACGAATTCTCATGGTAACAAATTAGTTGGATTTATAGTTTCAGTACTATGCAAATTGATAAGTTAACAATGACAGGTACGTCTGTACCTGCTGCCTCTCTACTTTGGGTGATGAGAGAACTACCACCACCACTTGTAACGAATAGAGATGAAGAATCGAGAATGATCGCTTTCATCAATGATGGCTCAGTGACTGCACATCCACAGCGCTGGGCTGCTGCTGCATGTTTACAGAATCAGGTTAATCTTCTTACCTCTGTTTTCTGTTACCGTCTTTAACTGTGCTAATAAAATTGTTCGTGTTCGCTGTACCAAAAAATAAACTAAAAATTGTACATGTTCGGCTATATTTGCTTGGATTAATGTACTTCCATTTCTCTGTAGGAATATGGGATCTTTATATGCATATAGTCTAAGCTACCCACCCGTCTGTATTTTTCACTCAAGACATGAAATGCTGAAGTTTATGATTTTTTATGATTTGACCTTCATATGGATAGTGGAAAGAAGGCTCTAGAATGAGAGTCGGAAACCTGTTTGCTTGCTGATGCAATGCAATCCATTTTTTACAATTTGACTCATTGAATTACTAGTAGTTTTGGATATGAGTGTTCACAATTTCTCTATGGCACCAGCTTGCTAAGTCAGTGAAGCTGTAATGATTTTGGTAAACCAAGAGACATCCCAGTCCATAAACATATGTTAATGAGGACCTTCAATGGACTCATAATATTAAGAGACGGACAAAGCATGTGTTTTGAAGCATTTTGTGACTACCTTAACTCTGATGGAAAGATTTTAATGAACATTGAACCTGCTGCTATTGCTACATGCAATATGGTTGACAAAATTGCCCTTCTGTAATATGATCAACCTCTGGAATTCATTCTATTTATCTTTCTTTTTCTTCATAAAATCGCATTTGACGGAAGTCAATATTGGGAAATTTTAGATAGTTTATGTTTCTCTTGACTCAGGGACTTAGCAAGAAGTTCAAGATATTGACTGTTATCACTGAAATTACGAGTTGTTTTTATCACACCTTTTAAAAAATAACATATTCCTTATATTTGTGTGCACTCCTATTCTGATATTATCCTCTGAAGTCTAAAACAACAGCTTTCTCTGCATGTTTATAACATTGACTATCTTTTGTCTTTAAGAATGAAGGAATGCAATGGCTATTCTGATCTGGCAGACTGGCTTATTTTCATCATGGGAGTTTTAGTTATCCCTTTTCAAGTAGATCTAGCTAACTTGTGGGTGGCATCTTGCGAAGAGTGGTATAAATGGCTGATGATCTTCTGTTTGTAAATTTTATGTTCACTGCAGGTATCAAGAGCAAGCCCTATATGATGGTATGAAGTGTAGAATCTTTGCTTCAGAGATTTACCAGTTTCAAGTCTAGACAGGATGAAAAGGTGACCTTAATGACATCCTGTCCAAGGCACTCGGATAACAGTCGTAAGTCTGCCGATGCCGAAGCCCCGATAACTTAGGCATGTATATATAGCAACAGGTCACAGAAGTCAATCATTAGAGAGATATGAGTGTACTGTTAATATATGTGCAAGGAATCTGAACCAGATCGCTTCATGTACAAATGTTCTTGATTATTCTATGGTGATCTTTAAAAGTTTTAGATCTTCAGAAGGGTTTATTATCACCTTGAGCTACTCCTGCATGCATTTTTAGTTGTGTCAGATATTTCGTTAAGTACCGTGCTCTTCCAGTCTCTGAGGTTAAGATATTAGTTTGGATTTGTGTCTCGTCATAATTACAGCAAAGATTAGGCTCAAAGGTGAAACTCAATAGAGCTTATTTGCCCCTTAACTTGGGTCAAAACTAATATGGTAAATGCACAATTGGGTCCTGAATTGAAAGGCATTCAGGATCTTTTGAAATCAGACTGGGATGTGCAATTTGTGCGCACTTTCAGAGAAATCAGTCTTTGTGCCCAAATGTTGGCTGAGGAAACTCTTTTAGAAAAAGCCCTGGCTGTTACATAACCATTGCAGAGCGGGACTCCTTGGGTTATTAACAGTTATGTTAACTAAAAAAAGTTTATGTTAGGTGCAAAAATGAAATTCAAATCCGGACTAGAAAAGTTTCTCTTAGGGGTCACTCATTGTAGTATCCTTCTCACTGAAATATGGGGCCTTAGTTGTGGAGTTCGGATCAAATATGATGCATTAAAACTGGAAACTGGCATAATCATATCCAGATTCTAACTTCACTTAATTGTAACAAAAATGAAAAGTTTCCAGACCACATTTCCTGTATGCTTGCATGGATCTACAGAATATCAAGGGAATTCTGGTCTCTCCATCTTCAAAAGAGGAACAAGGACATTGAAGAGTTGAGCCACTTGATATACTCAATGCCTGTTCACAAAAGCACAAAACACAAAATAGATAGACAGCCCTAGTTGGTATTTTTATGTCCTGTTCACAAAGTGCCTCAGAAATGTACGTCCCACTCTATGCATGCTTGTGCTGAATCACTTGATCCTGCAGCATGGTCTGAACAAGAAAAGCTCCAAATGTGTACCTTCCCAAGATTCAATTAATGCACTCGTTTACCTATTAATCCAAAATCTTCGCGGGGCCAAACCTACAAAACCAAAGACAAAAACATGTTACAAACTTAGAAACTGCAAATGTTCCCAGAAAATTGATCTACATACTTTTTCTGACATAAAACATAGGATGACTTCTATAAAACTGTGGATAACATAGTGTTTTGGTCTGAAGCTCTAGAAGTTAACTTATGTACCAGGAAAGCACAAATTCAAGTATACCTCCCACAATTGGTTATCATGTACTTAATTCGACGGATGCCAAAAACAGAACACATAAGATAGCGTGTGCAATATTCAACTTTTTCATTCACTCCAACTTGTAAAGATGATGATGAAAAAAATAAGGATTCTCCGACTTTAAATATTTGATATCTCTTTTGCTAAAGTCAAGGTTCCTTTAAAAGGAAAATTGATCTTCACTACTGCTATGAATAATGTCTGTGGATCACGGCAAAGAAATGAACATTTTTCCATGTAAGTTTTCAGCCAAAAACAGACCATAAAGTGAAGTTGGACAGCAGTAAGAGATAACTTAGGCCAAAGTTTGATACGCCAGGTGGAGATAAGTTTAAGTCAACTAAGATGGAACTTATCAGAAACCATTCATTCTGCACGAACTCAAGGTACAAAGTGAATTGTAACGTTCAATTATCCATCTATTACTCAAAGCCTTGAGCTTCTCTTATAAGATGAAGAAGGCCGAAGTTTATGAACCCTCAAATGTGTTTTGTCCAATATGCATTTACCATTATCATGTTTAGTAAGGACCAAAACTTGGTTTCGATGCTAAGATAATTGAATTTGTCTCACTTACATCCAATGTTTTACAGCTAAATTTTCCTCATTGTCTGTTAAAAATTGACAGAACAGAACCTTTGAAGATATACCAATAAGATTGGGTGAGGGTATCAATAATATCTTAAGGATTGGAGATTAATTACAAAGCTGCCTAAGAGTACACAAATTAAGGCGAAAACCAAAGAAACACAATTCCAATAGTTCACAATTTGTAGGAAAAAAAATCTGTTTCTCCATTCAGTTCAATTGACATCAAAAGGAGATTAGAGCCTCTGGAATCTGCAATAACTTCCTTGAAAGCAGGATATAGGAGAACTAATCAAACAAGAACATTATTATCCCTATTGTCAATCGACAATTTGAGAATTTGAACCTTACTGATACTAATCTTTTGGCCCCAATTAATAGCCATCACATACATCCTCAACTATAACCTAAACGATACTAATCTTTTGGTCCCCATTAATAGCTTCAGAAAGCAATTTACACCAAAGAAAAATTTCACAGAACAGTATCATCCATTTTTCAAGTTAAGAAGACAACACTGAAATCAACTTACCACCCAGAAAACTCTCCCCTCTAAGAGTCCATAAGGAACAGCTCCAAAGTGCCTTGAGTCTCTAGAATTATGTTTGTTATCTCCTTCTACCCAAATGTGCCCCTTTGGTACCTACAAAAACAGAGACATTCAGTATGGTAATCAGAGGCATAAGCAGCCAATAATCAAGTTGATATAGGCACACAGCCAATATTAACAACCAATGCAGCAAAGAGAGATTTGATTTTTACAATAACAGTAGCTTCTTCATTATCACTCGTCCTGGAGACTCGATGTCTTACAGCATCACCTTCAACACCAACAATTCTCTTGACCACAACCTTTCTGGGATCTTCAGGGCTCCTAATCATGACTACATCATCTTTGCCCACTTTCTCAAATCTTGTCGACAACCTCTCAGCCAGGACTAAACTTCCTGTAAGATTCAATGTCGGCAGCATGCTAGGCCCCTGAGCCTGTAAAACACAACCACGAGTCAGATTTATTTTTTCGAGTTTCCCAAAGATTTCAACTTTTCATTCCTCTGTAATCCGGAGATCATATTGCACAATGAAAACTTACCAAAGCAAATGTGCATAGGTGTTGATTGGTGACATGGAGGCAACAGAAGAACTTGGTCAGCAACAAGGTTCCAGAAAATGCTTCTTTAAGTATTGGCAATGGGGGCAAAAACCTCAAATTTGTAAGACCCATCTCTATTTCATGAGTGCTTTATTATCAGCTACTTGTAATCAAGGGGTTTAAGGGCAGAATCAAGAAGGTTACGAGGTTTTTGTACTTCTGTTAAATAGACTTTTTTCATTACAAAAAAAAAAAAAAACAGAACTCTTTTTCACTGTTGTTAAAAAGTAAATAAATAGCGTTACTTGTACTCTGAACCGCTTTTGCCTCATCCACTTCTCATATAAAGCTTTTCTACCATTTTCCACATTTCCACACAAGGAGAAAAATGGCTCTTTTATCCACTCCATTCCTCGTCAACAATCTTTCTCATCCGGCAAAATCTTTCACCAACAACAGTAAGGTAACAATTGAATTCAACCCACATTAGGTTCTCTGTTTCAATCCCTTTTTCTCTGTGGAGATTTTTGCCCCTTTTAATGGTATTGCTAAATTGTGAACAATTCAGGCGGGTAAAGTCGGGTGCAATTCGCTGAGAATTACCTGCAGGAAGAAAGACATTCACCCGGAATACTATGAGGATGCAAAAGTTTATTGCAATGGTGAACTGGTGATGACTACTGGTGGGACCAAGAAAGAGTATGTGGTTGATGTCTGGTCAGGGAATCACCCTTTCTACCTGGGCAGCCGCTCACAACTCCTTGTTGATGCTGATCAAGTTGAGAAATTCCGTAAAAGGTTTGGTGAGCTTTCACAGATTATGGAGGTCCCTGTTCTTAAGGGAGAGATTGTTCTTCCTCCTAAGAAAAAGGCACCTAAAAAGAAGAAGTAATCCTTTAGTCCTGTTTAGCGAGAATTGATTTTTCTATTTCCTACATTTTTATTATTTTTTTGAATTGTTGGAATGTAATTGTCCGGAATGCCTTGAGAATGAAATAGAATCGGTTTTACTGCTAAGCGTTTCGGTAGTTTACAGATGGAGAATGTTATGAAAATTTATATCTTTTGCATGCATAAAAAGCACAAGCTTGATATAGCTTAATTTTTTGGGGGGTAAAATCAAGCCTGAGTAGAACAGAGAAGTCATTTGCTGGACTTCTTTAGGTGGAGATAGGGCATGTTCCTAAAGAAATGGTGACTTGGTGAAATGACATTGTCGTTACTACTTCTGTTATCCTTATTTTTGTATTCTTTTGTTTTCGCCCCTTTTTATTTTAGTATGTTATGAGTTAGTTTTGGTCATTTAATAATTGGTAGAAGAGCTGATAAACTTTAGCTGATTCATACGGCTTTTTGTTGTTAAGGTATAGGAGATATCATCATAATATATGAGGTCATTGTATATAATTCTTTTAGGGTCTCTAGTGGTTTGCTTGTTTGCATTGTTGTGAAATATTTTAGAGGGCAGTTGTAAACAAGAGTTGTTTCAATTGCGACAATGAGCCAAATGAGATAAGCTTTTACATGAGTTATGCTATGTTATCATTGTGTTAATTACATCCCTTCTTTATCGCTTTTGAAATGAAGTCCAGGGAGACTTCTTGGTGTGATAAGGTTCTTGCCCAACTTGGCATTAGTTGGGGAAGCTCTCTGATCTCTGTTAGAAGTTTTGTGCATCATCTTTTTCTGATTCTGCTAGAGAGGTGTTTTTTTTGTCTCCATATAGATGATCTTAATATAGACTAAAAGGTTTGCCATTTCAAGTGATTTTGTAATTTTGATCGGTTACCTAATTGTGGACAAATTTTGGTGCCCTAGAGATTATTCACGCAGTTCACACATGATGTAGTCATAAATTGAGTGAGTTGCAGTTAATGGTTCTACACCTTGCCTGTGAAATATAGGTTCCTCAGGAATGAAAGTGTTCTAAACATCACTGAGTGCTTGACTGGCTTATACACTAACATTGTGCTGCATCATTTTCGCTTGTTTGTGACTCGAGTTTTAATGATCCAAGATAGTTGTCATCCGAGTCGAATCTTTCCTAGCCACAAGGTGTCTCTTGGGAACGATAGCTGTAAGACTTCAGACATTGTTTGATAGTATTTTGTAGAATTTAAACTTTGTCCGTATTGGGAGCAAAGTATGGTTTTTACCCAAGGACCACTATGTGATTGTGTATATATGTAGTTTTTTATTCTGATTTGTTTTTAGGCAACAAGATACTTGTTGAAATCCGTGTTCAAGAAGCCAGGCTAGACTTCTGAGACGTGAGAGCTTATGGCATCTTTCATTACCCTCAAGTGATTGCTTATGAATTCGAAAGGAAACTCGAGTTTCACTGCTGGTGCAGTAATCTGTGATACAAAGATTGTTTGTGAACTATTTTCATAAGTGTCACATATATGGGAAAAGAAAGTATGCCTACCGACTGCGGTTAGTTGTTGAACCTTGCAAAAAACACAAAAGGAATCATCCCCTGCCAAAACATGACATTTCATTTTACAAGTTGAATGATATAAAATCTCACTTCAGTATAATTCACCAAACGTATAACCTACCTCGTAAATCAGCTCCATTGTAACGATATTTTCTATATCAAGTTAGTTTAAAACCTGAAATATTTACATCGAACAATTCTCTGGAAAAGCTAATACACCACCTCAGATAATCAGTGAGGTATCTCGTTACAACCTGAAGAACGCAAGAGCAAAGAATCGGGACAACAGTAAAAGCTATCTTCTTCATAGCACGCTCAGTCAAAACTCAAATGTCTACAGATCTGCCTTGACTTCGAAAGTGCAGACTTGCAGGGTTATAAATATCTTTGTTGAATGCTGAACAGAAAACACTTTGTTTCTCTTTAAATGGAGCCGCGGGACCAGCAATGTAACAATGCCACCTGTACCATGTGGAACCAAGGTGAAAAGGAAACAGGAATAGCTCCACAAAGAAATGGCCCTCCAAGAAGCATTAGATCACGGCAGCAAACACTGAATGGATTTTCAACCATCACTTCTAACGCAATTTTGATTTCTTATGTGAAAATGATCTTCTCGATGAAAGAGGATATATTATCTCATAAATATTATGCACGAATCCTCTATCGTAAATGTTATTCTGAATGACCTCCACCTCTTCCAATCGAGATTTCCTGCATATGGCCTTACATTTGCTCTCGCGAACCTTCTTTTCAAGGCTCAATTCACCTAGGCTAGCTTTTAGCGCCTCCTCACTTGCCTTTGCCTCCTTTAACTTCCTCTGCCAGCTCAAGTAATCTTGCCACTTGAAAGTCTGGATAAGAAATTAGACAAGACAAAGAACCACTAAGTAGCTGCACTGCAGAGCCAAAAGCTACTGGATAAAATCAATAACCAGATGTTACTAAACGTAATTGTTAGAGAAATGAAAATCAGATAGGAGATAAGTTAAGAGCTTGGTAAATTTTTTGAGGAATCCTATCCGGGTATCATTTTCCTCCGTTCCCATTAAAAAGTAACATCTACATCAAACGAAGTGTTGAAAACACGCGTTTATCCACAATATATCTCTAAACAGAATGTAACATAAGCCTCAACAATGTGAAAGGTTATGCATTTCGCCACAAAAAACCCAAAAAAAAAAAAGAAAAAAAAAAGAAAAAGACACAAAACTGAATAGTTAAACCTGATCAGCTGATGCAAATCTACGAGGAAGAGTATACGACAAAAATTCTAGATTGTTTAGGCAGAACAAAACGTTCATATCAGATGTCTCATTCTGTTATCTTAAATACATTCAAAACAATTTGCAGATCAGAGATAGTTTCATTGCAAAATGCTGTTGGCACTAAAAATTAGTGGTAGCACCGAGATAGTAGTGCTTTTGTAAGAACATCTACTTATGAAATAAATAAGAAATTATAATAGAATCCAGTTGAACAGAAAGACAGTAAAAAGAGACCGTAAATTTATTCGGAATGTCATACCTCATTGGTTGTAGTGTTTGTTATGCATAATTTAGCATGATATGCAAAGAAACCAGTCAAAAGCAGGGAAACTATGGCCAAGAACACCATAATTAGTACTTGTGTGTTGTAGGAGCCAAGCAACCACTGCATAAATCACAAGACATGATTACTAGAAAGGCATGAAAAACAACAAGTTGTGAACAGATGCAACAAAGACTATAAAAACTAGTGAAGCAAAAGGGAAAAAAAGAACCAACAAGTTGTGATTTCGAAAATATAAAAACTAGTGATGTCCTGATACTAAATGAATCAATCAGCAAGGAAGCAAATTGGACTTTAAAGATTTCAACAAGGGCAGAGTCTATTATTGCATGCACTAATTTTACTTTGCACTTGTAACTCCTGAAGTCAATAATAGAACATACTCTATTATACGTAAGTGTCAAAAGGAAACAAAAAGTTTGACCATGTAAGCATGCAATCAACATATCATGTTATCAGCTCAAGATCTGGGGCTCAAAAGTCATGTCCACAATGGTCAAAGTGTGTGTGAAGCCAATGGAAATGCACACAATAGCTATAGATCTGATGAATTTTATGACAGGAGAAACAGATTGTGGTCATTGATTACCTTGCATATCAAAAAGCTTAACAACTAAGTCTAATACTGAATCTGGGGGATATATAACTCTTGAACAGGCAAACTGACAAGTTTTCAGCATTATGGAACATCACCAACATATCTTTTGTAAGAAGCATTCTCTGCGACATTATTTTCATGCTTCCAATTTACCACATTAGGATGGGACTGTATTGAAGTACTCCTTCTTACATGAACTCCACAAAAGTTCAACAATTGATGCTATGATCTCATTTCTCAACCCTCACAACAAGCTATCAGACGTTCACCTCTAAATGGTGATGACTGCTACCTTTCTGCCGCTTCTCCACAAGCGATCTCCCATATAGGGTGAACAACGGAGAGTTATATCTTTCAGCATAAATACTCAATCTAATTCAAAAATGCAAAGAGATTTATCATACCATCTGTCTCCAACATGTAATCCACTACCTCTGGTAAATCACAAGTTTCACCCGGAGACTACTGGAAAATAGAATAATTACGGGTGATCAACAATCTATGATATCCGAACTGTAATTCTGACATAAATGTATGCATCCATTTACATGTTGCCCATCCAAAATCCAGTCTTTAGACAATCGGCGCACGGACCATTAACATCTTATGATTATTGAATTGTTTTCAGGAAGATTTTATGATCATCAGGAAAATTCTAAGCAACTAAGGGAGCCACAGATATCAAACTCAAGAAAGAAGTCAAAGGAGAAACCATGACAAAGGATAAATAAATACGGGCTGCTCAATAAGAAAAGAACTGCCACATATCACAATGTACACCCAGTCAGAAAATACCAATTAGCACAAAAGAATGATATGAAAGACTTAAACACTTCACCTGTGCAACATGTGGAGCCAAACCTCTGAATGAATTATCAATGCCGTAATAAACTGCGTTAAAGACACACAATGCATAAAATATGTTTACTATCCTCAGATAAGCACCTCATCCATATTGAATGAGAAACAATAGAAAGAAATTTAATAGCCTGGATGGGGCTCTCGGTGTTACCAAAAAAAAAAAAAAGGAAAAAAATTTAATAACCTGTCAATATATGTATTACTTGTAGTTCTTTCATTCGCCCAGCGAGAAGCAATACGATGGCCACCACACCATAGATACAGATAATGAAATGCCTGCAAAAGAAATGTAACATGAAATGGCGCAGGAAGCGGGAAATTCCATTAACAGTTTAACGATTTGGGTCCATCACCATTAACCTTTTGTAAATCAATCCACAGAAGAATTACTGCAAGTTAAGAGTAAATAGAAATAACAGAAGAAAAGTTACAGAAAATGGGGGAAGAGGCATGGAGGACCATTTCGAGCTCTACTGCTAAAAGAAAAAAAGGAAAAAACTTCTTTGTCGAGTATATTCACTCACCAAAACAGAAAAGCCATGAAATATCGTGTGTTTTTCTCCCCAATACAATTGTTCTGCAGAATGGAAAAGATTAATAAGGTTCTGTATTTGTAATGGATCAATATCTACATAAGCATGCTGCTTTTATCATTAGTTAACTATACAAAAGGAAAATAAAAATAAGAGTAACAAACCATCCATCCACAATGATGGTCAAATCGAGCAACACATCGTTTGCAAACACTGCAATGCTTGGACCTTGCAGGCCTGAAAGGGAAATGTATTCCTCCAATCAGTTTTTCTTTCCTAAAAGGGTTGCGCCAAAGCTCTGACAGTTAAAGTAACAATTGATACCTCGGAATCTTGCAAGTTGAACAATCTTTCTCGAAAAAAATGATATTGTCATACGGATAAGCAGAAAGATATTGGGATACATTCTCAATATTCACAGTACCCGGGTCTGAAAAGCTTGTCAGTAGAAAAAGGATGATACCCACAGCTACTGCCAATAGGCTTGTGTATCTGGATTGACATTGATAGAATTCACATTACCCACTGCACCAACCCAGACGACTTAAAATGCACAACTGGAACTGAAACGAGAAGGGAAAAACTGCTGCAATACCTGTGGATTTCACTCAGGTAATATCCTGGTATATAACTGAAAGAAGACTTCACGATTATGTAATAAGTACCTCCAATGATACCCAAATACAGTATCTGCAGAAAACAAGGGGCTAATTGTAAGCTTTTCACACAGACATAATATCTACATACAGATTCTGTTTCCCCTATGACAACCATTAACCTTTTGAAATCATCAGTTCTGGTCTGCATTCACATTTTCCTGACGGAAAATCAATAACTTAATACTATAAAGGACTAGAATCAAACCAATGATGTAAAAAGCACATAAAAGCGAAGAACAGTGATCATTCAAATATTGAGCGTAGCCTGAATGCTCATCATCACTTCAAATCAGGGCAATAAACCACAAAGGAAATTTTGAACAGTTCAAGCCACTCAATCAACTCAGTCAAGTATTGCTAAATTCGGAACAAACCTGTAAAATTGGATTCGGGCGATCACAGCAAAAATACTCAACTGAAGCCAGCGCCCCAGTTCCTCTTGCACCAAACACAAAGTCAATAACTCTCCTGCAAGAATTGAACAGAACTCAGCAGTTAAAACCCAATGCATCATTTCCAGTATCTTTTTATGTATATATAAAAAAACCCATAGAATTCCCAGCATGGAAGAAGGCAAAGATCTACCTGAAATAATCATAAGCTCCAAAAGCTAGGAAAAAATGGATTCGCTGCACAAAAGTGCCCTGAAAGATGGGCCAGTTGCCGCAGAGGAACGACACAACGACCAGCAATGTGACCAAACCATGGCAGACCAAAAGCCATTGGACTGCCATCGGAGCTTGCAATTGGAAGCAGTCAAAAAACAAACTTCATGAAATTTCAGCTCTACAATTACTGAATTTCACTTTGCCCTTAAAGATTCGGCCGTTTAACAAATTTGTGGATGCTTTGGAAAGCCCTAATCACTGACCCTCTTCTTCATCAGGTGAATTTTGATGGATTAATTAGGGTTAAAAACCATTTATTTTAACCAATTACTAGGTTCACACGGGTACATGAAAGAACTTTTTTCTTTCTTTTTTTTTTTTATAATCTAAACAATTTCAAAATCATATTACTAATATTAATCAAGTTGTAATGTGTAACAAATTCAAAGTGTTAAATTTATCTTCATGTCAATAATCTCAAGTAAAATTATAGTGTGCAATGATGTATAAAGATCTTTTTGTAACATTACACATAATAGATAAACATGATAAATAACATAAAGTATTTTACACATAATAGATAAACATGATAAATAACATCTCTGGTTGCGGCTGCAATTTTCACTTTACAAACTGGTTTTACAGCAAGAACTTTGAGTTCTACAATTAAAAAAGTAAGAACGCAATAAAAGGGCGACGATTGAAGTTGCACGCTCAATCAAAAAGAATAATTAATAATGCGGAAATCAAAATGGAAAAATAGTAACTACCTTGTAATGTTTTGTGAAATCTTTTTGGACGGAAATTTCTTCGATCTCTTAACCTAATGTTGCTTTTTGATACCCTTTCGTTTAAACTTTTTGAGATTAGCAATCGATTAACCTCAGACTTTCAGGCTATACAAATTCAATAAAACTGAGAATGACATTCATTTGGCACAAATTTTTGAAATCATGATTAAACACGTTTTGAAATGCCAATATGATAATTCAAAGCAAAGGAGACACTTAAGCATCCACACAAAGAAATTGTTACTACAGCTTGACGACATTCAAATAGCTCGAGATGTTTAAATGATCACAAACGGGCAGCCATTCAGAAGTCATTCATGCAAAAGGTAAAATTGTAGCTACCAAATCCAAGTAAAACTCGAGTTCCAGAAGTATACACTAATGAGCAGTAAAAGATAATGATCCAATTTCACCATAGAACCTGGGAACTTCTTCTCATCCTTAAAAAATAGTTTTTATTGTAATCTCTAAATATTTAAACTACAATATGATTTTTTTTTACCAATTTAGTTCATTTTAAAACACTTATTAAATATTTAAATATGCTTATGTGACATGATAGGCGATTGTAAAGAAAAAAAAAAACAGCAGAACAACAAAATCACCATGCAATATAAATTGTATACATACGCAAGTTGCAACTTGCAACTACAGTTTCTGGACTAAATTAAATTTCAAGTTGGGAGACATGAAATAAAAATGAAAATATAACAGGAGTGATCAAATTAATACACACCAGATATGTTAAAAGATGATCTTTTGGAGCTTTTGGGCGACTGCTTTGACACAGCGGTGGTGGAAGTCCCCTTCAAAGGCTGGCATGTATAATTCCTTTTTCCTTTCTTTGTTAGTTTTTCTCCCTTTCCTGAAAACCTTTCAAATTAATTTTAGTAAATCCATAAGTAGTACACATCGCATCAATTCCATGGGACCTTTAAAATTTAGTAAAACCCATCGGATCAATTCCAGTGGGTGTAGGGAAAAAAATAATTTGTAGACGTATATTCCTTAAATTCTATAAAATATTCATATATCTTGTTACCCAAATTTGGATAAACGAATCAATGGATAATTTTGGAGATTTTGTGATCTGTTGGAGAAGTTTATTTGGGGATATGATGGTGATTCAGTTTGAGAGTCGTTGATCATGTTTATTTGCAGTTCGAAGAGAAACGGCAGAAATCATGTGTCAAATTGAGTTTTTTTTTTTTTTTTGATTGATAAAATTAAAGACGAAGTTTGAGTTAGGGTGTTGAGACTTTTAAGGATAGTGTTACACTTGGAATTTTGAGAAAAAAATTGGTTTTTGTTATAATGGGGTATATAGATTGTTGTGTTAATTGGGTCTGATAAAAATTGAGACAAAATCTATTCCATACCTGTATTAAGAAAAAAATAATTCAAAAATACCATGATATACAGTATCCTACAAATTTATACAACAAGGACAGAAATTTCATGATCTATATTTCGAGGGTGCAAATTTTCAATTTCTTTTACAAGTTTAAAGAAAATAGATTTTTGTCATAAAACATGACTAAAGAGTTGGTAATAATAATAAAAAAATCTTCAAATACAAATAATTTATGGATTTGGCATTTTATTCAAAGTTTTGTCTATAAATATAACTAGATGCTTGCCCCGGGCGAATGCCCGGGGTGCCGCCTGTATTTTTAAATCGATTAAATAAAAAATAAGAATCATTCTTAAAAGAATAAAAAAAATAAAAAAATAAAAAATTGATTGAAAGGACAGGAAGTGAGTTATTACACATAAATATATGCCCAGATTTACAATATTTAATTTACAACAGTTAACTTATGCCTGAATTTACATAAATCATAAACCAATATCTACAACAGAAGAATAAAAAAAAATCATCCTTAAAAAATCAAATTTCTTTCATCACAGCTTATTTTTCCTCTGTCATAGAAAGAGATAGATTGATAATTGATGTCAGATTTTAAGTAATTAATTTAAAGGCCCGGGTGTGAGAGAGGAGCGGAATGGAAGAGATCCTTTGAAATTGGGGATTGGGAAGACATTAGTGGTTGTTTCACTTGATTTAAGGGAATTTTCTTACATTTGATTTTATCAACTAAATATTGTTGTTTTAAGGGATTAGTATATACCTATAATTAAGAGATTTTTATATAGCTATAATTAAGGGATTTATGTATTTATCTATTCTATCTTTTTTTTTCTGATTAGTTAGAGTGCCAAGTGTCAAAAATGATTTTGTACTGAAAATAGCTTTTGGGGGGAAAATTTTCATTGTGGTGCTGACACATGTCCTTTTTGTTTGCTGCTTTAATTAAGTACTAGATGTTTGGCCCAGGCAGATGCTCGGGTGCCCCCTCTACTTTAATTTTGTGTTAATAGATAAATGAATTTTTGATTTGGAAAAAATAAAATAGCTACACATTTATTTTTTTCCGTTTTTAGCTAAAAATAAAAATAAAAATAAAAAAAATCATCTGCAAAAGGAGAAAAAATATTGAAAAGTACACCGATGCAGAAATCATACAAAAGAATGTGGAGTAATAAAAGGGATAAGTTTATGGACAAATTTAAATCCTATCTTAATTTGATTGATAAAATATAAGTATTAGGAGTTAAAATTGTGTAGCTATTTTTGTAAATTAGTTTTTGTTTTTCCGGATAAGAAGTTTTTTTTTTCTTTTAAAAAGGGATGACATGTGGCAGAATGGTTAAAGCAATATGGTGCATTTGGAGCCAAAATTTTTTAATAAGAAGTTGCCACATCAACATCCTGTATTCTGCTTTAATAGGGTAAAAGGGACTATAGATTTGTATCTGGTGTGAAATGAATGACAACATATCGATTAAAATGTGAACATGCATATAACAATGAAAACTATCAAGTATAATATTTTGATTTGATGTAAAACTACTCTTTATGTATTTACAAATTTGTCATCATTTTTGGCTATAAATAGTGAGAGAATGCAGTAGCGTACTAGCACCAAAAAATAAAAAATTATATGAAAAACAAAACTTCCTCTCATTTGCTGATTTTGTTTTTCTCACGTATTTTTCTTTTCAAAACTATTAATCACTTTCTTTCTCTCCTCCTAAGCCTCATTATTATTTCATAAGATTTGAATTATTATAAAATTTTATAATGAAGTCTCTAGTAGAGAAATTATATAAATTAAATATATCATCTCTTAAATAAAGAATTTACTAGAACTTTTGTTTGAAACATTGTTCTGGACATTAGTTTTTAAATAGTATCGATAATATTTTTTCCTCTTTTTTTTTCACCATGCTCATTAATTGTTTTTCTTTCTTTCTTTACAAATCTTATATTCAATGCTTAATATTTTAAAGTACTAAAAATTTATTTTGTAGAATTCTCTAATAAAAAAGTTATATAAATTTTAAATATATTATCACTTTAATGAATACTTTATTAGAAGTTTTTTTTGGAACATTTTATTGGACATTAGATTTTGAATAATTTCATCTTTATACAATTTTTATTTTCCATAACTAATGCAAAATTTGGCTAAGTTTTCATATGATGAATGAAAGAAATCTCTCCTCGTTCCTGTTTCCTCTTTTAAAATTAGGCTAAAGTTTACATATTTCATATTGATGGTTACATACAATACTCCTTCCATACCAAAAAAAAAATAGTCTATATTGAATTTTGAGATTTATACTACTTTTAATAAAAATTTATAAATTTAATATAGACTATTTTTTTAAATCGATCGAGTAGCTCACTTGATTGACTGATATTTACGAGTAATAAAAGCGTTCCTTAAATACGGAATTTGATTATATTGTTTTAATTTAATGATAAAGTAGATAATTTTAAAAACTTGGACGGATTTTCTTGTAGAATATTTGTTTCCTCTAGTTTATTCATGGATACTGACATAACCTCTGCATTTGATTGAGATTGTTGAATCAGTTGATCAAATGGAAGTTGACGAGCCACTATTATGCCCAAAAGAAGTCCACTGGTTTGTACTTTGTAGTAATCTCTCCACTAATTGTTGACCCATGTAGAAGATCAATTGCTTTCAATTCCAGTCCTCTAATTAAAATTTGCTTCTCCTTTCTGCATCCTGGGTATCATTTATCTGGTTACTATAACTATGTGTGCATTATAATTACTCACTTTCAAAAAGACTATTTTTTTGGGACGAAAGACTATCCTATTTGTTTTTTTTTTTTTTTTTTTTTCTGGTTAACAAAGCAAACTGAAGGCCAGTGACCATAGTTTGGGGATCAAAGAATAATGTGAAGTGGAGGTAACATCGGGTGTGAGTTGAATTATATGATTTGGAAGTATCATCATACTCCATAGCCGTCACTGGTGAACGGCCTAAAACACAAAAAAAAAAAAAAAAAAAAAAAAACCTAAAAAGCTATGATCCGTAGGTCCGCTCCATAGTATATCCTCCAATTCCAACCGTGACTTGTGCAATTTGCAAAAACCATCATCCAAAATTCCATGTCATGTAGGAATGAATTATGTGCATCTTATGATAAGAATTTCGATAAGCAAACTTGTCTTAGAGGCGTCTCCTATAACCTGTCACATCCATAGGACGAGGTTCAAACTTCATTAATTACTCTCGTCGGGAAGGCTGAGTGACCATCCCATCTTGGGGACCCAAAATGTCCATTCAGAGTCTCACGTTCTCACTACTACGTATATCCCATACCACTTGATGATTACCATTGTCCCAACTGGAGAAAGAGAAAATGGCAGGCACTTCAATCATAATTTCGGCCAAAATGCTTTTTAGCCCATCATTCATGCATCTAGAACAAATGTTAGGACACTTCCAAAATTCCTAATATGAACGCGCCTCACTCTGTTCCTTTTTTGGCTCAAGCCGTGTTTTTGGTCTTCCTAAAGTCCTTCAATGAAAGCTTAAATTACTCGTTGACCTTTGTAGGTGCTAAACAGTTACACGGTAATTTACTTCTCCGACCCGTCCCATTTTAATAGTCCACTCTGTTGAACTAAAACGAGACAGAGAGAGTACTATTCTTCCACTTATAAAAGACGTTGAGTTGGTTGGGAGTCATTTAAGCATCAAGCCATCAATGTTCAACTTCCTCCTCAAATGCAATGAAATTCATTAGACATTTTCTTGTTTCACTCATACTACTTTGCAGTGTTCTTCTTTCTGGGGCTCTATCAATCTCAGGACCAAGAACACTAAATGTTGAAATTGAGGCATTGAGAGCATTCAAAAGCTCAGTTAGAAGTGATCCATTGGGTGCACTTGACAATTGGATTGATGCCAACCACCATTGTAATTGGACTGGAGTTGCATGTGATAATTCTTCTTCTTCTGCCAGCTTCAGACATGTCATTTCCATCTCTCTGGTGGATAGACAGCTCCAAGGTGAAATCTCTCCTTTCTTGGGAAACCTCTCAAGACTCCAGGTTCTTGATCTTGCCTTGAATTCATTTACTGGGAGTATCCCTCCTCAGCTGGGGAAATGTTCCATGCTTACTGAACTCACTCTTGTTTCCAACTCTCTTTCGGGTCGAATCCCGGGAGAACTTGGAAACCTTAAAAGTATACAAGCAATGGACCTTGCTAACAACCTCTTGAATGGGACAATCCCAGATAGCTTCTTCAACTGTACATCTCTGGTTCAGATAAGTATCATCTATAATGAACTCACAGGGAACTTACCTTCAAGTATTGGCAACTTGATCAATGCTCAGCTATTTGTTGCTTATGGAAATCAACTTCAGGGTCCAATACCATCTTCCATTGGGAAGATGCTGGCATTGCAGGCTCTTGATTTAGACTCTAACAAATTATCTGGAAGTATACCTCCAGAAATTGGAAACTTGACCAACTTGCAAATTGTCAATCTCTTCTCTAACTTTCTGTCAGGGACAATCCCTGCTGAATTCGTTCGCTGTTCGAATTTAGTAGCTTTGAACATATATGACAATCAGTTCAGTGGAGCCATTCCTCCTGAACTTGGTAATTTAACCAGTTTGGAAGAGTTAAGGCTGTCCCAGAATAAACTCAACTCCACAATCCCAGACTCTTTGTTCCAGCTAAAATCGCTAACCCGATTAGGCCTCTCTGAGAATGCATTGTTTGGAGTAATCCCAAATCAAATTGGGTCTTTGAGATCATTGGAAGTAGTTACCCTCCATGGGAATAGATTGACAGGGAAAATCCCTTCAAGTATAACCAATTTGTCCAACCTAGTATACTTAACTTTGAGCTTCAATTCATTCACAGGTTCCCTTCCCTCAGATATTGGTTTGCTCAGTAACTTGAGGAACTTATCAGCTGATAATAACTTTCTTGAGGGTTCAATCCCTCCCAGTATAACCAATTGTACTCATCTTGAAAGAATAGCCCTGACCCTGAATAGAGGACTTTCAGGAGAATTGCCAACAGGGTTAGGCCAATTGTCTAACCTCACATTTTTCAGCGTTGCTGGGAACCAGATTTCGGGCCAAATCCCTGAGGACATCTTCAACTGCCCCAAGCTCGAAATTCTTCATGTTAACGACAACAATTTCACAGGGAAGCTCAGTTCAAGCATTGGGAGATTGGCAAGTCTTCGATCTTTCCGAGCTGGGTTCAACTCATTCCTTGGTCCCATCCCTCCAGAAATTGGTAACCTGAGTCAAGTCATTTACTTGTATCTTCACGGGAACAATTTTTCTGGCCTGATTCCTCCAGAGTTATCCAGACTTGGGCGCTTACAAGGCCTCACACTGCATTGCAACGAGCTGGAAGGCGCGATACCGGAGGAACTTTTTAAGCTGAAACAACTCTCTGAACTTCGTCTGCAACAGAACAAGTTGGTTGGTCCAATACCAGAAGCAATCTCCAATATGAAGTCACTGACTCATTTGGATGTTAGTGAAAACATGCTCAATGGAAGCATCCCGAAAGGTATGGAAGATCTCGTTCGTCTCAGTGTCCTGGATCTGTCAAGAAATAACCTGAGTGGAAGCATTCCTGGTTCAGTGATTGCAAGGTTGAAAAACATGCAAATATATCTGAATCTTTCGCACAATTTCTTTGATGGAACCATTCCAAATGAAATTGGAAGTTTAGGAATGGTGCAAGTTATAGACTTGTCAAGCAATAATCTCTCAGGAAGTATTCCTGGGGGAATTCTAGGTTGCAGGAATCTTTACTCTCTAGATCTTTCTGATAACAAGCTTTCAGGAGATCTTTCAGAAGATGTTTATCAACTCAGAGAGCTCTTGAGTTTGAATCTCTCAAGAAACCAATTAGGCGGCGAACTTCCTGCGCAATTAGCAAACCTGGTGCATCTTCAGTCCCTTGATCTTTCGCAAAACAAATTCCATGGCAACATTCCTGAAACCTTAGCTGATCTCTCAACCTTAAAATTCCTCAACCTTTCTTTCAACCAGCTTGAAGGTCATGTTCCAGAAAATGGCGTATTTCGAAACCTGAATACCAGTAATCTTGTGGGAAATGCAGCCCTTTGCGGAGCAAAACTTGACAAGCCATGCAACCCTGTCAAAAACCTGAAGCACTCAAACTCCTTCAAGAAAAGAACCGTTTTCATTCTCCTAGCTCTCGGATTGGTTGGCGTGCTCATTCTGTCAGTGTTTGCGATCTTCCTGCTTCGTCAAAGAACAAGAACTCAAAAGATCACAGAAGTTGAAAACTCAGAACCCAGGTATGCTGGATCACTGCCCTTCAAGAGATTCAGCCTGAAGGACATAGAGATCATGACGAATTTCTTCAATCAGGATAACATCATTGGGTCCAGCAGTTTAAGCACGGTTTACAGGGGCATAATGGAAGATGAGAAGGCTGTGGCAGTAAAGATATTGAATCTACAGCAGCATTCAGTAGATTTAGATAAACATTTTGACAGGGAAGTCCAGACATTAGGGCGATTAAGACACAGGAACCTTGTTAAAGTGCTTGGTTATGCTTGGGAAAGCGGGAAGCTGAAAGCTCTAGTTTTAGAGTTCATGGAGAATGGAAGCTTGGACATAATGATACATAACTCTACAGTCACTGATTCCAAGTGGACAGCATCAGGGATTATGGATGTTTTGATTTCCATCGCGAACGGGCTGGTTTATCTGCATTCAGGTTACGATTTCCCTATCGTGCATTGCGACTTGAAACCATCTAATATACTCTTGGACAAAGATTTTGTTCCACATGTGAGTGATTTTGGGACAGCTAGGATTTTGGGAATTCATATGGAGAGTGGAAGTGACTTTTCTACTACTGCATCAGCATTTGAAGGAACTATTGGCTACTTAGCACCAGGTAAACAAATGAATTTCTAAGCAGTTTGTTGGTCACACACACAGTCCCTCCATTTATATACCTTTAAAGACAAGATTTAACAAAGTTTACATCTTTCAGTTTCATCAACCATTGTTGCATCTAGTCAACTTTTTTTTGTTACCTTACAATATCTGAAATGCGTTTGCAACTTAATCAAACAAAACTTTGCTGAGGAAATTACAGATTCTTCACAAAGTTCTGACCTAGTTAGTGATGTCAATTTTTTGGTTAAATGAGCCTGACGGGAAGACTCCTTTTTTCAGAGCTTGCATACATGAGGAAGGTTACAACGAAGGTAGATGTGTTCAGCTTCGGAGTTATTGTACTGGAACTGCTCACGAAAAGACGGCCAACCGGACTTATAGAAGATCAAGGGACACCAATCACATTGCCTCATCTGGTTAAACAAGCCCTTAAAAGAGGAACCAAGGGGTTAGTTGAGGTTATGGATCCTGGTTTAGCACCATATGCCTCAAAGAATCAGCAGGCAGTGGAGGGCCTATTGAATCTAGCTTTGTCATGCACTCATCAAGATCCAGAAAACCGACCTGACATGGAAGATGTGTTATCATCCCTGGAAAAACTAAGCAAGCAAATTTGAGGACTTTTGGGTATCTATCTTCTTTCACAGAAAAATGAGTTTAGTTCTAAACATTTGAGGGAAATTTTGTAGACTATTATAGTGTCTGAAACATGACCTTCAAGCAGAAAGAAAGATGAACACCTGCAAGTTTGAAGGTCATGCTGCATTTTGTAAAGCTAAGTAGCTCTTTGATGAATGCTTGATAATTCATGGCCAATCAAAAAGATACTTCAAAAAAAAAAAAAAAATTTATTGCTAACAAGAAAATATTATTCAATTGCTAGAGATTTAGTGCTAATTCAATGATTATGACTCATTTATGTCCACTCCTAATTGAGGTATTGAATTTTGTTATAAGACTATAATTAATTTCTAATCATTGGAAAGTCAAAACTATTAGTATGGATTTAACTTCCAAGATTTGGCAAATCATTTACTGTATGTCACTATAATAACCATACTAAATTAATATTTCTCTCTTGTCTATATAATTATTGTTTTGTAACAGAATGATTCAGTTCAATCTTACAAACTTCTTTTTATTTTTCACATATCATGTCGACCTATAAACTGATTAGTTGCTTGCTCTTTGGTTTAGTTATCCTAAACCTTTTCACTGTCCACGAATGTAAGTACGCGTAACAAAGAAAAATTACAAAAAGTGGAAGCAAACTGTTTAATTTTTACGGTCTATTGTCTTTTTTTTTTTTTTTTCATTTGTGAGAGATTTAAACCTAAATCGTGTGCGTTTAACATCTTTTAGTGATCAATTGGTCGATATTGTGTCCGTTGTTATAAACTGGAAAAAAAATTACTCCCTCCGTCCCATAATTATTGTACAGTTTGAGTTTTCATTTATAGTTCAAATTATGTTAAAAGTGAAATCCAAACTGGACAATAATTTTGGGACGGAAGGAGTATTTATTTTCTATGTATTTTGCTCTAAATTTTTTCACCTCCATTTTTCATTTTATTGCAGGTGTTGATGGAGGGAATCGTAAGGTTAAGAGGAGTCCAGGGGAAAATATAGTTCTTGACTTTTGCAAGAAGGAGAGTGAAGGTGTGTGGTGTTGCCTGTTCAGTGGTAACCCTGATATTTGTTGGCCAACTAGAGATGTATGTGAAGCAAAATGTCATAAGACATGAAGTTATCGTCTATATAAACTCTTCATCGCTATGAAAAAAACTGGTATTCTTCCCGTACGTCGTACGGAATGTTAAACTAATATTAATATTTTATTTTTATTTTTAATGAAAATGTCATTTTCAAGGTATAAACCAAGATCATCGACAACCATAACTAATTGTAATTGAGAGATTTCTTATTAAAGGTGTCACAACTTTCATAATTTCAGATGAAATTAAGACTATTATTCACAGAGAATGAGTTATGTTCTAAACATTTGAGGTAAATTTTGTACGTAAATATTCTACTGTCTGAAACGGACCTTCAAGCAGAAAGAAAGATGAAAATCTGCAAATTTGAAGGTCATGCTGCATTTGTAAATCTAAGTAGCTTTTTAATAATTCATAACTAATCTAAAAGATAGTATAATTCTTTTTTTTTTTTTTGGGTTTACATTCATTGGATAAATCGAATACTCTCTCCAATCCAAAATTATTGTCCAGTTTGAGTTTTTATTTTTAGTTCAAATTGTACCAAAAAGAAAATCTCAAACTGGACAATAATTTTGAGACAGAGAGAATACTATTATTCAGATAAATTCGCATGGGGTGATCGACAACTTTCCATCATACTGCAAATGACATTAAAACCCACCCCAAGAGAGAACAACTAAAACGACATTAGATTCAGATGAAGAACTCTTGTTCTATGATAGAGTCGAGACTGATATTAGGGTAATTTTAGAAGCAGATGTAAATGGCATCTCTCTGATGTAGGTTTAAGCTTGGAATATCCGCAAGTTTGTTGTAAACCCCAAAAAAAAAAAAAAAAAAAGCTCGTATATGCTTGTCTCGGCAAAAGTAGCTGCAGATGGCCCGAAAAACATAATGGAACAAATTTAAGAACACTATGTAAAAGGGAGTGACAGATATTCTAACCTAAACAGTAAGTACGAACTAAAACAATACATCCAGGACGAGGATTTAGTAATGATAAGCTATAAAACATATCCTGATCTTAATTATACCTTTGATTATTCACCTTTTATCTATTCAACTATACACCAGTTGCTGATCCATTTTAACTATAGGACCCCTTCGTACACCAAGTCTTATTCGTCCGTGTTAACAAGTGTGTATATTGACAAAGAATGACCGCGTGGACACTAAAATGACCGGGGTAAAAAAAAATGCACTGTCCAGGCTACTTTCCCAACAACATTTCCTTCCGAGGGATATGGATTTAAGTACGGCTACTAACCACCATTGGCGAAGTTAGTCTCTACGACCACCTCTGTATTCAAAAGGCTCTTACGTCGCACGATTGGCAGCCCTAGCCCTGGACACGGCCTTCTCATAAAGTTCCTCATATGTGGCAGCAGATGAGTTCCAACTGAAGTCCATCTTCATGACTTTCTCAACAAGTTGTTGCCAAAACTCTCCATTGTTCCTGTAGTAAGAAAATGCACGTTCCAAGGCATTGTTGAATCCCTGCACGTTTCACAATTGAAAAACACAATCATCACATCACCAAAATACTCCATATTGAGAGATCTCATAATTTTCATAGATACATATTGAAAAACATATAGCAGTGAATAAAGGCAGACAACCATTGGACGAGGATTGCAGCACAGAAGCATTCCTTGAAAGAAACAAAATAATTTGGCAACACATTCACTCCAATGAGTAATTGATTGTTCTCAGTCAATTGATCAAGGAAGACGCGATAAAAAGTTGTCAAACCAAATCATATTCATACAATCATTTCGTAGTTTGAATACATGCCATTTCACCCAAGCTCTCTTTCTGGGAATAAAGATAATAAATTCTGGGAGGAGAATACGAAAAACTGAAAGCAAAGACCCCCACCATGAAAATGAGTCATCAAAAGTAGATCTCATCTTCAGGGAAGTGCAAACTGAATGTAGAATACTATTCATATTTTTTTAAAAAAGTTTGCAATACAGGAAACTATAACACGTGTACTTGCATTGTAGTCAGAAATTTACCGGCTCAACTTTCAATAAAATCGAGCTGTCATGGATAATACATAGAATAAGAGATATCCCAAAACATGATCGGAAATAATGATCATAAAGGTGAAAAGCAGTAATAACTAATAAGCCCCAGTATGGGATGGAAATATTCAATACAACATTGTATAGAAAGAAAATATGCTGATGCATTTATGAGTTCCTTTCACTTCAAGTCATTTTAGTCAAGGGTTTTTATTCGCCAAGCTGACTCATTTAATTGGACCATCAAACAAGCTAAACAGAAAGGGGGAAGCCAAAACTTCTGACTCAGTATTTACTATAAGAAATATAAACTCTATCCATCTTAAAGTTTCAATCTTACCTGTTCATCAGCAGAAAAAAATGTAAATCCATTTCTGAACTCTTCAGGTACAGAATCATCGTCAACATCAAAAACACTGAAAAAGTTCACGCATCAGCAATATTGTAACAATACAACCCACCAAGAATAGAAGCTGCGAATTCATCAGTCTATCACCTGTCATTTAAGCCTCCTGTTTTCCTTGCGATCGGAATAGTACCATATCTCATTGCAATCATCTAGGAATAGTAAATAAAATTTAGTACGAAACACCAACTTCTATTCATTCCAATTTCTCAAAACTATTGAGATAACAAGTAGGTGCTTTCCATGTTACCTGGGTAAGGCCGCAGGGCTCAAAGATCGAGGGAATGATTAACATGTCAGATGCAGCATAAATTAAACGAGAAAGAGATTCATCGTACTTCAACAAGAGTCGAGCATGTTCATGATTCTGGAACTGGTTTGCAATATCTTCAAATTCCCTCTGGAATAATAACAGCAGCAGCATTTTAAATGAAACAAGCTTTAATAATGTGAAACTGAATTATGAAGAAATCACAGGCAAAGTTATTTATTTATTTTTTTTATCGTGGTCTATCGTGATTCAACTAAGATCCAGGTAAAATTAGAACCATTAGCTATAGAAAAGGAAGTTGTGCACCAGCTTTGGTACTTGTTGGGCATGACCACAAATGCATATCCTCAAATAGCTGTGCTGCCTCTTAAGGCTCTATCATCCATCAGTTCCATATAATAGGCATCACAAGCAAACCATACTTGGATTTTAGGTTTGAAACAACTAAAAGTAAGAAATCCAGCTTGATATTACACCCCCAGCACCCAAAGAATAAATCAAACACAACTGAGAACTGACAACACAAGTCACAACTGTCTGCTAATCAAAATACAGTAATAACAAGACATGCCAGAGATGCTTCAAGGTAGTGAGGTGGAATATCTCTGGGGCCAGTCAAGCCATGAGGTATGCAGTCGAAGCCTAAGATCATGTCAGGTTAATCCACAGGTTGAATATGTGTTTAAATTAAATAAGCAAAACTTCCAAACCTAATGTCCTCTGCTTGAAAGGACATGACTAGAGAAAACAGTTTGAAGGTTGGAAAAGGAAAAAGGACAAAGATTATGTTCGAATCACTTTCACAATGCAGCAGCACTTTATGCAGATAGAAATGCAATATTACTCCACCAGAAGTTTAATGTGTGTTTTTTGTCCCCGGAAACGTGATTCTTTTCTTTCCAATTCTAATTCTAACCGGTTGGTTTCTTAGCCAAAAGATCAACCATTCAGGGTGAAACACCCCCCTCCCAGAAAAAAAAAGAAAACCAAAAAGAAAAAACGGAATATATATATATGTATATAAATATATATATATATATATATATATATACACACTCAAATGTGAATTGCCTTTAAGATGGTGAAAATAACAGAATAACTCCATTTGTATGTTATGACCTGAATATGAGGCACAGGACTTGATCCAAGAAGAACAAACTGGCCTCCTAGTTCAAGTGTTCGGTAGAGGGCATGCCTTATAAGATGCACGCCCTTTTGAGGAACCAATCTTGTTATGCAGCCGACCTGCAAAAAGATTAAAAAAAACTATTTAAAAAAAGGAAGCTAAGTCCTAAAGATTCTATTTGAGGAGAGTAAACAAATTGAATATTATTTCACTTGGTATGTAACGAACGATCAGTTTTCTCAAATCACACATCAAATCAAAACATCAAAGTAAAAGATGACCAGTTAGCCTCGATCCTCGTATCATCTGCGTGAATATAAATCTAGCATTTAAATATACCCATGAATCAATGGGATAACTTGCAATCATTGACTTCATCACATAGCTGTCATTTTCCCCTTAAAGTGCACTTGATCCGAGTAATCAGCCTCTCAAATGTGATGCTAGCAATCTCTGATCAACCAGTCATATCTCACAACAATTCTTAATGAAGTGTGATGCTAGTTTCTGAGATTGGTAACGGTATGTTCAGATGAGAATCCAATCTTAAACAAACTGTATGGAGAATACAGCAAAATCATAGGCATTACCAACCAAATCAAGATAGAGACCCGAATGGATCTGTGCTTTGAACAGTCTCAGGCTAGAAAACTATCCTTTGTTACTCATGCATATCATGGAACCAATTGGTTTGTAATTAGCAGTACTGAAGAACTTTAATATTGTTAACATATTTATATTGATTCATGACCCATTCAAAATGTTATATAAAGTCTTCAAAAAAAAAAAAAAAGTTACATCACTCTGTCAGGTTGACAAGCCCCATCTCTAAATACGTTTCAAATGCAAAAACTGAAGTTTTTAGGTAAAGTATGTAGACAAGTAATATATATGCAAACTTCAATGTATTCAACTAGGACAACATGAAAAGATGTGCATAATTATAAATGCGCATCATGTTTCATTAAAAGTACCAATCAGGAAATTTAATCTGTTACCAGTTAACATTTTTTTTTTTTTACAATGCATCCTTAACAGAGAATTTCCTAATTTTGCACATGCTAAAGTCTATGATCCGCCCAATATAACATACATATTTAGCAGGCACCAAGAATAGGAAAGTTTACACTACCAGAGGCTGTCTGACATCGGCAGAAGAAAGACCCAGCTTTCTTTTCAAAGCTTCTTTATTCTGAGCTTTTCCATCAATATCAAAGGCACTGTATTGCACTTTTAAAAAAGTATCACTTGCTGGATTCCATGCATCAGTGTCAATACCATTGAGAACCCCAACAAACTTTCGCGCATAAGTGTTAAGAGTAGAATGAAGACCTTTTCCTCCCTGAACAATCATATTATCAAATGAATTAGCCTCAATAAGCTCCTACATAAAAATAACTTATGCTACAGAATAGATGGTATGAATATATGTATACAAAGTTAACAACCCGGTAAGACATGAGTCTCAAGTAGACTTGAGATGTCCTGTGTTGCCTTGGTTAAAGGTTCTTCCAAGCATAATATAATTGGGTCATCTTCCCTTCTTTTTTTTTTTTTTTGGGATAACTGTGTCATTTTAGATGCTGTACCAAACATAATTAATATGCTTAAAACATTTTCAATAAAACCCAATCATTTAAAAAGAAAAAAACGGATTACAAACGGATTTGAAGTATTTATTTTCTTGATGACCGGGCAAGAAGAATAGCCAAAACAATTACTTGTGAATTAAATTCTAGAGTATTAGAATTACTTGACCTTTGACTCTAATCACTAACATCTGAAGTAGGATTGATGTCAATCTACTAGTGGCCGTGGAAATTTAGTTTGGAATGAGATGAAGGGTAAATCTATACAGGAATATATTAGTTCAAAGACCCAAATGAACATTGAATGTAGTGGGCCCAAAAATTACTGATGCGGTGAATATCTATTGGGTATCTATTACATCCTTCCCGATTTCTGAGTTCCCTCCCCAAGCTAGCTTGACAAGCAAACTTGTCAAATATCACACATCGATCAGATCAGGTGAAACTGACAGCTTACAAGCTCATGTTGGTAGGCATACTAATTATTTGGGTTAGCCTTTTTGTGTCTAGCAAAGACGAACACAATGATTACTAGGTTAGACCAAGGGCGTTACAGTGCCTAGTAAATGGTTTGTCAGGCTTACTTTCTCCTATTTTTCTTGAAAAGCTGTCACTGCCACATGACTGCATGTGGCAACATAGATCCTACCATGCAGGGTTAATTCTGATAACCAACTGGAGAAAGTAGAGCTATCCATAATCATCAAATTCTATCAACAAGAGGTAGCCCTAATCCTCAACTGTTTGAGAGGGGAATACTTTTTGGCCAATCCATCCTAATTCACAAAAGTCAGGTGTAAAAACGTCCACAAGTGGGTTGTTAGATAGAGTATTACCTAAATCTAAGACCATAAACAGCTAAAATATGTCCCACTATGTTGGGTGGGCTATGTTCTGCTGCAAAACTTTTTCTCAAATAGGTCTCCAGATATCATCCTTTCTAAGTTTCGTTCAAAGTTTTCTAAGGTCTTTCCTTCTTTTGAGACTCTTAAAATAACAACTCTCTAAGAACATACCATTACAGAAACCAAATACATTAATTGATCATTAATTATCTTCAAACTAGATTAAAACAGAAGCCCGCAAAAAGTGCACAAGAAAAGGAATGACAAGCATTATGTATCCTGATCTCAGAGAACAGGGTAGTCATAATGCTACAGAAAAGGAGCAAAACTGACCATACCTCAGCAGTCCGCACCTCTTGAGCATAGGTTGGTGAGACAGTAGTTACAATGTTGGAGAACACAATTGCTCCCTGGACAAAATTAAAGGACTTTCAGCTATGCTAGCGCAGAGACACAATATACACATACGCATACAAATCCGTGGAGCGTATGGAAAGGAACCAGATATACAGCAGTAGCAGAACCAAATCTCCACAATTAACAAATAAGAGAATCAGATAATTCATATATGATTTTCTACCTTGATGGGATTGACCCTATCATGTGAAGAGTTATCTTGCATCCTATCTGGCCTGTTCAGATGGTGAACATCAAGCCCACATGATCCCAGTTCCCCAGCTGGTGCAGTTCCTTGGTACTCGAAATTGTGGCATGTGAAACATATGCGAGCTGAGTTAAGACCTTTGGGTGCATAAAGATCCCAATAAAGGGGAGCCTTCAATCAGAATAAAGTACTTTTGGTTAAAATGCATTATCAGGGAAAGATAAGACGGTAACCAAATAAGCACAACTAGAATGAAATGTCCTACAACAAAGGCCGTTTGCCAATCATGGCAGTGGATTATATCCGGTTTCTTTCCAGCTTGAAGAATTAACTCAAGAGCAGCCCTACTAAAGAATGAGAATCTCTTAAAATCATCACGTTCCCCATAGAATTGTCCCCTCCAAAAGAAGTTTCCTGGATGATGGGGCTCGATAAAGTACACTGGAAGACCTGAAAACATAAAATCAAGTTAAATTCTGCAGTACATAACCAAGTACTACAAATATCATAACTGCTTCGCTTTCAGTATTCTCAACCTTCCACAGTTCCAGTCCATATCCTGTTCTCAAATAACTGGCCATCAAAGAAGGACTCAATTACCACATCTAACACCTGTGAGAAGCATAAAAGCGTAGATGAATTAAACACATTATGTCATCTGAGTTCAACTGAACTCAAATTTAGTTTTAACAGCAATGTTACCCGTAAATCTTTAATCAGCTCATACTGCATACAATCATATTTAGGAAGTATCACTTCCACAAGGTGACCCCTCTGCTGCAAAGCTTTGCCAAGACCAGTAACCACATCGCCAAGACCACCAACCTTAAGTACAGACAAGTGTTGCAATAGATTTTTTAAAAAACAAGAACTGTACTCTTTTAAAATGGAAATTTGCAAACCTAACAGATAGAAGCCACTATTCAAATAGCCATATGAACCGATTACAACCCATGCATAGAGGACAAATTTATATGCTAAAATCAGAAAATTATTTCATTTGTTTGACATTGCAAACACAAGTACCAAACAGATTCATACAAAATATGCACCACAACCAAGATCCTCAGAGCCACAAAATACTTTTTGACATCTTTTACATGCAAAGCCATAACTTACTGTTTTGACTTGACCTACGGAATGGTAAAAAGGGAGGAGGTAACACTTATAGAAGGAGAGAAAGCATCACCTGTGCAAGTTTGTGTCCATAGTGCTTAAATGAATTAACTAAGACTTGTTTATGAATCACAGAAGTAGACAAGTAAGATTCAACTGAGAAGTGCAATGTACCTTTGCCACAGGTGCCATCTCAGCAGCAATGTGAATCACATGTAACCCTGAACTAAACAAAGACGAAAACTGTACGTTAATGCATGCACTATCATGACACATGGCAGAAACAGAAGATCACTCTGCAGTTAACAAATTTCCCAGTGACCAAAAGAATTGTACCGTTCAGGGGAATAAAGTAGTCTGAGAAGTGTAGATATCATTTCATCTTCCTTCTTTTCCTTACACGATAAATACGCATTGCAAATGCGTCCATCTCTCTTCCACACCAATTCTCTCAATAACCTGCCATCATCTGTAGAAATCTTCTTTTCAAGTAACCACGCATCAATCATGAGCAATAGCTGACTCCAAAACTCCCAAGGCATATCATTAACAGGCTCATTTTCAGCTTTCTTTTTACTTTCTTCCTTCAGATTATCAAGGGTGTCCTGAAACTCTTTTACAGAATCTTGATATAACTGAACATAACCATGTATTTCTTCATCAGATTTTTGAAGGCGCTCCTCCAAAATTTTTAGCTTTTGATGCATTAGATCATTAAAATGCTGCAACCTTTCGGATGATAGCTTATAGACATTTGCCTCTTCAAGAGATTGTTCAAGCTTGTCAACCTTCTTCCTTAGTTCTTGGTTTTCTTGCAGTACAAAAATAGCCTGATCTGCCTGCTTGGTTGCCTTATCAAGTAACTTCTGCAAATCCTCCACCTTTTCATCTAAACTTTTGCACTCCGACTTTAAGGTAGATAATTTTGCAACATCCTCCTCAGATGCAGCAAGTTTAGACTGCAATTCACTCAGAGCAGACTGCAAAACCAGTCGTTCTTTCTCAAGCATTTGAACGCGTTCCTCTGTTCCTTTAATGCCACTAAGCTCTGATTTTAGGGCATTCAGATCATTTTTGAGAGATGAATTTTCCATTTTCAAAAGGTTAAATTCCTCACTAAAGGCATTGGCACCACCGACATCAGAAAAAGATGTCAAGGAGTGCTCCCCCAGCACATTTCCCCCGTATATCCCTCTATTAGATAGCTCATTTTGCAGTTTTTCCAACTGATCTTCCAGAAGTTCCACATGTACCTTTTGCTGGGAAGCAACTCTAAGCCGTGCATCAGTTTCTGCAAGTTTCATCACCAAACTGTTGATCTCTGCCTGCAAACCCTCTTTCTCATCAGCAATTCTTTCAAGATCATCAAGAGCTCGAATTCGTGCATGATTGAGAAGATGTATATCTATGACACAACAAAGAGTAACATTAAAAATCATCTTCATAAGTAAAATACAAATGAAACTTGAATTCCAAAATCAAAATGCAAAAGAACAAGAACGGAAATGTAATACTTCTCTGTGCATTTCTAATCATCCCAATTAAATCTTCAAGACGTACACTTGAAAGCTGATCCTCAGCATCTGCAATAATTAACTGTTTTCAACAAAACATAACTTCATCACATTCCAAAAATTTTCCTCCTTCACTTTTGTACAAAGCAACCAGAACTAATAAAAATATAAAAGCAAAAGAGATATGACTGATTGTTGAACTACTATTATGTCAAAGAGTGAAAGTATTGAGAAAAGAAAGGAATCAGTGTTTGGTGGATGAAAATCCGGGCCAATACTGCCACAATTTCGTTCTTCTTTTTTTTTTTTTAATTTGGCCATGGATGAAGTTGAATTAAAAGAATTAAAGTTGCATTAAAAACTTGCAAACGGAGTGTATTAGGTTGATGAAAAATAAGGTAATACGAAACGTGCATCTCAAAAACTGGGGTTTAAAATATATTGGTTTCACGTAACTGGTCATACATGCCTAAAGAGTCAATCCTCTAATTTATTGTTGCATAAAGAAACTATAAACTTAAGGAAAAAAAATGATTATGTCTCGGGTTTAAGGTACAGGGGACCAGTTATAGATCAAATGAAAACATCAATCTACAATTATCTACCTTGGTGAAACGTAATGCATACCATCAAAAAGTTCCAAATATCCACTAACTAATTTTGACACGTATAAATTTCACACAGTACCAAGCCTCAAACCAAAAATATAATGGCAGTACACCTAAATTTCTTTTACAAAAAAAAAAAAAAAAAAATCCAATTACAATGAAGGGTTCAGGAATTAAAAGCAAATAAACTCATGTTCAGAGAATAAGCATCACAAGCATGAAATTACGTCCTATAGATGTTTGATAGAATTAAATATGAGTTGTGATTATACCGGAAATGCATCCTCCACAGGTAAGATCAAGCTGTTTACATTATTTGCAAGCTCCGCTTCTGTAGTTGAATCAACACTCTGAGGAGAACTGTTCAAATTTGTGAAGCTATTATCAGAAAGCTTTCCTCTTGATTCAGCTTCTGCTAATGCATCAAATTCATCTACATCATCTTTCATGCTTGTATCATTATTCTTGGAAGATTTTTCTCTTTTCTCTGATCGTACTATTTTATCACGGCCATCTGACGAGTTTTTTAAGCTTCGGATGCTGTTATTGACAATTTTGGCTGGGCCAGAACTGTCATCACCAGTTGCAGGTAAATTAGCTCTTGCAGGACGATACATTTTTTTGGTTTGGTATCTCTTATTTTGGGAACTGCACATATTAAGACAAAATAAATAAATTTGAAAGAAAGGCAAATACTAAGGACCTGAAACATATTCGTGTATGCTACAAAATACGAACGGAATATATCATCCAACCTCAATGAAATTGTAGATCAAGCATTCAAGAGAAGAGCTTGAGGGCATGAGCATTTACATTAGAATAGTGGGGAAGGTTGTTCAGATCTCTAACAAATTACAGAAATTTAGAAAGCTTGGCTTCTGTTATCTTGGCCATCTTTGGCATCAATACAGTAAAAAAAAATAAAGTAAAAGCAAAATGTTCTTCCTTTAAACTTCATAACTAACGCAGTGGGAAATGGAGGAGATGAAAAACCAGGGTCCTTGTAGGAGGGAATCATTAAATGACATAGGGATCCATGTTAGAAAATGCTATTACATTCTATCCATGATAAGTGAGATGCTTGTGCTGCCAGGAAATAATCAGAAGGACCAGACATTTGCGATCCACCTTAGTGACGTTCTAGGATAAGTTGGGATACACTTGAGTCATTCTGTATAACCACAGCCCCGTTAACAGCAGTGGCCGAGGAACTGCAATCTTATGTTTTCCTATAACCAAGTGATAAACGATTCCAACCTTATTTCTTTTTTTCTTTTCTTTTTTTTTTTCTCTTTGATGACCTCAAAGATTCTAATGTCAACCACATTAGAAAGGGGCAGATCACTAAGCACAGATTTTACCCCTCAAATAACCATGTGTGCACGCTAAAATTCTGCATATAAGATACTACAAAGAAACTGCTGCAATTGGCCTCATGCTCTTAAAACAGTGAATCCTCCTCTCATAAATGCAATTTTCCAGAGTTTGAAAGTAGAACTAAGGTCCATGCTGCATTTTCACGAGGTTAAATCCCCAAAAACCAGAGCAACAACCCTAATGAAAATAGATGCCGAGAAGAATCACTCAAGCATTAAGCTTCCACATCAAATGCCTACCTTAACATAGGTATATATTTGCAACCGCAAATTATGAAATTAAAAATTAAAAACTATCTTAGACATTTCCAAGAAAAACCCAAGTAATAACTGTATATCAAACACATGAGATGGCGCAATTTGTACTTGAAAGAGGCGAAATAAATCAGACGGGACAAAAACCACCAGGTACCTGCGGTGGCGCATTTTGCAAGAAGCCGGAAGGAAACGATGCGCACGAGAGGGATAGAAGCGTAGAGTCCCAAGCTTACAATTGAGCCCTTCTCCGTAACAGCATCCTTGGCTCAGAAAACACGTAGCTAAGCTTGACTCCATTGATTCACCTCAACAACTTCTTATCATTTGATTAGTATTATTTGAATTGGGTCTCAGTAAATTATGGTGTAAAGCGAAGCATGGATACAGAGTGTGGGAAGAAGAACAAACGGGTAACTTAGGACCAACGAAAAGTAACGATCAAAAGATACAAAATCCACACTATCTTCTCCTCTAACTGGGACTATCCAGATTCCCGGAGGAGCATTTTTATACAAGAATTTTTTGGGTCCATCAAAAAACAGGCAAAATGATAACGGAGTAGTAGGATGGCATATGTGTAAATTCATTTATTTGGTACAAATTAATTATCATTTTTTTTTAAAAAAAATAATAATGAAAAATATATTGTCTGCAAAAGATTTCATTTTTTCTTTTTCATTTGTTGTCATTCTGTTTGAACGATCGTTACTTGCAATCCACATTTGGTATCGCCATGGGTGTGGTAGAAATCATTTTGACCCGAAAACACAAAACACTACTCGCAAACATACTTGAAAAAGATGGTGTAATAAACTGTGGCAGAAAACTTTACACGGTGAAATTAGAAGACAGTGACGAGTGAACGGATAAAAAAAAAATCAAATTACATTCTAAAAATTAGTTCAAGCACTGAGTTTAGAGTCAACTATGGAACATCCATAGTATGATGCTGATCATCAAAAGTTGAAAGAAAATCTGGACACCAGTTCACTCCATTTGGAATAGGTTAAGTTTCTTCATCATTGCTTTGTCATCTTAACCTCAGAAAGTCCAGTGGCTTCAGTCTCAACTAATATACTTTAGACCTAAGGCGTTGGCCTCGTTCATTGTACCGAAGAAAGTATTTACTTTAGATAGAAACTCCTCCTCGGGCAACCACGGAATCAAAGCTAAATGGTGTTTTCTCCGAGCCATCAATGCTTTCGGAGGAAATCATACACTGAACATCTCGGAATTAATCTTTTCTTCACGGTTCACATCAGTAAGAATAGTGTTGGCAGTCTACTATATATATTAGATGGATTGAAACCAAACTAATCAAACAAAAATGCCCATGGAATCCAGGATTCTCTTTGCAGATACCGTCATACAGCATTTTCGAATGCCTCGTTTAAGGGCTAGCACCACTTCCTCACAGCAATCCAATAGCAAATTTCTTCACTAAAACTCTGGGCTGAATGTAGTCATTCCGTTCATACACAATTCACAGTTCGAGATCAAGCCCCAATCTCTGTTGGACTCCTTCGACCTATGAGACTATTGAAGCAAAAACTTATGCAAGCTTTCCAAAGTTTTCAGGATGTTGGGCCTAGGAACTCCCAACTCTTTGGTTAGCCACCAACAATTTTTGTTATCTCATAATAAGAATTTCAAGGCATTTTTCAATAACTCCCATCAGAAGCAGAACGAAGTCATTAGAGGTTCACGGATGGGGTGATTTGGGATTGCGAACTTCGCGTAAATGGCACTACTCTTCATTGAAGAAATATCTGCATTTGATAAAAGTATATTCAGTAAATTTTTCTGAAAACTAACATCACTGAACAAAGTCTAAAACACGGGTGATTTCCTGAAAATATGATCGGCAGTTTTTAACAATCGAGCCACCTAAAATTTGAAGGGATAACTGGTGACAAAGGAAAGTTAACGTATAATACTTTCCAGATAAACACAGTAGAAGCAAAATTTAAACTGAGCAGTTTAAACTTGCACCTTGCATGGCGGGATTCACGCGACATTTCAAATGCCACAACTCTTGCCCCTGAAGTTTACCGCCTACTTTATCTCGGAGGGGAGGCGGACGGCAGCACAAATGTAAGCAAAACTGGAATCAATGAGCTGAATATAAACCAAGCAACAAATCAGACCAGGATCATTTACTTACCGCATTAAGCTACATCTGTTGTTACAATGATCTTGAAGCATGCTGAGCCTTGGCTGTTTCTCTTAAAACAGCACCCACAATTGCAGCCTGCTCCAGACATTCAGCCTTATGCAAAGCGTCTAAAAGAACAACACAAGTTTTAGTGTATATATTACATCCTCTTGATCGAGTCTCTTCAAATATCTTGTAAGCTTCCATTGCCCTATTTGAAATACTCAACCCTTCTATCATAGTATTATAACAAGCAGAATCAGGTACACCTCCATTGGCCTTGAACCTTTCAAAAAGCCTATCTGCTTCCACTATGTTACCAGCCTTTGCAAGGCCAGATATCATGGTGGTATAAGTAATCAAATTAGGTTTCAGTCCAAGTTTCTGCATTTCCTGCCAGAAAACAAAGGCTTTATTGAATTTTTGCACTCTACAGAGACCATTTATTACAACACTATACGTGAATGAGTTCGGGCTGCAGTTCAAATTTTTCATTGAGTTGAAGCAGACGAGAGCTTCATCTATTTCTGCTGCCTTGATTAGTGCATCGAGCAAGCAATTCCAAGTATACACATTAGGATTCAGGCCCTTTTGCATCATTTCCTCCATAATTAGATATGCCTCATCTATTCTGCCAACCTTCCCAAACCCATCTATGAGGCTACTGTAAATCACCACATTCAATTCGATACCTTTGGATTTAGCTTCTTCAAACAGCATGTAAGCTTCATCAAGCCTATCAATTTTTGCAAGCCCATCAATGACAGAACCATAAGTGACCACTGTAGGTTCATGACCCTTCAGCCTCATTTCCTCCAGTAACTGATAAGCTTTATTAACCTTTCCCGCTTTACAGAATCCATCAATTACAGTGTTATAAGCAAGGGTGTCCAGAGTATACCCTTTTTCCTTCATTGTGTAGAATAATTCATAAGTCTCATTCGCTAAGCCTGCTTTTATGAGACCGTGAATTAGAATAGAATAACTCTGCACATCCGGCATAAAACCCCGAGCCTCAATTTCCCGAAACAAAGCTCTGCCCTTCTCTGTTTCACCAGCTTTAAAAGCACAATCCATGTAGGTGTTCAGGAGATAAAGATCAGGGGCAACATCCCTAGAAACCATTTCTTTGTAAATCTTGTGCCCATCTTCCTTTCTCCCGGATTTGAAGAAGTTTTTAATCAAGGATGTGTAAACAACAGCATCGGGAACTCGATCAGTGTCCAACATCTGTTCATACAGTCTGTATGCATCATCTACACGACCATTCCTGCCCAAGCCATCAATCAAAGAACAGAATGTTATTGCATCCGGTGTACAGAGTTTGTGGTCCATTTCCTTGAATATTGTACATGCTTCATCAAGTTTTTGAGCCTTACACAACCGATCTATCATTATATTCACGGTTCTCACGTTGGGAAATAAACCAGCAGACTTCATGGCATCCCTAACTTCTAAAGCAGCTCCATGATGCCCTGCCCTGCAAAGCATGTCAATGAGGATATTATAAGTGGTGAGATTTGGTGCAGCATCCTTTTTCATCTCGTCAAATATCCTCAATGCATCATCAATTTTTCCCTTCTTCCCTAGGCAAGTGAGTAGACCATTATATGCAATCACGCTAGGTATAGATCCCCTCGATCTTTGCCTCTCAAGTAACATGTATGCTTCATCAAACTTTCCAGCCGATCCATATCCCATGATCAATGTATTGTAAGCATAGGCGCATGGGACTGCCCTATTCTGCTCCATCTCTTCAAAGAGGTCTACAGCATCACCTAGTCTGTTGCCTCGGCACAGAACACCAATCATACTTGTGTATGTAACTTCATCAGGCGCGAAACCATTGGCCTTCATCTCGTGAAAGAACTTCCATGCCATGTCTACCTTGCCCAATTTGCCAAAGCAGTTTATGCAAACATTGTACAGAACGACGTCCACAGTGAATGAGTTACTTTTCATTTCATCCAAAAGAGAAAGAGCAGCATCGACTCGACCATCCCTTGCAAATACCCGTATTAAGGTTGTAAACAAATGGACACTTACTTCATAACCTAAGTCTTGCATCTGAAGGAAGAGTTTCCGCATAAGTTCAGCTTCATTGACAGAAGACAGAGCCCCAATTAATGTAGTGTAAGCAGAAAATGCAGGTCGAAATTTCAACTTCCTCATCGTCTGAACACATTCGTATGCTTCTCTCAGTTTTTGAGCCTTGATATAGCTTTCAACTAACTGAATACATGCAGTATTAGAAGGGCCGAACCCAGCAAGTCCCATCTCTTCCAAGATTTGTTCTACATAATCAAAGCATCTAGTCCTCCCCATTACCATGAGAAGTGCATTATATGCCTCAGGACAATGTGCTTGGTTGGTCTTCTTCTCTACCCATCGGAAGTATTCAACAGCTTGATTAGCATCTTTCAACCTCCTCAGAACTCCAACCACCAGTTCTGAATGATCCTTTTCGCTATAGGCAGATAGAGCACTTTCCGTCAGAGGACCCCAAGAACCATTATCCAGTATCTGACATACCCTGTCCACTTCATGCCATATACCCTCTCCTTTCCCTGGAGACTCATCTTGATTGACTCCATGAGTAAAAGGTCCCATTCCTTCCCCATGGGTACGTCCATTATTTGAGTATGAAAGGCTTTTAAAGGAACTAATCAAACGACAACAACTTGAGACCGACTGCAACTTCAACCCTGAGTCAACAATAATGGCACTTAAACAACTTAAAAGAAAACCATCTATAAAAAATATAGAAACCTTTAAAAAGTGAGGCAATGCAACCACAATGCATTTCAGGGCTAGAAGGCGAATACAGTGAGACAGAGTTCCTAAATGATAGGACTACATAACTCTAAAAACAGTTAACCAAGTATTATAAAGACACAAAATTCGCCGAACTATCTAATGTGAGCTTTCAAAAATGGAAAAATAAATATGAAACCCCTACCTCGGTTGATCAGCAATCCCACCATTATGAAGGCTCAAGTTTCAACCAATTTCTGCAACACAATTAGGCATTCGGGTTCACACCAGTTTGCCAATTGCATACCCTAATGACATACAAAAAGGTTCCTTTTAACATCCATAAATACAATCAACCATCAGAACTTAATAGAACAGTTCCAACAATTTATATGCAGTAAATATGGCTAATTTCAGTTGCAGTTCATTAATTACCAGTTGTTTCTACAGCCCAGCCGCCGGAAATGAATTCAGCACATACTTTCCCAGCTGCCTCACTAAATTGATCATTTGAACTCAAAAAGAATGCCAAAATACACTGCAACTCAAACTGATTCAAGTTTGAATCACCGGGAAAAATCAAATACAAAACCAAGAATGAAAATATAAAACTATAATGAAGTATCCAATTATACGGTACCAGCTATCGGTTTTTCTTTTTCTGAGAAAAGAATAATAAGGAAAAGAAATAAAAACGGGAACAAGAGAATGCAAGGATCGACAAATTAACAAGAAGAGACGGAAAGAGAGGCCGGCTATGGCAGAGGCGGATAGCCGGAAGAATGGGAAACGGGGGGAATTTAACAAATGGGCTTTTTGCCTGAGTAAATATGGGCCGTCCAGAGCGGTGGATCTTGGCCCAACTACTCTTTTTTTGGGCCAACCAATGCGATTCCTTCTGTTTTTTCTCCGTTTAATTAGCCTGACTCCGCGCATTCGAACATTTGTCGTGGAATTAGGGTTTTGGAGGAAGCGAAGAAAGAAGGATGATCGAGGTGGTTCTGAACGATCGGCTGGGGAAGAAGGTCCGGGTGAAGTGCAACGAAGATGACACCATCGGAGACCTGAAGAAGCTGGTGGCGGCGCAGACCGGTACTCGCGCCGAGAAGATCCGTATCCAGAAGTGGTACAATGTCTACAAAGATCATATCACCCTTAAGGACTATGAAATTCACGACGGCATGGGCCTCGAGCTCTACTACAATTGATCAATTCACTCTCCCGAAAGCGTTTGTCTTTGTAATTATTCTGTGTCTTGATCATATCAGAATGTCTGTGTGGATTGTTGTAGCTTTAACTCCGAAGACCAATTGAATCATCAACTGGTTGTTCTGTTCTAATAAGGTGCAATTTTCGGTCCTCTGCTCAATTTTTTGTTTTTGTTTTTGTTTTTTTTTTAATTTCCGTTATATTTGTTTGGTTTTGCTCTGTTTTGTTAGGATGTATTGAATATGAGGAATTTTTGCGGCTTAAACTGCACCTTTAGAAATGTTGAATCAATTTAATTGCTAAACCAGTTTATGAACTTTGAAATTGCCTCAACTAAAGATTACTTATGGATTTGAAGCGTACTCTGTTTTGTGCCAGTTTGATCATGTGACTAGGAGAGAAATTCGTTGGCTTGTTAATATTTAGAAATTATTAAGAACAGGTCGATTGACAGACTACAGAAAGTATACAATAATAGGAGGTTGCATAAGCAGTTTCCAAGAGGGCATATGAAATCTGCCACTTTGATGGGGTAGAAGACCCAAATGGAATGGTTGGTTATGAATATTATAGGCTTTTAAGAACTTCATCAGTGTCTGAATCATCTAAACAAGAACTTGAACTTTATGTTAGAGTCGATATCCCAAAAGCTGAACCTTATGGGAACAAGTTTCTTAACCAGGAACTCTTAACTAGCTTGGTTGACGTTGCAAATTGCAATACCAGTCTCATTTATTTTACCTCATTATTGTCTTCATCAACTTCACTACTTGAAGCTCCTACCTCATTCTTGGACTTCAGATCATCAAGATAATGTTGGTACACATAAGATGAAAACCCCCAAAAGGCCAGAAACAAGGAAACTACTTTGGCGCCAGTGATCTTATCATGGAAAAATATCACAGCTAAAACTGGAGGAACCGGCAACCCGACAACTCCAATGGAATTGGAGAACAGGGAAGAAACCTTGAAAATCAGTCCATTGCACCCAATTTCAAATATTTGCCATGATATCGCCGTCCAGATCAGGGTCATAACATAGGAGGCTTTCCCAAGTTTGAATTCTTCCATTTCTGACTTCAAGCTCTTCCATTCGCCACTAACAAAGAGCCCCACTGTGATGACAAGTGTCGCAACTAGCGACTCATAGATTGACAGATCAAGTATCACTTTGAAAGTCTCTTGTTTGACAACTTTCTGAAAGATGAGTTGTGTTATTGAGAGCATAAAGGCACACAAAGCAGATCCAGCAATGGTGCATATCACTCCGACTGCAAATTTTTTCTTGGAGGTTTTGTTAGTTTCTTCTGCATCTGTCTGCATTACAAGGATTATGGAGGAAATAGTGAGCAGTACTAAAGAGTTTAGTATAAAAGGAGTAAGCTTCTGGGAGTTGAGGAAAAATGAAAAGAGTGCAACGAACGCAAGTTGGCTTGCGCAGATGAGAGAATATGTCGAGACTGGAAGGTATTTAAGGCCGATGGAGTGTAACATGCACTCTGCAGCTAGAAGCAAACCAAGAAAGACGTAAATTGAAGCAAGAACTAGGACTGAAGGCTGTTTGTCATTATCAGATTTGGAAGTGTTAGTTTTTGAGGGCGAAGAAAGGAGGAGGGGTAGGAGCACGGGGAAGCCGATATTTTGCACTAATGTTGCCATCCATTCGCTGTTTCCGCCCTTATCAAAGTACAGTCTTCCTAAAAGAACACCAATTGCCTGGCCGGAGAGAACAAAAACTATGTAAATGCCCACCTGAAGCCACCACATATACTGCTTAATGCTTGGGACGTTCAAATGCAAGTCTTCTTTGTGATAACCTGATCGTATGAACTCTTTATCTTCAGTACCTGAAGAACTAAGCATCATGCATTCGTCTACTTTCATATAAGTCTTATGAACTGCATATTTTTCAGTGCATAAATCCAGGAAATGATGATTAAAGCAAGAATACGATGCAAAATGTCGATAATGCCTATAATAACTCAAATGTTTTGCTTTCATAATAAGAGCCACGTTACGATAGTAGAACAAGCATATCTCTAATTGTAAATTAATTGAAGATGTACCTTTGATATCTAAAGCATGTTCTTGAGCTTTCTCCATTGTGAAATCAGAAAATGAATTCTGAGAAGCACAGAAGCACATAAGAAATGTAGAGAGAACTTGGTGGCAAAGAAAGGTCCCGTGTCAAATACACATTACTTAAAAAGAAGTGGTTTCATAACTAAAACTCGTTACCAAATAGTGGAGTAGCCTTTTTGAGTCAATAATTTTAGTGGTTTGATGATGCAACGTTATCAAAGGAACAATTCAACAATTATTGGATCATCTTTGTTTCCTTTGTTCTCTGTTTCATCATAGACCATATGCAAGAAAAAGGAAAAGAAAAATGAAAAAGAAATGCTTTCGCTAATCTAGCGAATGAAGTACTACCAAAGTAGTTATTGAAAGACTACCTTATGGGGATAAAACATTTGGGAGTCTGGTCTATATTCTTCTGGCATATAATCATTCAGTGTTAAAAATTATTACCGTGACTAATTCGATTTCAAACCACGTAATTCTCTTTCGAGACACTACACAACTCTATCAACAAAGGTGTCAATCTTTGTTCAAGAAAGATTAAGACCACAACATATATACTGTCTCCGTCCCAAAATTATTTTCCAGTTTGAGAATTCACTTTTAGTACAATTTGAACTAAAAATGAAAACTCAAACTGGACTATAATTATGGGACGGAGGCAGTACATATTGTAACTTTTTCATCATCAAGCTTTTCCCCGTTCCTTTTCGTTTTTGAGTGAGTGGCTTGAATTGTTTTGGTGAAATGCAATGTAGTGGATTTAAGACCCAACTCGAAATTCCGTTGGTGTGATCTGACAACATGAAGAAAATAAGAGGTGCAAGGTTCGAGTAGTGCAATGATCTTAAATCCAAACGTTTAATATATTCATCATGTAAATATTTTCTTTTCCAGGGAAAAAAAAAATCTCACTCACCTTCTTCAAATATACATGATAATGTAACTTGAAGCTTGTTAGGAAATAACATAATTGTGTACATTATATAGTTATATTGAGTCACATCGACTGATCGTGTCATTTAATGGTCTATATCCTTTTTCGTTATTATTTTGTATCCGACTCTTTTCACAAATTGTATGACAAGTCTTAGTTCACTTTTCTTTTTTTTTTTCTTTAACACATCTCTCAACTTGTAATGTAGTCCTGACCTTAAAGCAGTGAAAGTCGTATCATCAACACACTTTCGGTTCTCGACACATAAATCAACTAAGAAAGTTCTGATGATGTAATGTTGATGGCATTATGCCATACTGTGTTACAAAACCCGGTTACCGGGGTTGGGCTTCAAGGTCCCAAAAGCTAATACAATTTCCCATTAATTAGGCATTTCCCGATCTTTTTTTGACTGAAACTTCTTTCTTTTGTTTTGTTTTTTATGTCCTTTTTTCTCTTCTATATCATCATATCCACTCAATAATTAAAAAGTGAAATTCGGTGCTTTCTAATCACGGGGCTATCGCAGTTTTATTGTTACTACCCTTTTTTTTTTTTTGCAATGACAAAGCTACGTACTTTTACTTGGACCAATCGTGATAAACTTTTGTGTTTGTAGCCTTTTGAGGGTTTTTTTTTTCTTTTTTTAAGTTCCTTCTCATAAAAAGATACTCCTCCGTCCCATAATTATTTTCCAGTTTGAGTTTTTATTTTTAATTCAAATTATACTAAAACTGAAATCTCAAACTGAACAATAATTTTGGCACAAAGAGAGTATAAAATAAAAATGGGGAAATGATTGAAGAATGGGGAGATGGTGGTGGGTGAAGATTCTGGGCCAGGCATATATGTGGGCTTTGATTTGCCCAACTAGTCCATTAAAAGCAATCTAAAATATCCATTTTTATCTACAGTGAGTTAGAATGGATCATTTTGCATATCCTTTGGGCTGAACATGCTCAATCAATGGACAAGTAGGCTTAAATAGTGTTGGGATACGTAATTCTCAAATCCATGCACTAGAACAGACTACACTATAGGAAAATTTTCAGGTACTCCCTCCGTCCCATAATTATTATGTTCATTTATAGTTCAAAGTATACTAAAATTAAAATCTCAATCTGGACAATAATTTTGGGACAGAGAGAGTACTACTTTCTCGTGAGCTAGAGCAGTTATAAATTTTGACTAATTGTTCTTGTTCTTTTAGCCATCAAATTGGTTATAACTAAAAGGGAAAAATCCACTTTATGTACCTTATGAATAGGGGATCTCCAAATTATATACCTTAAGAATTGGTCTCCCCAAATTATGTATCTTATGTTTGAAATTTATTTTTTAAGTAATTTTCAAGGGCAAAATGGGAAACTAACAATTTTTTTTTCCTAACCTACCTCGTCGTTGCCCCGAAACTTCTGGAAGAGATCAAATTGCACCATTAATTTTATTGATTGTTTTAAAAAATTTATCTTTTAGTAAGATTTCAGAAAATTACACCTAGATTTTTGGTTAAAAATTTCCTACGACTTCCGGTGCTTATTATATTTGACGTACATATTTTTGTATTATAAAGCGTTTTTCTTTATTAGTAATTTTATTTATATTTTTATTCGTTGTTTTGTATGATTATTTTAAAAATATTCTTTTAGTTCTTCCTTTTCTTTTGATACTCTTTTGATCAAGTTTTTTGCACTTTGATACATTTCTAGTAACACATAATTTCTTTAGATTTTGTCTAAAATATAAATATAACTTATAATAAGAAAAAATAGCTAAAATAAAAAATATGTACATTAAAAAGAATACGAGTGTGTTTTTATTATGTTAGCTATGTTTTCCTTATATTTTAGGTAAATAAAAAGAAAATCAAAAAAAATAAGTATACATTTTTAGAAATGCATCAAAGTACCAAGAACTTGAACAAAAAGTACAAAAAAAGACTAAAAAAATATTTTTTTTTAAAATAATCATGCAAAATGACATATCAAACATAAATAAAACTAATAATAAAGAAAAACTCGTTAGAATAAAAGCAATATGTACGTCAAAAACAATAAACACTGAAAGTCATGGAAAATTTTGGACCAAAAATCTAGGTATAATTTGCTGAAATCTGACTGAAAGATAGATTTGTGTAAAATCCATAAAATTTATGGTGTAATTTACTCTTTTCAGAAGTTTGGGGGCAAAAATGAAGTAGGTTAGGACACAGATTTATTAGTTTCTCATTTTGCCCTTGAAAAAATACTTAAAACAACAAAATTAAAAGTGAATTGCTAAATGCAGATTGATTTTACTTCGCATAACTTGTAAAAAATACTAAAATACCCTTGATCTCTAAACTTACATTCCACTCTTTTATGTGATTGTTTCTATTTATATATCATTTCTCCCAAATTCCTTCAAAACGTAGCCAAAATATTCACCCATTATTGATAGTTTACACTCATAGAGAACCAAAGAATACGAGAAAATAAGGAATCGACGTCCAAACAAATAGTTTTTTGCTTTTTGGGGGAGGGGGGTGTGTGCTTGCCATTGCAATTTGCTAGCAATTTTTTCCCCTTTTTTTTTCCGAAACTTCGTGGCAGCTATGTGTGTTTTGTGGCCTAGGTATTGTGGTGTTGAAGTTAAAATTAGGAAAAAAAAAATTAAAGAAAGAAATTACGGTTAGGTTGATTTATTTCTTGTTTTGGGCATAAGTTGTTCGGCAAACTATGAGTCTGTTGGGTGACTATTGTTGTTAGTTGCTTCTTCTTGTCATCAATTTTGCCATGGTGACATTTTTGGATTAGCAGCGAAACAAAATATTAAGCAAGCTGCTAATAGTAAAATCGAGCTGCATTAGGAAGGAAAAGAGAAAAAAAAAAAAGGAAAAATAAGGAAAAGAGAAAGAGGTTTAGGGATATTTAAGTATTTTTAATAAGTTATATGGAGTAAAATCAAGCTGCATTTAGCAATACCCAATTTAAATAAGATATATAATTTCGGGAGACCAATTCTTAGGATACATAATTTGGAGACCCCTTATTCTTAGAGTACATAAAGTGGCTTTTTCCCTAACTAAAAATATATATATTAATAATTATTGCCGATGATATATACCGTTATGTATGGAAAAAAAATGAAAAAGGAAGAAGAGTTATGATGCTAAACCTCAATATCAACCTTAAGTAATCCAACAAAAATCTAAAGTGAACAGGATATGAACTTATACTTTCTCTGTTTTAGTATAATTGTCGTACTATTGTTTTATTTTGTTATAATCAAGAGAATGATTTTCGGACACGAGAATGTGCAAAATTTGGGAGTGCAATTGCTGGTCCCTTTGCTAATTTAGACTAGTGAATGATCAAAAGAATGACGCACTTATAAGTTATAAGTCAAAAAATAAAATCAAAAAATAAAATAAAATGAAGACAGGTCCCAAGAAGAAGAAGAGAAGGGGAGGGGGTTAGTGTGGACCTAGGATTCCAATTAAGGGGGGTCGTGAGGGCAAAAAAGAATGGTACCACTCTGTATTCCATTCACTTAGTTTTCCATAATGTTGAATCCCACATACATTGGCCTTTGGCTGCATGCTTCCACTTCTTCTACTACCTCTCTCTCTCTCTCTCTCTCTCTCTCTCTCTCTCTCTCTCTCTCTCTCTCTCTCTCTCTCTCTCTCTCTGCTGTCACTTACTCCATCCGGTCCTTAATATGAGACATTTTGATTTGTCTTAAGTTTCATCTAATACATATTTTTTATTGATAAAAAATCTTAAAAAGTTATTTTCACATTCCTTATGTTTTCTTAATTGTTATGAAATATTTTTAAGATTTTTTTGTCAATTAAAAATACATACTAGGTGAAATTTAGAAAAAGTCAAAATACCTTATAATAAGGACCGGAGGGTGTATTAGACAGTACCACATGTATGTATGTATGTACATAATTATGCTTTGCTTTGTTATAATTATTGATATTTCTTTGTCCCACACTATCTATTTTTTCTAATTTTTATACATGTGTACTGAGAATTTGAGTTGAATCATGGAATATGTTGGACAAAAAATGACAGTGGGATTCAAATGATTATGAAAATGTGGAAGAGTGGTGGGGGATATTTACATGTAGATTTCTCCAAAGGACACTGTTTTTCTCGAATAAATTTGGCCTACAAGTACACCCCATGAACGTGTATTGCACACCATTTTTGTCAGCTTTTTTATTTCCAATGAAAAATATGCAATATACCATGACCTAATTCCAAGTATAAGTAATTTATTGGCCTGGTTTGACTAATTGACAATGGTTTCCACATGATAGTGTAAGAATTGTTTATAGCGTGTATAATGTAATCTTCCAATATAATATACTATAGTACAGTAGTAGGTCTCTTTTGTTTACTTCAGGGGAGAAAATGAATATATATATATATATATATATATATATATATATATACTAGTGATGTCTGGTCGCGCATTTGCGCGACCCTGACCCAATATATCTGTAGATCTTAGAAATGTTTGTATCTGAAAAAAAAATATTTTGTATTTGGCCCGATATATTTTAGAAATGTTTGAAGATTTTAGAAATGTTTTATAAGTGTTACTTCTTAAATATAAATAAACTTGATCAAGTATATGTCTTGACGTAAATGCTAGACAAAATATAAAAGCATCCTAATAAGTTTAAATATTAGTAAGATAATTTATTGATGTTCTTCATTGGTTGTGCCAAATCAATACTTAGTTTTAGAGATTTATAATAGCTTTGTAGTAAGCTTCCTCCAAAGGATATACGCTTAATTCTTGGAACTATTTCTTCCAAAAGTTTATAGATAGTAAAATATCAAAAATATGATTTTGAAACCGATTAATTGTTGAAACTGGTTGATCACAAATACGAGAATGAAAATAATGTAAATTTGCATAGGTTTCAAGTTATAGCAAAAAAAAATAAAAATTCACCTCACCATGGCAAATAAAAAAAAAGTAAAAGAATTGAGAAATTTTTTTTTTTTTTCTGTAGGTAAAAAATAATCTATAAAAACACAAATAAACGTAGAAACATCATTCATTCCCTCTCTACCTCAAATTCATAAAAGGCTTCCCATAAATTAGTTAGAAGAAGCGACCTGAACTATTTATATGATGAAGAACTAAAAAAAGTCCAAAAACCAAATCCAAAAAAGTATATTCTTGAAAGCCTGAAAACAAAAAAAAAAACGCGCTTCATTTGCAAATAAAATAAAATAAAATAATAATAATAATAATTGGTCAAGTGGGATGAAACAAAATCAAAAGCAATTAAACAAAGAAAAAACACACTTCATAACTGACCATATACGAAAAAAAACCTGAGACTCCATAATTAAAAAAAGAAAACCACTCTAATTGAATAAAACATAAAAAAAATTTTAAAAATCATACTTTGTAACAAAAACTCAATTAATCAATTCAATCCAAACAGAATTAAAATCATACAAAAATTATAGGCTAACTAACCATATAAGAAATCACATCATATTACCTGACAACGGCTACTATAGCTGTAACGGATGGACACATAAAAATAATAGTAATAACACTATTCTTGAACTGGAAAAATAAAAAATAATAAAAGCCAAACAAATGATCTGTGGAAATAAAATCGTTAAATTTTAATACCTGTAACGGCACCACCACAACGGCCGAAGTAAGATCAATGAGAAATTTTTTTTCTTTGTGTTTATATAGAGAGGTAAAGAGAATATTTTTTGAAGTCGAAATTTTATCCGATTAGGATGTAGTTGATCATCACTAATGAAAAGATTGAACATGCTAATAGAAAGGAGTATATTTCATCACATATTCTCAATTGATAATTGATGAGGAATTTATTTATTTTTTTTTATTGTGGAGAAGAGATTAATTCGGGAGTCGATTGTCGTGGAGATGGGGATGAGGATTTGGGTTTTTTATGAAGCCAAATCAATTATATTTTCTTAAATAATGCAATCACATCCAAATATTTTAATAGTGTAATGATATCATTACCTAATATTTGCAAAAGATATTATTATAAACTAATTTGCAAATATTGGATGTGATATCAATTAATCAGTTTAATGGGATTGTGGTTTCTTAAATAGTTTTTGCATAAAAATATTAGATGTCAAAAAAAATAGTGTAACTTAAGAATACTCTATCGAAATGAACTTAATTGTGTTACGATCATTTTATGGTAACTTAATAAAATTAATAGCAGTGATTATGTATATACCATTTCAGTATTTTTGTTGTAAATTTTAGCTCAATTAATCCACATATGAGAATTGGTTTGGGGTTTATATATATAAAAAAATTAATCCAAGAAGGTTTGGTGAATATTGACAAATTACCATAGCAAAAGATTCCGGTAGCTAATATATAAATGAGGGTCGATGATTTGGAAAAATTTTTAGAGCCGTTGTCATGATTTTCTATACAGATTCAAAACTATAATTTTTACATGGAATAATTTCTATACATGGACTTTTTAAACGTGGACTGATTAAAAGTCTATTGGTGGGTGGAATCGTGGAGATTGAGGGAGGGGGGAGAGAATAATATGAAAAGTTCTCCTATTACATCCTAATAGGAGGTGGAGGTGGATTTGGACTGCATTTGTCTTTTAAGTTTAGGAAATTGATGTGTAAATAAAAATTTATTTTAAAAATATGATGTGGAAATGACACATAGTAAATGGTGGTACTTTCTCTTAAGTGTGATTTTTGTTTCTAATATAGTAAGATATATATATAAAAGGTTGATGATGCTAAAGAATATGCGAAAGTGCGCGATGATCAACGCTCGTGGTTGATCGGAAGCAACCCACCATCACGGTCCTTTGCGGATGTGATGATTTCATAGTAATTTGATGTATCCGACTTTGGCCTCTATTTGTACTAGAAAATTGATATTTTTACTCTTTTCAATCTAAAATTATTTTTAACATTGGATTTTGAGACAGAAATTATTTTTTGGGTATATTACATATTGATGTCCGAAATCATTGATCTAACTAATTCTGATTCGAACCGGATAAGCCCCTTTCAGAAAGTAAAGCTCTCCGAGAACAGATATAATTATATTTCTTTCATTTGTTACTAACAACTATAATTAACAGTATCTAAATATCTTGATCTTCCTAAACGAAGGGACAATACAATCTCCGCCTCCTCAATGGGCACCCTGCGCGCAGTGTGCGAGTACAGTTCCAGATTATGGCATTATATAATTTATTATCATATTAATTCTCAAAAGCTAGATGGGGCAGGATGGTCTAAAAATCCCAAAAACCACAAGAAAATTGAAAAAGGGACAAAAAAATTGAAACCAGTACAAACAAATCTGGCAGCAATAGCTCTCATCATTTTCACACTACAGTCTCTACAGATACACCCAGATGCATGATGATCATTATCTTCATATAATTACTTGTCACATTACCACGGTAAAAAAGAAAAAAAAACCATCACCATGTTAGTTCATGATCCCTATATATATGTAGCCAATCTAATACCAATACTTGACTCAAGCTAAAAAAAAAGAAAGAAAAACCATGGCATCCTCCTCATCATTCCATTCTTTTTCTAAAATGAGCCTTATTTTGCCCTTGTGTTTATTTCTCCTCCTCCTCCTAATCTCACCATCTCAAGGTGCTAAAAATACCAATTGTAACGGCCCAGATGACGAGGGTTCGACCCTCCAAGTGTTCCATATCTACAGCAAATGCTCACCATTTAAACCATCAAAGCCAATGTCATGGGAAGACAGTGTGCTCCAAATGCAGTCAAATGACCAGTCTAGGGTACTTTATCTGTCTAGTTTAGTCGCCGGAAAATCGGTCGTGCCGATAGCTTCCGGGAGGCAAATTACACAGAGCCCGACTTATATTGTGAGGGTGAAAATTGGGACACCGGGTCAGACATTGCTAATGGCAATGGATACTAGCAACGATGCTGCTTGGATTCCATGCAATGGCTGTGTTGGATGCCCTGCTTCCACTACGGTTTTCGATTCCGCTAAGTCCACCAGTTTCCAGAATGTTGGATGTGGAGTTGCTGGCTGCCAACAGGTATTATTCTTACATAACATTTCACTTCTTAATCGTTTCCGCAAAAATTGTTCAATCATTTAACTAGAGTGACACGATTGATTTATGAAACTAAGAACCAAAAAAAAGTTAATAAACGTGACCAAATGATTGATTGTTGACTTGTTGTTACTTAAGTGACTATGGAAAATTCAAATCATGATTAGGTTATTATGTTACATTACGTATTTAATTAGTTAGGACCAAGAAAATAAAGTTTTTCTTTTTTTTTTTTAAAAAAAAAAGCATTATTTAGACGTTGGGGAAAGGAAAATCCAATTTAAAAAAGTGATTATTGTTTTCGCAATGGCCATGGATAACAAAGTTGATAAGATATGAACTTATAGAGCTTGTTCTGGATATCATTTTTGTTTGAATCTTTCTGTTATGTTATATTTTTTATATTAATACTTTTCAAGAAAATTTGGCTAGTAGTTATAATCATTCACTAGCAATTATTTATTCTTCGGAAAGTCCCTTGTGTTATTCTCCCCTACATAAATTTAAACCTTAAAAGACAAAGGGAAAAAAGTTTGTAGGGCTTTGATTTTAAGATGCTTAATTAATTGGTGGATTAAGCACTGTATATGTCAAAGGAAACAAAAAGCATTGACAACTATTAACGCACTAAGCAAGCCACTACCAGGGCTCTTGATCTTTTTGGGGCATTAAGATTTTTTTTTTCTTTTTTTGTGACGAAGCACACAGTATTGACATAAAATACAAAACCAAAACGACATTTTTCAAGAAAGTGAATTACTTAAAATGGACTAAAAAAAAAAAAAAAAAGTTCAGGTTATTTGCATATGAATGTCTGTTCTTAATTACTTTAATATTAATATCTCAAAATAGTAGTAAATCATAGCCGCTGCCTTTCTAGTATGAATGAAGTAAGAAAAAAACAGTAGTGTGACCCGTGAACCAAAACCACAAAGTCTGCCTAGCTACTAATACTGATCCATCAGATGGGTATGTATGTCCATGTCGGTTATTAATGGATTGTTTGTACTCGCATTTCCATTTGGGGTTTTCATATGTCTTTATTTTGCTAAACAAAAATACTTATAATGGGAAGAAAAGGATAAATCAATATCTATTTATTATACCAAAGTAAGTTTGAATACTACATAAAACAAAATCATCAACTAGATTAAGGCACAGTTCATACCTAGGGTTTGATCCTTTCTCTCCTCCCCTTAAGCATGCATGTTAATGGGTACAATTTGAGAATTGAGTTTCTCTTTTTTACCCCACAAAACATGCATATCTATGGGTCCCCAACTACTATTTTAGTCCACACTGATGATGAGTGGCGCCTCTCTACAATTTCTTACCGACACTGTATTTCTACCAAAAAAAAAAATATCTCAAAGAAATATATTTTTAAAAAAATTCAGAAAAAAGATAGGTTTCTATTAGAAGAAAGAAAGGGGGAGGGAAATGGAGCATACATAGGGCAAAAGAATGTCAGAGTTGAGCACTGACAGTCAATCACGGGAGTCCCAAAAGTCTGAATCCTTTTCTCTATTGGCTTTTGTCATGTCCTTAGTGCCCCTCCTCTCTCTCTCTTTTGTCATCTCGTTTCCTCATCCTCCCTCCCGCACTCACACACTTTCATTTGTTTCTTTGATTATCGGTTTAATTATGATTGTAATAGTAACAATATCTCCATCTCCATATCATAGCTTCCCCCATGATTCTTGATTTACTACTTACTACTTTTGTCTTAATCATTAGTTCAAACATTACCTTTATTCAAGTGGTCAATACCACTCTTGACCCCAATAGGAAGAGCCGACGAGGCGGTCTAGAGAGTTCGACTCTTTGTTTGTCCATAAACATGCAACAATTAGATGTCACAATGACTTCCGTGGTATTGATGACTAACAAAATGTTATTTTTTTCGCAACATAAGAAGAGAATGTGAATAGATGTGACGCGAACGATTATCTGCGATCCGAATTAATTCTATCGATTCAGTGAATAAAATGTTAAGAAAATTTCTTGACAATTTTGTTAGGTACCAAACCCTAGTTGCTTAGCCAATACTTGCAGTTTCAACATGACCTATGGCGGCTCCAGCATCGCAGCAAACCTCTCCATCGACACTTTCCGGCTCGCAGCTGATCCCATTCCCTCTTACACCTTCGGTTGCCTCCAAAAGGCCACCGGAAACTCTGTTCCTCCCCAGGGCCTTCTTGGGCTTGGAAGAGGGCCCATGTCTCTTTTGTCCCAATCCCAAAGCCTCTATCAGTCCACATTTTCTTACTGCTTGCCCAGTTTCAAGGGCCTCAATTTTACTGGATCCCTCAGGTTGGGCCCAACTGGACAGCCCAAAAATATCAAAACAACTCCGTTGTTGAAGAATCCAAGGAGATCGTCCCTTTACTACGTTAATTTGGTCGGAATTAAGGTCGGAAAGAAAGTCGTGGATATTCCGGCGGAAGCCTTGGCTTTCAATCCCACCACCGGCGCCGGCACAATCATTGATTCCGGTAATTTCCTCACATCGTTGTTAGTTCTTTTTCCTTTATTTATGAAATCACGATATTCTTAATTTTCTGAATTTTGTGTTTGCAGGAACTGTGTTCACAAGGCTGGTTCAAGCAGCCTATGTTCCGGTGAGAGATGAGTTCCGGAGGAGGATGGGAAATGCAACGGTTTCATCGCTGGGTGGATTCGACACGTGTTACAATGTTCCGGTCACCGTTCCGACCATAACCTTCATGTTTTCCGGCATGAACGTCACTTTGCCACAGGACAACTTCTTGATCCACAGCACCGCCGGCACAATCACTTGCTTGGCCATGGCGGAAGCGCCCGTCGGAAACGTGAACTCGGTGCTCAATGTGATCGCCAATTTGCAGCAACAGAACCACAGGATCCTCATCGATGTGCCCAACTCCAGGCTTGGTGTTGCTCGTGAGGCTTGCTCTTAATTCCAATAAACTTTTTGATCATCATCATCATGTGTTTGAGCCCTTTTAATTATCGGTTCCGTACTATATATTAGTATGCATCACCATGTACTAATCAGAAGAATGGGGATATTCACATTATCGAAATTGCCTCTATGTAACATTTTGTTTTAAAATTTTCGATCTTCTATTTGCAACATTTTGTTTTGTGACGCCTTCGATCCAAAACTACTTGGCAATGAATGGGAATGTTAAAGGATTATTGATAACTTCTCGATTTGGACAATTTTCCAGCACAATCAATTTGAATGAATAGAGTTTCTTAAATAGTGGAAACTAACAAAATTTCATCAGAACGGAGGTTTTGTGCAGGAATCTCTGCTTCATTATTATCACGATAATGTTGGTATAGATATGATGCAGATCCCAAGACAGCCAACAGAAGTGACATGACTTTCAGACATGTCATCTTGTCATGGAAGAAGATCACTGCAAGAACAGGTGCAATTGGCAAGCTCACTACATCCATAACGTTCGAAAACAAGGAAGACACCTTGAAAATTAGGCCATAACTGCCAACTGTGTAAATCTCCCATGAAATTGCTGTGCAAACCAGGTTGACAACGTAGAACGCTTTCCCTGATCTAAACTCCTTCATCTCCGTCTTTAAACTCCTCCAATCTCCGCTGCCATAAAGCCCGATTAGGATGGCGAGTGACGCGACCACAGATAGGTAAACCGCTAGTTCGAGTACAAACTTGAAAGTGCTTTCCCTTTTGATGACATTTTGAATAACAAGTTGAGTCAAACAAAGTGAAAGTGCATGACTAGCTGATGCTGCAACTGTGCATATAATCCCCACTGAATGATTTTGTTTGTTGGAAGTATCATTGGCAGAATGATCATTTTGGAAGGCTAGAAGTACCGTGGAGGCGGTAACCAACACAATAGACTTTATGATATAAGGAGTGAGTTTTTGTGAATTGAGGAAGAATGCAAAGAAAGTGCTGAATGCCAATTCGCTTGCACTAACCAAAGTGTAGGTTGAAACTGAGAGGTTCTGTAAACCAAAAGAGTACAACAAACAAATCCCAGCTAGAATAACACCAAGCAAAATGTGTATTGTACCAACGGTTAGAATAGACGGTAGGATAGTAGAAATACTAACGGTTTCTGCCTTCTCAGATGTCTTTTCAGGTGCTGGATGAATGAGAAAAGGAATAAACAACGGGAAGCCAATGTTTTGTACTAATGATGCCATCCATATGCTCTTTCCGCCATTTTCGAAATACATTCGACCCAGAAGCACGGCAACCGTCTGGCCGGCCAAGATAGCTAGAGAATATAAAGCCATTTCAAGCCACCATGCACAGCTTCTATCCCAAACCACCAACGATCTCCTTGTGGCAATTCCATTGAGTGATGTCATCGCTTGTTTCTTCACCTAACAGTTACCTATAAGAAGAACAATAATTTTTTTTTTCTCTCTCCAGTATCATCTATACAAAGAAATTAGGCTGCCAATTTTGAGGTTCTGTTAAATATAGAATGAGAAAGTCACAGAGAAGAGGTTGATGGATCAATTTCATACGAATAAAACTACGGTGTATGAATCATGCAAAATGTCTGCACATCACATTTGTCTCTGAAGCTAGCCCAAATTTTCGTCTGAACGACCTTTAAGTGATTCCTTTATGCAAAAAGGATGTGATTGAATTTGCGATAAAATATTTGCTCTTTGCTTTACATGCTTTACATGCTGCATTATGATGTCCATGAGATAGGTGCACTGATTTACTGCATCCTGATATTTCAACCCGAGTTAAAAACTCCAGTCATGAGGTTTTATATTCAAGTTCTAGTATTTTGTGGTTAATCTCTATCGCTATTCTTTTGTTAACATGGAAATATTACAAATAAATGGAGAAGAGGGGCGGAAGGACCACAGAGTTGATAATAACTACAGAAAAGACTGAATTGAATTGATTCAAATTTTGCATTTGCATTACCAGCTTTGTTGCAGAAGAGATCTACAATTTTGTGGCTAGAGTTCCTTACCAACAATGATACAAATGCTTGTGTAAACATACAAAGTGGAAACAGAACAAATCTGACCGGTGCAAATTCAGAACTTTACAAAATGTGTGGTACTGTTTGTCTTCTGAAGATCTCTGGGGATATTAAACATGCCAGCTGCAACCTCAACGCAGCAGCCAATAGTTCCCAAAAAATTGCTGAAGTATAATCTTCATGGGCTACCTTTGTAGCACAACGTTCCGTGTCCTAGAAATTAACCCTTCTATCTTTCATTTGTATGTGCATTGCGACAAAAACTAACCGTATGAGATCTGAAAGAAACAACAGTAGCAAAAATATGGGGCACAAGTCAGTATTATAAATCTATACATATATTGAGTGAAGCTGATATCTGATTCACTCTCACACATTGAAGATAAGTAGTGATCCATAACAAACTAAATAATTTTTATTTTTTCTTTAAATGAAAATGGTCCATAAGCATCAAAAGGTGATCCAAACAGGATTAGTAGAAGAATGATTCAGAGAGGAGGGTAAACAAAAAACCCTAGCCCCTTGCCCTTGTCCCTGAATCGAATGCAATTGTTCTGTGCGTCACCATAAGAAAGAGAGCATGAAATATGCATAATCATACACATTAAAGCAATGAAATGCTTACCAAAATCAATGAGGAATCTGAAGAAGAATAAACGAAATGAAGTATAAAGAAGCCGAAATAGCTACTCCAGCAACAAAATTGTAGAAAAGCTTCTGATTGTCTCTTGTTGGAATAAAGACGCCCTTCAGTGTATTCGTTAGTTCAAACAGCCGACAAGATATCTGAAAACCAAATGAAATCCAGATACGGTTGGTACCTTCATGTTTGGCCATGTTTAAAAGAGAGGAGATGGAAATCTACTCACCAAGATGTAAACCGCAGTTACCAGCATGAAGTTGAGCATAGGATAATCTGGAATAAAACATAGTAACCACTTTGGCTGTCCATTAGGCATATTTGACCTGTACATAAAGGAAATGTTTCACCACAAACTAACCTCAAAATAGTTTATAATAAAATAAATAAACAAATGCAAACATAAGAAACGGGAAATAAACTGGATGGAAACAAGATGCTAATGTGAAGAATGAGCTCATGTCATAAAACCTTCAGAAAATGCCAACCCAGCTTTTCTTTCAGCAATATTCTAAAAGCATCCACTAGCTTTTGAATTTTAATTCATATGGATAAAAAGGTAAAGAGGAAAAGCAAAAGCATTCCAGTTCGTAAAAAGCATGCTCAACATGTGCTGCTTCGTTTTTTTTTCTAACTGAATGGTTAATAAAACAAATATATGAAAACCCCATTCACAAGATTTCCAGACCAGATTGAAAACAAGGATATTCCAAATTGAGGATTTCCTTTAATCTTCATATATTAAATAACTGACATGACAATTCCATGTTCAAGTATTTTATGGTAGGGATTTCAGTAGATTCCACAAAGATTGAAATACTTTTGGTCCTATGAAAAACTTCAGCATGTTTGTAAGTTGCAAGAAACAATGAAGTGGTACCTTAGCCAAATATGGAACTGTGAAATGTAAGTTTCCAAAGTAATTTTGCCAAGCCACCTAGAACAAGAGAAGTGGAACCATTAGTAGCAGAATCAGTTCAATAACAAATAGCTGTTATTTGGACAGAAGAAAGAGAGGCAGCCTCATTTCTGACATTAAAGAAGAAAACCACTTACGCAAATAGAGTCAAAGAATAGCTTCGGAACTCCTGTGTGAAATTTCGCAAGCAAATATAAACCCTGTAAAGGAAAAAAGAAATAATAAATGAGCATTCGAATGTGAAACAGTAGTTTGGGTAATTCCCTTGAAGAGAGAGGAAGAGAAAAGCAATCCTCTCTAGCCAATGATCATTGATAAATAGAAATGAAAACGAGATAAACACGACAAACTATAGTTTATAGGGAGAAGAAAATACACACGTTATTGGAATCCATGATGTGTAGGGATGAAGCTTGTTATATGCAACCTTGTCCAGCTTGTAAATGCATTCATACCACAAGTACCCAACCTTAACATATGCAATTACATATTAAACGTGAGTAAACCTACCAAGATAAATGACCAAAGACAAACAAAGCACAAATCAGTTGCCTTCAACAGCAATGAAATTTAAGTCTTACCACTATTGCAACTGACACAATTATTCCCTTAATGGTTCGTCTTCGCCTAGCTTCACACTCCTCCAGTTTCTCCATCCACTTCTCAACCTGCGACATTAAAAGGTCGATTATTGCACTAATTCTTCAGTATAATCAATCGCACAAATACGTCCACTGGACATTACATTTGGGTGAAAGTAGGCATATATCATTCCAATAATCCATATGTAGCGATCCAGTCCAGATCTGAAATGCCATTCATGGAGTCTTGGAAGATCTGGTTTTGCTGGATCCGTATACCCTGCCATAGAATATTAGTAATATCAGGTCCCATAGCTTACAATTGCTAGAAAGGTTGATATTTATTGCATATTAGAAGAGATGAATTAAATGTCATTCTCATTATTATTAACTTATTCCAATGTTGTGCTTCAGTTACTTGGGACACACAAGTTTGGCCTTAAGGCTATGACCAAAAAGTTGGATAGTTATCATTCATTGTGCAAAGAAAACTTCTCTTTGACTTCTTGTTTAAAAAAAGGAGGATAAGCAAGATCAGCAGGTGTGTTAACAAATTAACCCCAACACACCCATAGTGCAGAATATTTTGATTCTGGCCAAAATGTGAAGCTATTAACTCAAATTTCTCAATTTTTACCTAAGAGATCATATTTCTATTCAAGGTGTACAGTTACCTCTGGTATCATATATTCATAAGAGAAAAGGCATAGAATAACTTAAGCATGCAGTAATGAGACCAACCTAACATAAAGGCGAAAGGACTCCAGAGGAACTCAAAAACTCCAGGAATTTCCCATACCAGGATTACCACAACAAAGCACATGAACAATTTCAAAGCCATCACTGATCTTATCTCATTGTAGTTATGGCCAATACCCAGGGCACCATACACCATTAGAGTGAACAGCGTGTGCATGGGGCAGATATAGTAGAGCATGTAATCATTATTAAGGACAATGCAACAAAACACCACGAAAAAGTTCAGCCTCCACATCATCTGTAGAAAGAAAATTTACAAAAAAAAAAATTAATAATGCAGGCAAGAAAGAATATGGATGAAAATACATGCTTATCTACTTTGAACAATAGCATAGAGATAATTTGTCAGTCTAAATCACCTGAGCAAACCGAGCAAGACTAAAATCCTTCTTGATGTAATAATAGGAAAAGTTACCAAAACCCGTCATCCAAACATATCCAGCGATAAAAACACGAATGGCGTTGTATATCTCTGTCGCGGCAAAGTAATGATACAATAAGAAAAGGACCTGATGAACACATAAACAAACATTAAAAGTCAGTGATTACCTTAAATACAAAGCAAATTTTGTAATCATACAAATGCGAATTAAATGCTAGCTGAAAAAGAAAAATACAAAATCCACAACATGTAAAGCAACGATGGCATAAAAACCATCAGTTCTAAATAACGTTTTTAATACAGTCAACTTGAACATATGCTAACAAAGGGGACCATTGCATTCCATCAATAAAAGGATGTTCGTGTAACAAAAGGAGGAAGTAAAATAGTGACCAATAGGACACTACCAAATATTAAAAACTTGCCTGCATCCATCCTTTCCATTCCTCTGTCTGATGGCGATTCAGGTAAAGTATTGCTTTCCCAGAGAATGCTGACTTGTCGTGATGCTTTTTGAGAGAAGTTAGGGCTGAAGCTATGATAAGAAGAATGTACAGGAAGAGGAAAAGATCTCGGTTGTAGCTCTGTTTAAGATAACAAAAGTTGCAGAGTCATTATGCTGATAGATAAAATGCACAGCATTCTTTTTCTCACGTCATGAAATCCAAAAGCAAAAAATCAAACAAGAACTACAGAAATTAGGAGACAAGGATGCCTAGAAAAGCAATATGCTGTGTGAAAATGACTACACACGTCCAACTGTCCACTTCTGCTGAGGATTTCACAATCAGGATCACAGGTTAAAAATTCCATCTCTTAAGAGTTTACGCCAAGATAATTTTAAAGCTGACAAATTTTCTTTCTCGTAATGTATAGCAACATGATAAGTTCTAGAGCAAAACTTATTAACTTTTTTAGCTCAGTATTACAGCAGATAAATTTAGCCCTCACTCCTTAACTTTAACTCGTCATCTAAGCCTCTACCAAATAGCATTGACAACATAAAGTATTTCGGTGAGAACCCCAACTACAGTCAATACCTTTTGTCTCATACAATCATTAGCATTTACACTATTTAATCAAAATCACAGGGGGCACAGTGATTCAAGCTAACTTTTCTCATCATAAGATAAGGAATCATCTAAGACCATAATAACCAAAGTGATAAATAGTTATCCAGGCAACCAAAATATAAAAGTACCTTTGTAGAATCTGCAAAGAAATCTGTGCGGTCGCAAATGTAAAAGTAAATTAGAATTCCTCCAAACTCAGACCTAAGTCAAATAAAAGAACATATGTGAGACAGTGACTTAAAGTTGCATAACGAGAAGGCAAGAAATTCTAATGTAACCATAACCATTACATTGCCCTCAGAGTAGCTCGATTTTCAAGCAAAAAGGACTCCTCCATCGTAAGAAACCTAGGAGAAAACAAGGTCCATAAGATGGTTTAAACTTCATATTGCAACTTCCTCGACTATTATCAGTAGAGTTGAACTACTTACCTAATTAAATTTGTTTTAATGTTTGAGTTTGCCAGCTTTGTAGACGCTGTTTTCGTTAGACCTCCTTCAAGCAAGACAGTCCTCTCATCTTCTTTGATTGGTTGACTTTCCATTTCAACTAGATTATTGTCCGAATGCCTGGGCCCAAAGAAAATCAGTAGTGCGGGCAAAAATCATAATGCAACAGTTTCTACCGCCTTCACTCATTTGGTTATACAGCAAAGCTTCTTCATCAATGGATTCCCAAAGAGTTACAATTCCCAGTTTACTATTGTACCATAACTGAATAATGCTGAGAATCGTCCACTTCTTGCACATATTAAAATCGACATAATAAACTTACAAATCCGGATAGAGACATTTGGCAGCCATTAACCATAACATATAAGAGAAATATGATTTAAAGCATGCTTGGACCGAGAAGTGATCTTTCTACTTTCCAACTAATTAAGACAGTATGTTATTTAAAGAGGTCGAACATGTATCACCTCTATCAGAAAACTTTTTATCTAATCATATTGTTCACGAAATATATACAAAGAAACCAAATTTTTTCTCGTTCTGTTTCGGATGTCTGGAAAAAATTCTCTCCCCCAAAACAAAATATGAATAAGCAGTAATGCATCATCGTTAAGCCATGTCCAAAGATTCTGTAAGTAATCGATTTTTCAGATATTTCCGAGGCATAACTTACACTTTAGAGGGTGCTGATGACTTCCTATACTCCAACCACTCAGAGTATAACCATGTGATAATGACTGGTATAACTCCAAGTAAAAATGACACCTGAGTCAAAGGCAAAGATCAGATCCTTCATGTTAATAGCAAAAACAAACAGAAATAGGCCTCGAACATTTATATTGAAAATATGGGACTCATATTCGTTGCATTCTTCAATGGCTCAAGGCCATCTCACTCACAGGACAAGCCAGCTAATTGCACACCTTTCCTTTAATGAGGGTGATAATTTGGAGGAACAAATTGCAAACTCTATTATTCTTCCAAAAATGGAAATAAGAAATACTTGTAATGGGTCAAACCAAAGGATTTTCGGTCTCTGCCAATCCATTTTCTGCTGCCCTTGTCCCAAATAATATCTTGATGCTTTAATTCAAGTATTACAAAATTTTATTCCGTGAAACAAGATCAGCTGCTCTCATTCACTAGCAACAATTTTTCCTAGGTGATCAACAAAATCTCTGAGCAATCCAATTCAATACATCATAATTTTTTCAAGAGTGACCCAGATTAACCCAATTCCATTACAATATTACTGTATGTAATGATTTTGATCATTCTCCTTTGCATCATTATCTTTCACTTTCACCATCTCGTTATTCTCAACTAGTCACCAGTTCACTGCCATCTTAAATCTCAGCATCAGAACTAAACGACTACCACTACCAATTTCTCGATTTAAGGTGGCAATTCCACTCAATTAAAGTATCGGAATGAGCTCAACTAGGATTCAAAACTCCAAGCACAAAATTTAGCTAAAAATTAAATTCAAAGAAGAAATATCGAGCCATTGTAAACACAAAACAAAATTAAACAATTAAAAAAAAGACGCATCCGCAGAAATATATATTGAATAAGCATCACAGCAGTGTATTAAAGTAAGTGCCGTGTTTGCGACAGCGTGAAGCAAGACATGAAAGAATCGTACAGGAGCTAAAAAGAACAAGAAAAAAATCCCCGAAACTTCGGAAAATCGCAAACACCAGAAACAACAGATTTACAAGTCCAGCAAATGGCCGAAACGTACCAGTCCAGGCGTCACAGGTCCAGGTTTCACCGCCATTGTCGACACAAACTCTTTTCAGAACAGCAAAGTGCTTTAAAAAATATCTCCAAAATTAACCGAACAGAATTCAAATCAAAAGCGTCAGAAACTCCGCATTCTCTCAAATTCGGATCGCCAAGGCGTTGGGATGAATCAGTGAGGCATTTAAAAAGGGAAGAATGCGGATGAGGAAAAATCAACAACAACAGCAACAACAACAGGAGTTTGGAGAGATCTGAAGCAAGCGAGCGAACCAACCAGCAGTAGTAGTAACTAAGTCGAGGTGACGTCGTCGTTTGCTTCAAGATTTGGATTATTTTATTCAAATGAAAAAGAAAAAAGAAAAGGAAATGGAGAAAACGTCGGAAGAGATGTCAGTTTTCAGTGTTCGTTTGGGAAATTGGTCTGAACAAAGATGGTGGGGAGTCGGTGGTTGGAATTCTGGATTTGTGGGTTGTATTCCCCCATTTAAATAATTATTATTGGTATCATCATAATAATTATTGTTAAAAATCTGGATTAGTTGATCCATCTTCTCTGCTTAATCATTTTCATTTTCTTTCTGATATTATTATTACTGCTAACTTCCTTTCCCATTATGTTGGTAAAAAAATTTAATAAAAGTTACTCCCCTTGGATTACAACACGTTGGATATTATTATTAGTATTACTTAAACATTTTTCTTTAATTCGTTTTGAATCTTTTCGTTGCGGTGTAAAACATTTTTTTCCATTATATTTTTCGCATTGTTGTACACTTTTACTGGTGAAGTTGACACATTAATTAGTGTTTACACATTTTTGGAAAAATGAACGAACATTCCAAGATTTTATTCTTTGATTTGAGAATGATGTTACAGATTTTTATTTTTTTTTTCTCTTACACTTTTTAAGTAACAAAAACACGTTGCCGTTGGACAATGATTATTATGACTTATGAATATCATACAAGTTAAATATTTTCCTTATTAGTTTCAAACTTTGTTGTGCTGTAAACATTTTAGAAAGCTGATCTTTCCTATTTTATAATAAGGTTACACATTACATAAAGCACTAATACATATCTGAAAAATGAAAAATATGAAATATGAGTCTTGTTAGAAAATCATATTACCAATAGGGAACCAATATTACTTTTTTTTATTTTTTTTTTTTTGTAAAAAAGGGAGAACATTAACGATTTAAACTTAGTGGTGAGATGTATAAATTTGAAATAATCATAGAATTTAGAGTTGCACACACCAGAAGATACGATGGGCCTCGTCACAGCCCAAACGGCCCCAAACCTGCTCCCTCGAAGCTTTTTCATTGGTAGAAGGCTACAAGGAAATAGGCAAAACTCTTCAAGATCATGGAATGATTAGCTTCATATGTTTGCCAATACTTTTTGAATTTTACTACTTAACCATAAAATGATACTAACATATGTAGTAATATGAAAACAGAAAGTACTGCTTCTTTAATCCATTATTGAAAATTGAAATGAAACTATATGAAGTTACGAGAAAATAAAATTCTTTTTTGAAACTAGTAATATAGTTGCTAATGATCATGATCAATGAATTCCTGCTGACATATATATCACAGATTGAGAGTTTGATATAGGTAAGTACGGAGTAGCGGTAAACCACTTAAAAATCACTTGGTCGCACATATTTTCGTCTATAGCAGTATAGGATGCTTGACTTGTCATTTGAATAAGTCTCATTCTTTTTACTTCTTTTTTCTGCTAATCAAATTCCGACCATTACATGGCTTATATTCTACTATCGTAGTTAGATTGCTCGCTACCTACTATTACAACGACACAATACGGGACTACATCAAAAGAATGTATGCCCCGTATCTAAGCAAATTACTTGTTTTGTAAGAATATGTGTGCTCAGATTATTTTTGTTAGAATAACGCTCGAAATAAAGCAACCAGTCTGAAGACAAGAGTGAATCGGTCCTCCCTAATGTCAGTATCTAAATTAGAGCTCCTAATAAGTCTCATTCTCCACGCCATCATTATCATCCTCTCTCATCCTACATATTTGAATACTCAGCTCAAAGACTTGGTTACATTAACGTAGTCGATGTAGCTTGAAGTCCTAGCTATATTGAAAAGTTGAAGTTGATCGATCATAGTACATAGAAAGGTTTGTTGTGTTGATTTTTGGTGTTTGCTCATTTTTTCCAAGCCATTTTTATAAGGTTTTGATTTTCAAAAGTCAACCTCGTAATTTACGTCTTTAGGTCTCCTATCTTGTTGATTTCATTTTCAAATATATATATATCCGTTAAAGTACCAAAAAAATCAACGATATAGCCTTGGCGTTTTGGATCAAATTAGTACACTATCGAGATCAAAATGATTATCACATGTATTTTATAAATTTTAGTTCAAAAATTTAAAAGAGTTACTGTAAGTTGAATGGATGGAAGTTGTGTTTGCCAAGAAGGTTGGATGTCTTGAATAAACCATGTGTGCAAATCTACAATATCGATGAGTATGCATTATATTCTTCGGTATAGTTATGTTGAATTAATTCATCAAAACTACCCAAGTCTCTCTTTGAAAGACAAATTCATTTCTTTGGTAATGATTACCTATTTATATCCATACTTGAAATTCTATGCGTCTCTCCTCGATCGAAGAGAATGTTGAATCCGAAGGTGAAGAGATCGTAATTTTGAGATGATTATAAAATTCGAATTCTGGAAGTTATTGACAATAAAACTAAAATCAAAATAATCTCAAAACCATTGTATAAAATTTTAATATGCAATTTTATTGAAGATTTTTCAGATGCGCGATGAAATTTACTTGATCCTGCCCCAAAATCCTTTGACCGGAAGAAACCATCTCAAAATGTACGAAACAATTGTTCCTGGTTTTCAGAAACTTGTTACTTAAACCACAGAAAGATTCAGAAATTGGGCTAATTGTATATATAGCCAGTGTGGAAGCCAACTAGCACAAATATATATAATATATATATATATATATATATATATATAAATGAATTGGCCATGTTATTATGGGAAAAAAACCACTTCATTGTTTTGGCTAGTTAATCACGCAATTGCCTGTGGTATCGTCTTGATCACATCGAAGCTAATCATGCTTTGAAGCTAATCACATTGTTTACTGATTATCTAAATTCGTGTGACGGGAGCTGGTAAAAGTTATTTGATGTTCTTAGGAACAGGAACTTTCTTTAAAAAAGCATTCTTTAAACTTCACATTTCTTCAATTCCATAATATCTATGCATGAAACTCCTTAATTTAAAGTGTCTCCCAGTCCAACTGAATGCATTTCTCGTATGATGGATCCATACATGCAAATTGCTTGGTTATGCCAAAACAACTACAGAGAGGTGGTTTGGAGAACATTGTCAAAATCCCTATCTACGAAAAACCTTAAAACTAAGTCAGCTATATATATATAGCATTAAAGTACGTATGAACATATGCAAGTCAACCGGCCGAACTAAACCCAGAAGATTAACAATGATATTCACAGTTAATCCATAATGTACTGAAATTAACAAGTGACTCCATCGTGGACACATTGAAAAGTAATAGAGTCCCTTGTCATACAATGTTTCAAGCTTCAAAATTTGTAATATTACATCCGTCCCGAATGATTATCAAATTTGAATTTTCATTTCTAATACAACTTATACTAAATATAAAAATTCAAACAAGACAATCATATTAGAATAGAAGTAGTAAGTTTTTTTTTTTTTCCATTCAGGGCCCGTATTTGAGAATAACATCATTATTCTAATTTTAGTTTTACATAATCTTCATAATAAGGAGCTAATCATGTAAACAGAAGAGAATTAAATAATATTCTGCCTTAAGGAAACAAAAAAAAAAAATTAAAGCACTATAGAAAGGTGCATGGTTAGAGTTCTCAGTATAGAGTAATACTACTACATTTAAACTGTGCAAGCACAGAATTTAATTTACCTTACTAAGTCGTAGGGCTAGCTCTATATATATATATATATATATATATATAAGAAAGAAGAAGTAAAATCATGGTTCTTGTTTAAAAAACATGGGGGGAACCATATCTTGAAGCAGCCCATAATCAGAAAACTGTTGTAACTGCTGAAGTGGGGTTAGGTTTTGTTGATTATGCATCATATTATTATTAGAGCTAGTGGAAACACTACCAATATGGCTGCTGTAATATTGTGGCACCTGAGCTGCTGCTACTAGTTCTTGAGGAAAACACTGTAGGCCAAATGGTGGATGCCCTAGCATGCTAGGAGGCAACATTCCGGCCACATTTCCCCGGAGTGTCGCCGGAACAAGGTGATTGTGTGTTCCTTCGTACGTTGTTATCACAATGGATGGATCTTGGAACGATCTTTCGACGCGCTTCTTCACCGGACACTTTTGAGTTGTGCACCTATAGTAGCTCCTGCATTTTTGACAAAAAAAAAAAAACACTAGTTAAATTGAAATTTGACTTTTAATTAATTTTACGCAACAATTTGCTAGAGAGAAAAGTAAGAGATTACGCATTAATGTGAATGTAATCTTGGACTAATTTTTTTTTTTCGTCCTGTTAGGCAACTATTCTTTTGCACATATCGATCAAAGTCTTTTTTCGGCAAAAGAAAAAAAAAAAAAAAAACATCCTTGAGTTCAGAAAGCGATCTAATTAAAGGGATATCAGGTCAAATGATTCAGAAAAGGCTAGCTAAGATAGCTAGGAAGATGTGAACTACGGTACCTTGGATAAGGGCTGTTTTTGACTGCTTTTTGTCCATATTTCCTCCATCTGTAACCATCTTCTAGATGATCCACCTCACTCTTAGTCATGAATGCAAATCTGGGCTGTTTTTCCTTCTTCTCGGGTTTTTTCTTCGTTTTGTTTCTGTAATTGTAAGAAAATCTTTCAGTTCTCGAAAATCACAAAAGGGTTCATATATACGAAACATGAAAAATTTCGAACTTCTGCATCTTTATCAAACCCTTATACTCTCTCTGTCCCAAAATGATTGTCCAGTTTAGATTTTTATTTTTAGTATAATTTAAACTGGATAATCATTTTGGGGCGAAGGGAGTAGATCGTAAGAGGACCCAAAAAGAAAACAAGCCTTAACTAATAATCATCTGAAATGTTTAATTAACAGAATAATTGACTTACTCTTTCTTGGGGCTATGATCTTCATCTTCTGTAGCTTCTTTCATTTGCTTGTCTTTCTTTCCTTTGTGGGAGCTATCTTCATCACCAACAGCCTCAGTAGAGGAAGAAGAGATTGAAGAATTTGGAGTTATAGGGGTTTCATGACCATGATTATGGTGATGATCTGAAGCCGCAATAGCAGTTGTTTTGGTTTCATCATCTTGAAGTAAAACAGAAGAAAATGGCTCATGAGAAGATGTTGCAGGACACAAACCGAAAGCTCTGGCCAAACTGTTGGAATCTGTGAAGCTCAAGTAGGATGAATCCATGTCCAACATGTGTGAACTGGTTAATACTGAAGAAGAAGAAGAAGAAGAAGAAGAAGAAGATCCAGGCATAATCGATGGTGATGAAGCAAAATGATACGGAAAAGTTGCACCACCCATATTGAAACTCATGTCACGTCTGTCACTGTGAAAAGGGTGATGATAATACAGATTTCTTAGATCTTCAGACATGGTGATGAATAGGGTTTTGAAGGAAGGAAGAAAGAAAGGAAGAAGAAGAAGATAAGTTGGAAGAAGAATGAGAGGTTTGACAAAAGCTTAGGTAATGAGTCTTTATTTAAGCTTTGACAAAAAGAGAAGATTTGAAGTTTGAACTGATATTGGGTGGGGTCTTTGATTTTTATTTTTAGTTTTTAGTTTTAAGGCCAATTTATGAATTTTGTTATAGGAAGGGAGAATAATGTAAGTTGTTGTTAAAACACAACTACTGAGCCCACCTTGAAAAAAGGTGGTTTGACAAAATGCTGAGTTCACTAGTATACTACTCTTGCTGTATTTTTAGGTGCGGTGGGAGTCTTCGTCATTTCTTTTAGGTTGCTTTCACCACATTTTCCTTCTGCCTCCCTCCTTCACACAAACGTTGTTCACTTTCAATTTTTTTTTTTTTCAAAATCTCACTTTTTGTGTACGAATTATACGTTCCACAAAATCGTCGACATTTATTCAACTATACAGTCATTCTATAATAAAATATATATTGTTACTGTATAACGAAAATAATAGAAATATATGATTTCATCTATTCAACTATATTGTTATTCGATGATAAAATACATACTGTCAGTATACAATAAAAATAATAGAAATATGTGATCTCATAGTGAGCAAACATTCTAGTTTTACAACAAAATGCACTTAGAGATTTGCGCAGTAGCTAGCTAAGTACTAGTAGTACTAGTAATTTGAATAGATAGGATAATGGAATGCTCCCCTCAATGAGACTAGAAATTGATTGGAAAAATGGAGAAATCTGGCAGGTATCGTTTTCACCGGGGGGAGAACTGGGAGACAAATGGCATCGTTTGGTTTTACCGAAGTTAGATAGTCAAAACTGTATGCTGCTTTATGTAGGAGTACGATGGTACGTTAAATATATAACCCTCAGTAACGTAGTTAGGTGTTGAATAGCATAAAAGTATTAGTATTTTTATATATTTTCAAAAGGGAGGGTATTTGGCAGGTAAGATACTTTATATTCCAACAACATTCATACCCAGGATCGTCGGGGTTGACTGTATACACTGATGAACTAATTACACGACATGGGAATAATTAACTTAAACTTCTATGTTAGTAATGAGAGTACACACACATACCTACGATCGAGATAAGAGTATTAATTAGTTACAAGGATGGATGTTCATGTTATATTTCTAATTTATATCACTAACGAAGAAAACCGTTCTAAATGTATATATGCTTGTTTACATTTTCGGACAAGATTTGTTCAAAATAAATATTCCTTCCATCTCGAAATGATAATAAATCATTAATGTGATTCTTGAGTCATCATATTTACTCATTACTAAATGTTTTTGTTATATAGTTTTGGTTTATCCAAAAATAGATAGATATACAAAATTGTGGAAACAATCAACGAAAACAATATAGAGGTCAGTTTTGGTGGAACCATGATTGATTAAAAAAAGTTGGTTTTGGGTAGCACAAGAGAGAATTGGGGCACATGTGTTTTGATGAGATGCATGATTTAAGGTTTGTCAAACAAAAGAAATGGTCGCTGTTGAGTCTTGAAAACGGACCTTTTTTTTGGGTGAGCAAAAAAGTCAACGATGACAAATGAGGTGGTAAACAGTTATCAGTCAGTCAGACAGGAGGAAAGAAGAAGGTCGTCCTTTTAAAATCCCATCTCTCTCAATTCTGAATTCTCACAGAGGAGCAGTAAATAGATTCGTTGCGTCGATGTTTCAAACTTGAGTTTTGAGGGGGTCACATAACACGTGTCCCCACTGGGCACCGGCATTTGACCGCGGCCGACATGTGACCCCTGCCACGTGGGAGCTGCTCGCTGGTTACGCTGCCTCCGCTGCATTTCATCCTCCGCCTACCTCATATGAGATCATCGTCGGGATCGCCGATCGGGATTCATCATCCCTGCAATTAATCCCCATTCCTCACGTGTATTCCACGTGTTTTCTTCTTTTTTCAATTTTTGCTGTCACTAGTTTTTTTTTTTCCCCCTTCATTCTTTCTAAAAATCACCAAAATTATATTCCTTTGAATAATAACTACATTTTCCCAATATGTCTCATGATTGAGTTACATAAATTTTAAATATTGAGTTTTTTTTTTTTCATCATACTCAACATATATTATAATTGCTTAATGTAAATTTGAGTTTGGTAGTCGTTTTTAAGTATTAATAACTAGGACCTTTTTTATTTTTTTTGAAATTAAGAAATGAAAATATTGTATGTGTTACATTTAGTATTCCTTTAATGTTATGACTTTTTATCTTTTTTCATTGATTTTTTCTTTTATTTTTATTTTAAAGAGTAAATATGAACAAATTAATTCATTAGTAGTCTTTTTTTAATTATTAACTAAGAGTTTTTTTTTTCGCCTCTTTTTTAAACAAGAAAATGAAGAGACTTTATGTGTTACATTTGATCATTTAATGTTATGACCTTTTATCTCTTTCGATTAATTTACTAGATGTTATACCCACGCGATGCGCGGGATAGATTATAATATTTTAACAATTACTCGTAAAATAGTTTTTTAAAGAAGATTAAAGTTGTGGAATCATAATTAGCAAAATAATAATTGTTAAAATTTTGTGCAAAAATAAATGTGATGACATGAAAAATGAAGGAGAATGGTTTGTCTTTTTTTGTACCATAAATATTATGAGATAAAAAGAAATGAATAATCACGATATTATACAAATTTGACAAAAAGGAAACGGAAAGACTACAAATATAATGCTAACTTAGGTATATATACATATAAAGAGTTATAATATTAATATTTAGAGATTTAGAATTGGTATCTCCTTTAATACAAAATTATCTTGATGTCATATAAGATATTTGAGATTGTCCGTGAGGCCTGGATTATTTTATTTCCTTTTTTTTTCTATTTATTCAATGGAAATTTTTTTAAATTAAAATAACTAATTTAAGATTTATTATTTAATTTAATATGGATTAGATAACGTGAATTAACTTACATAATTAGGGGCTGAATAAGTTTGACAGATGTTTGGGTGATATTCACGTCTCTTATTATTAAACACCACAATTTGTTAAGCTAGAGGTCATTAATGTTTTTTCTTAGAAAAATAATTAGAAAGAAAGAAAGAAAAGAATAAAAAAAAAACCTTTTAATAAAATAAATGTCATCCTCATCATCGTTGATCCCACTCAAAAGGAATAGGCATTGGTTCAACTCTAGTTATGCTTCAGGAACAACAATTCCAATATCAACCTACAATAGAAATTGCATTGATAAGTTTCATAGAAAATGAAGTCAAATTTTGAAATTATCATTTTTTGGCATATACACATTATTGAAAATGTGGAGAATACATCTACCCGTTTCTTCCAAATATCTCTTTTTTATCAACTCCACCAATTGGCCAAGACTCCTGTATATATGTACCAAGCATAGAATGTGAAAGTCTTAAAAGAGAGTATAAGACATGACAATTTTGAAAGATAAAGATTGATACTTCTCGAAACATCATTTCAAACTTAGCATTTCTTGCTCTACGTAATTTGTTAATACAAACAAAAATGAACTCATTCATGCTACATAACACCACCACCATTTGTTTCGTATTAATTTAAAATAAAAAAATCAATTCAATTGTTTAACAGAGTGTAATTTTCTAAGTGACTCGTCAAAACATTTGGATTTCTTAAGTGAGATTTCGGTGCACAAACATCAGCATAACTCAATAGCAACAAATCAAGATTCAAATATATTAGGTAGAAGAAAAAGGCAATTTCAAATTTTCTAACCTCGATAAAAATTGATGGCAATAATGATTTTGATTGTGCTTTCTTTCAAAAGTTCTAAACTTTCACAAGAGTTTTTTGTGGGCAGAGGCTTCGACCTTTATCCCTGCAATCAACAACATAAACACCTATCTATAGAAAATGATAAAATTAAACATGATGATATCAATAAAGTAAATATCGTTGGTGGTAACCTTTTCGTCGATGGCAAATGTGCATGTGATTGATTGATTTGAGATTTTCTGTTGGTACTTATATTGGAATATTTAGCCATAAATTATGAAAAACTAAAACCCTAGTTGTACACCGGACTGACGATATAATATTTATGGCGACTAATTTTGATTGATTGCGTATTTAGTGTTGACTTATTTGTTTTAATTCGTGAGTGACCCGGGATTATTTTGGGGAGGGAATTGCTTTTTTCTTTTTTGAAATTGTGTCATGTACTAAATGGACGGGAAGGAGCAATATTAATACATTAATGTTGATTGATTGTTAATTTTTTTGAAATTGATTTACACGATTGGGCGGGGGAGGTATTTTTGGAGAGGGATTAATTAAATGAGTTCAATAGCAATTTTGAGAATTCTTTTAGGGAGAGAATAATTCGGGTGCATTAATGTGCATTAATCCCGTCCATTAAGTTTAATTAATTTTTACTTTCATACTATTTAATATGGATTGTCGATTGATTGGTTCAGAACAAATCTACAGATTTTTTTTTTTTTGGTCGAAAATCATGGGAAAAAAATTGTGATTGAGTTTTCCAGAATTTTGGGAATTCTTTTAGGAAGGAAATAATTCTGGTGCATCACCACTCATTATTCCTGTCCACTTAATTTATATTCCATTTCGTATTTTCAATTAATGTTTTAAATGCAATTTGAGAAAACTTTATTTATAGAAAATTCGAAGGGCTATTAGTATAATTGTTATAAATATTTTTTGAAAGCATTAGAAAAATGACTTTATCCTATGTGGCACCCTTAGAAATCTTTTTTTTATTTCTCTCTCTGATTTCTCTCTTAGTATAATATATACTATAGATTATTTTATTTTAATTTTAAATATTATGAACAAATTTGATTTTGGTAGTAATAAGTATGAATTTTTCCACTTTATTTCTAAGTATTAATAACTAGGACTTTTTCCACTTTATTAAACCAAGAAAATGAAAAGATTGTATGT